ATTATATTTTAAAATCAAAGGGCAAAAGCAAAATCGTTTTATGGCCGAATCTTTGTTTTTGATTTTTTTTTTTTTTTTTTTCATACGTATACCTACAGAAACAATATAACTATATATATATCCATAGCCTGACAAATATTATGTGCAAATAATGAAATGAGAAAATATTATATAATATTTGTATTTCTTGGTAACATAAAATTGTATTTATTTTTTATGATTATGCGTAAAATAAAATTAGTAATAAATATTAAAACGCGATGTTTAATTAATAGATAATGATTTTTTTTTTTTTTTTATATATATGTATATCACGATCGATCGATGTAAATATCTAGTATAAACATTTTTGTTTTTTTTTTCTATAAGCGGGTTGTGTGATTTTATTTATGAATGAGTAGTGAGTGTTCACCTATATCTGTAATATATTGGCATTTAAAATATTTTATAAACAGCAGTCGTCGGTTCGTTGTTTATCCGACGACAAAGCTAACAGAGGTCACGTTTTGATTTATCGTTTGTTTTTAGTTTTGAAAATTCAAAATCATTTGTGTTAATTTCTGACAAAAAAAAAAAAAATAACCAAAAAAAATCAAGACCATTACTCTCGACATACTATGATTTTATAATAATATTGTACCTACTTTACCGTACATAAGATCAAACATAGACGAACCAATTTTTAAGCCAAAACCCTTAGTTATAACTTAGGTAAATACTAAATTAATGTACTTTGAATATTAAAAACAATTATATTTTAATTATTATTATTTATTACTATCGGATTTAAATAATTAATAAATATAACTGTGGCATTGTAAAGTTCAGTCATAGTGTGAAAAACTGACATTAATTGTTGTTTTTTAAGATATTGTTATTATTATTACGTAGTGTACAAGAATGAAAAGAACAAATTCGGTCCGGGAAATTCTAATAGTTATAATATTTATGAATTTATTGTAAAACAATTTTTCTAACCAAATAGTCGATGTTTTTTTTTTTTCTTGATTTTTGACCGAATCTATTATCCAAATTATCGCATTTAAATCGATTAACTATTCTGGTGTACATAATATTGTTTTAATATTATATAGTGATTCCTGCAAACAAACTTGCAAATCTGCTACCAAAAGTCTACCAATACAATAGTCCATTTTGTTTACAGGCCGTACTCTGCGACAGTGGTGCAGCCAGAATTTTGAAATAGGGGGAGGGAGGTGCATAAAATGCTAAAGACATTTTTTTAAAATATCAAAAATGAACAATAATAATTTATTTTATTTGACAATAGTTTAGACTTAAATATAAATATACTTCTAATGGCATTACTTTAAAGACTTATTGCTATGACCGCATTACCCAACCCCGTCGGCCCTTGTATATCACCTCTACTAGTATAAAGTCTATAGTGTGGCCACAGAATGTGTAAATGCTGATACTTATAACCTAAATCAGGTTCAAATGTCGATGATCGATTTAATCATATAATATCGACGGTTTTAATAAAAATTGATAAAAAAAATAATATTATCAAACAAATAGATACAAATTATGAGCACTAACCGGTAGCAAATTGTTCAAACGCATAAAATAAACTATATAGTGATTTACATAAATTAATACGTTTATACGGCCAATGGTAGGAAAGCATATGATCCCCCCTCACTGCCCCCCATGACTACACCAATGTTCTACAATAAATACAAAAACGTGTGTTCTATCGAGTTACCGTTAAAATCGACCACATAATATTATGTTCGCCATTGACGATTTTTACAGGAGGATTAGTGCAGGAACTTAGGGCACTTCCCCAAAATATATTTAAACTATATGGTAGGTTTCAGTTTCAATCATTCCACAACACTTCTTAATTAATTAAAATGATGGTATCTACCAAATAAAAATAGCTTTATTGTTGGGTTTAAAAATTAAACGTAAATATTATTTGGTGTCAAAACTTAAAAAAAGGTAAGCAGCGTAAATAGTATCTTGAATAATTTTATTAACAAATATGGACAAATGGTAAAAATACCAAGGTTCTGCAAAGATGTGACAAAATATTCACTTATGATGATATACAAGTATTTAAACATCAAAGAACAATAATTAATGACATTTAACATACTGGTGTAAAAAAAAATTATAGGATGAGAATGTTTAATATTCAAGAGCATTTTGACACGAAAACCTATCAACATTCAATAAACATTGCTCTACAGTGTCAGTTTTTCAATTGTATTAATAATTTTTCAAAAATAATACGTACATACCTACCTATTTATAAAAAAATAAATATTAATAAATTAATATAGGTAACTACTTAAAAACGAATAGACTGTCATTTATTTTACCACGATGTGTTTTATTTTATTTTCCATATTTGGTTTAAATTTTATCATAAATTTAATTTGTGTACAACAATTACGCTCACAAAACCATTATAAGAATATTTTATCATAAAACTTTCAACGTGATTACGTTATACTATAATTTATAGTCAAAACTGCAGTGCCGTGTGCAAATAATATCCATTTTTTATGTACAAATATCCGTTTAATTATTATTGTTATTTATTTTTTCTTTGTAATTAAAGAAATTCTTTTTTTTTACGTCTAATTAATACAATATATAAATATATATTATATGTAGAAAGAGGATATAGATATATATTATAAAAAACAAGGTGTCGGTCACTCGCTTCACTTCGCTCAATTATTCTAATGAATAATGCATTTTAATTATGAATTGACTTGTCCAATGTCCATACAAGTAGTGGTTCTCAAATTTTTTGACACTAAAACTAAAACCAAGAAATACGCTAAGTTTTTCGGGTACCAGCCATTATACAAAAGCCACAAAAAAAGTCATTAAAACCATAAAGATTTTTACACTAACAAATTATTAAACGAGCCGGTAGACGGTAGTTGAGAACCACTGATCTGAAGTACCGCACCTGTGTTGAATTACCTATTAAAGGTATCTACAAATTTACCAAGTGAAACTTTTTGAGTATATTTAGCTGTTCCACAAAAAGTTTTTCTCTATTACCTATACGTCAAATTGCGTAGTCAAAAAGTAAAACTATATGAAAATTAATAAACCAGCTTATGTAAAATAATAAATAGGTACCTTATAATTATTAAAAATTGCACTCATAACGACGTTTTACTGTAAAATAACGATTTGGTTGTAAATAACGCTCTCTTCCGAAAATCAAAATGTTTATAATTTTTATATCAGTTATAATTCCTAAAAATCAAAATCGATAGTCCGAATGCGATTCTTGATCGAAATTTCATTTAGATTATATTTTCAATTAAAAGGTACTTAATATATTTAATATAATTATACTAATCAATATAAATAAGAATTTACGATGTATGAGATTTTCTGTAAATCTGAGATAACCTAATATTTGTACCTACTTAAAACGAGAGTACCGTATACATTAGGTGGGTACATATTTTAAACGTGGACCTACCTGTTTGCTACTATTTGCTTATATTTAATTAAATTAAAACTTTCAAATGCAATAATTGCAGTTTATATTATATTAGCTAGTTACAACTGTATACCTAGGTACGCGTTTCTATTACAGAACGATTACACGACGGTTCACAATTTAAATATTGACAAGATTAACAGCATTCTGGGCTCTTCTGATAGGCCTGTTGACGGCGTTCGTAAATTAATGTTTATTCTATGGCTTTAGTGTACAAAGCAGATACAGAGTGGATAAACTAAAAAACAATTTTAGATGTAGGTGCCGACGACCAAACCGCCACCGGCAGCGACTACAGTGACGAGAACAAAATATACTGAAAATGCAAGGCCCAATGCTATAATACCCTGTCAATAATTTATCATACCGACCATTTAGAATTACACAAAACAATTTCAAAAGTATTAAAAATCTTTTTATACTAATTAAAATGGTTTTTTGAGAAACAACATAGTCATAATACTACCAAATTTGTGGAAAACAACTTATAAATCAAAGACCAACATAATCTTCTTTCATAAAGAATGGTAAATATTTTTGTTTCTCAAATTTAATTTCATCAATTTTTAAATCCATCGATTCATATTGACCAATTCAATCAAGTAAGACAATATTTCACTCGACAAACTCGGAATAGCAATTGGTTACCTACCATTTGCTTTGTAACTATATTGAGTAGCAAATTATTGAGTGAAAATGATATAACACATACCTTCTTATATTGGTTACGTTTCTGCTCGTGAGTTTGAAACAACTGTTTAAAGTAAACCATACATCTTAATTAAAACTAATAGCTTCGTCACTGCCATATCGAATTTAAAATTCACTATATATATATATATATATATATACGTGAAGTATACGATAAAAAAATATAAATCTCATTTACTTAAATTTATTTGGGTTTGCTTATCCCGTGTTACTATTCGGTAATAAAATTACTTAGGCGACTATTCAAGAATACAAGATATTTTATCTAAAATTCGTAAATAAATTAAAATAAGGTTTTCGTTTAACATTTGTTGTCGTTTAAAAATTTACACGGTTTCATGTTTTATCTTAGAGAAATATTCGTAATATTTTCCTTGAACTTAAAATATTTTCCAAAATATACGTGGTATTATGTAAGAATGTAACTACATATTTTGTTTTAAAATACCAAAATATGTCGTAAAAAGATATTTCATGACATTAAAATCATGAAAAATATAACAAATAAAAAAATCCTAATAACTAAAAAAATATTTATGCTTATGAAATTGCAAAAATGCGTTAATAATAACAAAATTGCTTTAATAGTAAATATACTATTAAAACAATTTTGTTATTTTATCGTCAATACTTTGAAACGTAGTTACCTAATTTGCGCTCACTTAGCATACAATACAATCAACCAGAAACAATATGCAAATACAATGTATTATACAAATCAGGGCCGCATCATAATATTACAATAATTACCTATATTAATTCAGTTCACTGTTTCCTGTAGTCTATTATTATTGTTAAATAATAATATCGGTCTACGTCTACTTATTAATACCCGCATACGTTACCGAGTCGTCGGAAAACAAACAGTAAATTTCGATCTTAAACGAGAACGCGGTAATGCTTCTGTCTGACCTCCGATCATCGCGCTAAAAAGACGCTACAATGCTAGTGGTAAGTGATATTTTGTTATGAAATTGAAACGATAAAAAATTTAACAAAAAAACATAAATAAATAAACGTATGAACCTATACACAAAATTGTATATATGTATATTATATATACTAGTGCTGAGCAATATTTTGACCAATCCGAATCTCAGATCCCATCCGTTCATTTGTCTAAAATGGGCTAGATACTAAATAGTACTAGGTACCATCAAACGAGACAACTTGGAACATTCAAATGGATATTATATCAATCGATTTAAATAAATGATTTGTATAATCTAAAATTGATACCCACAATTTGGATTGATAATCATAATCCTGATTGGTAACGTTTGTTTAAATTCGGATTTGGCATACAGCTCTAATGTATAGGTATATATAGCGGCAAATAATCAAATAATAACCGATAATTTTTTTTTTTTTTTTTTTATCACACATGTGTGCGTTTTAACACCCACCAGACCTGATCGAATAATTAAAATAATAAAATCACGAATGAAAAATTCCACAGTAAAATATCGTATACATACATAGTGTAGAAACAATGTATATTATATAGAGACTAGAGATAAAGTCTGTGTCAGAAATTTATATTCAAAAGTAGTTTTAACCCGGTTTCTCTTTTTTTGGAATAATACATTACTGGGTAATGTAATACTACTGAGTGTAATATTACTAAGTAATTACAGACCAATACTACATAGTTGTGTTCCTGTACGCTTTAATGCGCGTACAAATAAAACTGAAAAATCCATCTCGTACGCGTATTTGTATCGTACTTAATACGTTAAACGTTTTATTATTGTCTTGATCGCTCAAATTTTAATAACGTTATGTCATTATAGGAGATTTTTTAAAAAAAATAAAAATAAAAAAGTACCACTAACCTATGATTATTATCATTCCAAAAAAAAAAAAAAATAGTGACAGTATTCATCTCTATGATTATTTTTAACTGAATTAACCATAAAAAATGACGGAACAATTTTTCCCCATTTGTTTCCCAATAAATAAGAATACTGTAAGAATAATCAAAAATTAACTTTCATAACGCGTCAAATAGACAAAATTGAATTTCAGAAAAGCTGTTACACTTAAAAATCGGAGCGAAATTTCTGCTAAAAAAGTTCCTCGCGGCGCCCAGAATCTAAAATAACAGAATTAACTGTCGCGTATATTTTCCCAGTTTTTCCAAGTTTTTGAGAAAACTACTAACAAAATTAAAAAATGACCTGCTCAATACATAAACTCAACACTAAACAATTTTTTATACCATACAGTTGATGGAATAAATAAATTGAAAACACACACAATAATAAAATCAAAAAACGCTCAATATCTAAAAAAAAAAATTTTTTTCATAAACAAATTAATTTTGACCATCACAAACATTTCTTTTTTTTTTAAATCCAATATAAATATTACAATAATAAAGTAGTTTTGATGCAATCGTCACGAATATTTATTTCGCTAATATAAATTTACATTATTTATTTATCTATTCAATTTCGACGTTACGCCTATATTAATGTCTTTGTAAAAGTAATGACGTAAATCGGGGAACACGTGGGTAGATATTACACAAGTATCGATTTTGAAAAAAAAAAAAAAAATGTTAATAATAAAACTAATTGTAAAAAAAAATATTCCATTGACTGAATACTTGCTGGGTTTTAGGGGTGAAACATAATAGTATATAGTGACTACTCAATAATTCTAAGAGTTCACGGTTAGCTAAGAGGGGACGCTACATAATATAGCGCCGAGTGCGTGACGTGCTGAATCGACGATTTTTTTATCAAAGAAGAGGACTACTTGAATTCCGCTGATTGCGTTCCCAGACTATACGCGTTCCCCTACATTATATTTCTCCCCTTCTTTGATGCCTTAACCACGTCTCAGTCGTGTGATATCGTGATGAACACATAATATTACAATATAATCCTACTAAAATTATAAATGCGAAAGTTTGGATGTTTGTGACTCAATCACGCAAAACTGGCTGAACGGATTTGAATGAAATTTGGCACACAATTAGAATATGTTTTAGACTACCACATAGAATACTTATTATGCCGAAATTCAATCTCAACGAAGAGTGGTTAATACAGAGTTTTTGGTATTTTCGAAACTAAAATAGAATTATTTTTGGGCTACTTTAATGAAACGAACGAAAAAGCGTTATTATTAGGTTATTTGGTCGTCGTGAACAAAGAAACACCCTTAAAAACAACAAATTACCTGATAACAATGGTTAACTGCGATAGGTATGGAGTGGTAACGGGGAATCACGAGGAAACACGTTTTTATTTTATTAAATTTTGTTCGTTCAATAATGTGCACGGGCAAATCCGTATGAGACAGCTAGTATTATAAATATAATGATGATTGTGTAAAACATAACGAGGCGTGCGTTAAAAAATGAACATATGATTTTTATTTTTCAATACTTTACTAGGAGTATTATTACTAGGCATTTAAATAATACGTTCAAATTAAATGTATACAAACACAAGTTTGTGAATAATCAAATTATACTTAAAGATCGCCAAAATTCTTTTAAAATCCAAATCATCAGAGAATGGTTTGTAAAAATCCAAATTCCAATCTCCAAAGTTTATACAGACAGTTAAGAGATTGGGCGTCCTACTATACATCCTAATACAGAAAAAATCTCATCTCGACTTATATATAATATTCATTTAGTCCATTTGTGCTTTTCTCCATAGTTCTAGGTTCAAATGATAATTATAGTCACTTATCTAATAAACTATAATAAGAAAAATTAGTGTAATTTATTACTTGTATATAGCTGTGGCATCGAAATTCATTGAAATAGTATAAGGATTTTAATCCTTCCGAGTTATCATATTTCGAGTTTTAACTTTTAATTTCGCTTGATATACTTATTTTCAATATTTAAATTAAATTGTATACATTTGCAAAAATCATATCATCCAAAATGCTCACGGTTCGTAACTAATTTATAGGGTATCTAACCTAGTAAAACATTCTGTTTTTAGATTCCGAGCGTATTGAGGGAGCTATTGGTTTTACTATGCTCTTTATTTTTTTGTTCTTTATTGTATATTGCATTAGAATCGAAAATCTGTATTGACTGTCACCATAATATACATAAAAATCCTTGAGCAGATGACACTATATCGTCTTTGTGTTTCTAACAGGCGACTTAGCAAAACACCAGTTTTTTCGTCTTTATCCCATCACTCATGAGTAGAGTCAGCTGTAATTCATATTTTCGCCCTCGAAATCTTCCTATACTTATTATCGTTTGCAGTGATTTCTAATAAAACGAATAAATTAAGTTCGCATTGACTGCAACTCCGAAAGTAGATTCTATTTTAGATTCCGAGCGTAGGGAGCTATTGGTTTTACTATGCTGTTTATTTGTATTATTTTTCTCTTTGTTCTAGTTTGTAGACACGTTTTTTTCTGGTAAACTTGCTCCGATCTTTACGAACCACAACTTTTCTGAAAGTTCAAGTTGTCTATATTGTACTATAAACAGGTAATTTTTTTGATTTCATTTATTAAATAAAAGCAATTAAGTGGGAAAAAACTTAGGAAAACGTACAATTTCACGATTTCATTATTTTATAATAACACGGACGACGTTTTTTACCAGAAAAAATGATTTAATCGAAAAATCACAAAATACCTTTTTTTTTTGTCCTTTTGATTTACTTTCTTACGGTATCATTGCTAAAACTTTTCAGCAAATATTGAGTTTTTTAAGGAATTTTAATTTTTGGGAGTTTTTTTTTTGTTGTAATTGGATTATTAATACACGTAGAGACTTGAAACACGGTAATATTATTTGTATTGGACTTATCTAGACGTGGTATAATTTTCAAAATCTTTAGATGACTTTTTTTTTGTAATGAGTATTTTGAAACCAAATTTAACTAAACGAAAATCGCAAAAAAACCGTCGGCCAAGTATTATTGATTTCTATAATATAGATAACATTAAAAAATAATTTACAGCAAAAATGTTTAAGAATGTTTACTGAAAATATAAAACAATTGTGGTAATAGGTACTTCACTGTTATTATTTGTTTGTGAAGAAAACACACCAATACGATTTTACTAATAATACAGCATTAATATGATAAGAATTATTTTACTACTAGCATATTAAAATATATAAAAAATAAACCGACGATTTCATATGTAAACTTATCAACATGTACTTTTTTAATTGTTGTTAGCTATTTTTATTTTATTCCAGTAGACAAAATTGGTGTATTAAACAAATTGCTCAAATTGTTCGGGTACTGTATCACAATGCCCAGATACTGTGTACAATGTCCGGATTTCCTACTTTGCCCGCAATATATATATGTATATATATATATATATATATGCAAAAATTTAGTATTGCTAGAAAAGTGTCATCAGATACAAAAATAAATATAAAATAACTTCATGGTAAGATAAATGGAGTAGGATATAAGCATGTGTATAATAATTTTACTATTACTCTTCTCATAAAACTAAGGCCCCGCCAAAATTAGTGCATAGAGCCTAGATTTTTTCGAAGCTGGCCCTGGCACTCCGTGCAATTACGCTGCGTCGTCCAAACATATAAATATCATTAATAATTTATTATGTATAAAATTTACACTCGTATAAATAATAAATCAATGTTTTGATATTTGTTATTTTTCGACCTATAAATAGATATTGAAACAAATATTGTTCTTGGCCAACAGTACTGGAAAACGGCTTATTTTTTCTCCCGCGTAGGTATAGATGAGATTCAAATAGAAAATCCATTTAACAAATATTACAATTGTATATATAAAATCATTTTTTCCTTTTATTAAATATTATAATTTTTTATCGATACTAATGGATTTCCCGCAACAGTTTAATATTTGAAGACGTTGAATAATAAATTAGTATAAGAATATTTCACAACTGTAATAAAAGCCTTTGCTAGTTTGCTACCTATTACATTCAAACTCAATATAATTATTATTATATTTTACAGAATGAGCTCAATATACAATATATGCATACTTAAGTAAAACATTTTTAACAAAAGCATATTTGGGCATGCTTCACAACATGAATATTTCACTGAAGTTAAATATTTTGGTAGATATAGAATATATGGTAATTCAGTACGCAAAGATAAATCATTGCAAACTAAAAATGACTCTGAATAGAGTAGTGTCAGACAATATTCGTATTTTTATCATGCTTTGTATTAAGTTTTAATAAAAAGAAATGTTAAATTTTAATCGATTTTTGACCTACTTCCCGTTGTTCAATTAACCTAAAATTTTGACAAGCGAATATACGATCATATTTTCGATGACAATATAGTAATCAATAATCAGATTTTCCATTTTCACTCCCGTTTTAAAATGGGATAAAATAAGTTTCACCCTATATGGCCATTGGAAAAAAAATGTCAAAATATCGAAAAACTTTAGAGTACTTTCGGTAAAGTATGAAATAAATTAAAATTAAAAAGCTTAAAGAACTGATATTGTCTGATGCATCTATTAGTTACTATGGTAAGTGAAAATTATGAAAGATACGATACATATAATTATTTAATTTATATCTGTACACAACGATAAATCATTGCTAATGAATAGTATGGTTATGAAAGCCTATGAAATTCGGTAATACATTCAGAGGATTCAGTCGATTGAACTCAGAACATTCAAATTGTTTTAATAAATTTGGGTTACCAATTTAGGTTACAGACTAAACTAGTATGGATACAGAGATGAAATATTTTTTTTGTATTTTGATCCACTAGACTTTATAAAGAAAAAGCTTCGAAGACAGGAAATATAGTCATGAGAAGGAGATAACGGATTTTTAATTTCAAAGGACGATAGCTGAGAAATTTTCTTTGAATATAATTATTACTTATTATATTTACTCGATTTAAAACCAAAAAAGCATTGCAAATAAAATAAAAATATGATAAAGGTTATTTAATTTAAAACCAGATGGCGCTCCAAGTATCGCAAAAATCGTTCATAAATATGTATTCATGTATATATAGACCTATATATGTGTATGTACATATATTCAAATCAAAAACAAAAAAATAAAGTTGTTTACACAAGTTGTTAACTTTTCAGAAATTAGAATCGATTATCTTTAAATCAGAAACCTCTTTTCCTAATATCAAATCAATCAATGTTTATACGGAGCACACATCACTCAACCTATATAGGTACCTATTAATATTTCTTAAGGATGGTAAAGAATTTTTCAGTGTTTTACTGAATAATAATGTATAAAACACATTTATGAATAAAAATTATTAACTACAGACAAGATAACTTGGATGGACCATCATTAAACGAATGACAATTTTTTTTATATATATTAATAACTAATCTCAAAGTACCTACTTTTATTAAGTAGATTAGGTACGGGTTAGTTGATATAGGTGATGCGCTATACAATTCAATCAATAAAAAATATACATTTTAAGTTCAGTTGATAGTGTTGCTTTGTCAAGAATATATATGTCATTATGTCATACTATAGTAAAATTATAACAACAATGTGCGTTTCCATGACAACAATGTTTATTTAAAAAAGATTAAAATAATAAAAACTTAATAATAACAAAAAATAAATAAAAGCGGGTGTCAATGACAACCTTAATTTTAATCTTCCAATATTTTTCGACCTAAAGAACCAGGTTTTACTCATTATCTCGAATATTAATGAGAATTTCAAAAAATAACCTCTTTGAAGTACCACCCGGAGAACATTTCCTTTCAAAAGAGGTGCTATAATTGATAATCGGAGTATGCTTTCTGGTAGAAAGTATTCACATTTTTAATTCACACAAAAATTTTAAAAAATAAATAAATACCACTGTAAAACCAATACATTCCTCGCTCCACTCAGAAACTAAAAAGAAATCAAAATAAGGGGGTATTTTTTCAATATAATGTTATTATTTCCATAATCTGAATTATCGGTACGCCTGTACGGCTATATATAAATATAATCGTAGATTTCATAATAACATTAGTCAGATCTCAAATATAACATAAAGTCAGGTCTTAGGTTATATTCCGCCATCCAGTCCTATCAGTTATTACAATGATAATAGCCAAGCAATAGGATATGTTTTATCTTCTATTGGCAAAAAGGCTCGAATCATTTAATTAGGTGACTACAATCTTCCGAATATATTTATTTCTAGTAGTATTCATGGTTTTATTTGCAACGGTGTTCGATCAGATAAATCTAATATTCTAATAAACTTCTTTTCGTTTTTTGGATTATGCTAACACAGTACGGTGGTAAATGAATCTGGTTCTTAACTTGACTTCATTTTCTCAAACGATATTAATACATCTGCCAATAAATTGAATTCAATGGAGCTTATACCTTTGGATAATTGTCATCCAATATTGAATATTTCTAATGTATTAAAATGTCCTATAGCATCAACTAATGAAGATTCTAATTTAGGGATTTTAATAAAGCCAATTATAAATTAATCTATGTAGCACTGAATTTAATTGATTAGAACCATTTATTATCGCATATAGATATTGACACCACCGTAACTTCCCTTTATGAAATAATTAATGGTATAATTGACAAATATATACCTAAGCGCTATTTAGGTAAGCATCGCTATGCTGATTGGTTTAATGCGGAACTACGTAAAATTATTCAATCAAAAAACTCTGCCTATAGAGCTTTTGAAATTGTTGGTAATGTGTGTGATTAGGATTCTTTTTTTAACCTCAGGGCCCAGTGCAAATTAAAAACTCGATACTGCTACCATGATCACTTACAACGCATTCAAACCATTTAAGAGATAACTCACACTATTTCTAGAAATTTATAAAAAGCAGGAAAATTAATGACTTGCCTACCTCAATGCATTTTAAAAATAATACAGCTAATGACTCGGTGGCAATCGCTGATTTATTCAAAACCTATTTTTTTTCGGTTTATTCAGCTCCGCTATCTGGGAATAATTTCAATAGCAATGTTATACCTATTAATAATTGTGTTATTTCTTGGCTCAACTTTTCTCTGGCAGATATTTGTATAGCTTTAAGTCAGATAGGTGACGATCAGGTACCAGGTCCAGACTCAGTTCCAGATATTTTCTAGAAAAACACCCATTATTCTGTAGCTTATCTAATTTTTATTTTGTTTAACTGATATCTAAATGTTAGTATTCATCCTAAAGCCTAGAAATCATATTTCGTGACACCTATTTGGAAAAAAGGCGACCATCCAGCCATTAATAATTAATCTCTAAAGTAAGTGCGTTACCCAAATTATTCTCATCAATAAATTAATAATGTATTAGCCGACGAACAACATGGATTTTCGTAAAAATAAATCAATCAATACCAATCTAGTATTATACTACCAATTTTTAATAGACAATATTGCTGATGGAAACCAAGTTGATGCAGTATATACCAACATAAAAAAGCATTCGATTCAGTCGACCATAAATCATTATTAAATAAGCTTAGAAATATTGGTTTCACAAATTATTAAAATAAAGAGTAAGGTCCTTTCCATTCCTTCATTTCCATTCCATTCTTCTCCATTCCTCTCTTGATCCCTTCTGGAGTCCCACAGGGAGGTCATTTATCGCCTATCCTATTTTTGTGACAGTGCAGACAATTAGGGATTTAGGTATCTGATCTTTTTTTCAATGAACATATCGATACTATTTGTCTTAAAGCTTACAGAAATTTAGGATGTTTGAATAGAAATTGTGATGAGTTTTATAACATACACTGCTTAAGAACTTTGCACTATGCCTTAGTACGCTCTGCTCTTGAATTAGGTTCAGTTGTCTGGAACCCTATGCAACAAGGCCATACGACCAAAATTTTCTTCGCATGATTGAACATTTAATTAATTTGACCGGTTATCAAACTTCTGTAGTTGAGCGTTAGTGCAACATGAATTCATCACAATTTAGACGCAATTTTATTGATATACTTGTATATAGACTCTTAAACAGTTCCATCAACTGTCCTAGTTTATTGCAAAAAATATATTTTAACGCAACACCAGTAAATACTCGTAGTTCACGTTGTTTCTATATTAAACCTCACAAAATAAATTTTGTTATGATTAGCCCCTTATATCGGACCTTGAACTCCAGTAACGGTTTAAAAAATTTTGATTACTTTACCGATAATTATCTAAATTAAAACAATGTAGCCTTGATATAGCTTAAGCTTAGTATTTAATAATTTAGCATTTAATTAATTTGTTTTTATGTAAATATTATGTGTACTGTTATAATGACTCTTGTCCCACCGTGGGCGTAAATTATTTAATTAATAAATAAATAAATATTTGATCATTATTCGAACTATTTATTTTTTTATAAAACTATTAATTTGTTGATTAAAGAGGTTATTTCACCTACATGTTTAACATTCAATAATCAGTAATCTACCTACATTATGATAACCTATTATGGATAGTGTACTAAAAATAATATCCAATTCATCGTATTAGGTTTAATGGCAGACCTAACTAATCTAATCGTATTAATAAATTATCTACTAATGATTAAATATCGTATGTTACATAGATAACATCGGAAAACTATATAGAATTATTAAACAAAAAATATTATCACGAAATTTAAACACTCATTATTACCTGAGATTACCTAGTAAAACGTGGTGGCTGGAAAATATCAATGACGTAAGTATATTATAGAAACATAGGTAGGTAGATACAGGGATGTCTCCAAACCTTGACTTGAAGGGCGGGGGGCGAAATAATTAATGTAATATTAATGATTGATAAATAAAAGACGAACATACTTCGCACAATGGGTGAACCATTGTTTTGAATGAAAAGTTGGGACGGATATTGATAGAAATTTAATGTACATCTGTACCTAAAACCTAATAACTTAAATTTAATTGGTACTTATATTTATTTAAAAAAAAAAATACATATATATAAGTAAAGGATCGCCTAACGGATTTTTTATAGTGTCTGAGGAGAAGTATATAATATAAAAACTAAAATCGCAGTGTCACCCAAAACTATGTTTAAATGTAGCCAATTGCTACACACAGAGTCATCCTTAGAAAGGGCGAGCAGGATCCATACCCTGGATCTCGTATTCAAGAAAAAATACAAATTATAATATAATAATCAAATAATATATTAAGACGATGTTCATAAGAACTAAAAATAGCAAAACAATTTTGCTAGAAAACTTTTCGATAACGTTCTCATATGTCACGACGTAGTTTTAGAAAGATAATTGCATCTTTGTTCAGAAATAAATTGACATTTTTATGGCTTAAAAAATAGAGTGGTGTTTGCAGAATTCAAAGATTTTTTGTAGTTATTACGGCCTTTATTTTTTTCCTGTAAACAACTTTACTACCAGCCATTTTGCTCTGATTTAAAAAGACAGCACTTTTTCTGAAATTAAATCGTTCTGAGGAAGTACTTTAGGGAATAATTTTTTGATTTTCTCAGAAGTTTTCTCAATAAATTGGCAAAATCAGGAAAAATACGAGAAATCCGAAAGAACAGGAACAATTGGAAAAATCGATACAATATCAAACAAATATTGTTAAAGAAAATGTTTAATGTATTTGTAATTATTTTACCAAATATGACATATGTATTATTAACAAAGCAACACTATCTTCCAAACTACGCTCAGAACCGTTTTTTCGTTAGCAATGCTTACAGATAAACATTAAATTCCCGTCTATATCCTACCTTCTCAACTTCCCACCTACAACAGTGACTGCACCCGACACCATTATCCTAAAAAAGCTTTTTCTAGTTAATATTACTCAGCTGCTGAACGAATTAGTCTTAAAGCTTCAAGATGCAAACTCGTTAATTTCCAATATTTATAATAACATCAAAGCTTTTTATTTAAAATTATCATTATTTACAAAATAATTTTGTTTGAAAATTAAATTATAAAAATTTATGCTACGTTACCAAAGGAGACTTTTATTAATCTCAAAAAATATGTACATAAAATGGATTTAATATTCTCTATACTCTACTTACCTATGTGAGTAACTTTTATGAAGATCTCTAATCTATAGCTTTAGTAAAGTTAGGTAACACAAAGACGAAAATCATTAGTTTTAATCGCAGACCATGGGTCTTTGCTTTAGATATCTATTAAAAACTAATAACTATAAAAGAAAAAGTGATTAAACTGGTAACGAATGAACTACTGTTTTAGGTAGGAAGTTGAAAGGGTAGGACACACATAAAGTTATTTCATTAATATCTGTAAGCAAATATAAACGAAAAACGATTCGGAGTGAATTTCGGTTATACATGTTTTAAAAGGCCATGTTAACGATTTTCGTCAAAATATGATATTAAATTTCTTAAAAAAAAAAATACTACATAACTCAATTTTATATTTTTGTCCGTAAAGTATGACTTATAATGATAACCTCCTGTTGAATTGTCAAACATTTCTATTTGATCAATCAATTTCATCCACAAAGTAACTACTGAATACAAATTACTTAAAAAACTGGCAAATTTTAAATGTCTATAAATAACTCAAAAATAACTCAAATGTTTTAAAAATGTTACCACGTCTAGAAAAATTTAAAATTTCTGCCATTAAATCTGCGTTGAAAAAATGTTTTTACATTTTTCAAGGCTTTTTTGTCGTTTACGGGTTTTTTTTTTTGTGATTTTAAAAGCATATAAATCCAATATCTAATCATAAGTTATTATCATATATAGTAATTAAAATGTAATGCATATCAAAACTGTAACAAAAATATTCTCTAGTCTAACCTTTTTTTTTAAAAGGGGATGAAGGATATTTGTTATTTGAAAATCCCAAGTGTACACTCATTTAATGTACAAACTAAATATATTTAGAGTAGGGACATATGCAACTTATATATTATTCAAGACATATTAACAATGAAACAAATTAAATAAACAATAAAATCAAGCGAAAATGTTCAAAGGTACATAAAATTATGAATCATTATGATAATAAACCTTCGGTAAAATATAATATTATAAAACAATTTTTATTTACACAATGACTCAAGGACAATATAATTTTCAAAAAAAGTCCAACGTATTTAATTTCAATTTTTCAGTTAACTCAATAACATTGTACTGTAGGTACTATAGGTAGGTACGAATATAATTGAAAATATTAGATAATTAATGTTTAGGTACACCTAGTTTTAATGTAATAATTGTAGTTTTTTTTAATTAAGTTTCGACCTTTCTCACGATTCATTCACTCGTAATTCACGTGTTAATTATAAATATGTATTTTTTAAATATTCAATACTTGTACAATATTGATATGTTATTATAAGCTACCTATTATTTAGAGGTACCTATTACAAATCGTACAACATAATACACATATAAATAATATTAATATTATGATACTATCCACTTTAATCGGTATTTCGAGAATCGAATGTGTAAGAATTTATATCGATATACAGCATTTATATTTTTAAAAATTGCAAGTTGATATTCTAAGTTTAATAATGATTTAAATAATTACAACGAATATGCAGGAGTACGCGTTTAAATCATCGTTTATACTGCTGCAATCACTATAATTTGTACAAATATTTTACGTTTAATTATGCATTTGTAATGTACCTACGTCTTGCAAACGATAATAATAGTGTGTTAACAAATGCGTAGGTATGTTGTTTATTATAATAATACATACATAAACTAACTGGGTTACCCTATAGACTATAACATTATTCTAAGTAAGAACACATGTTCAATATCTAGTTTTAGTCTACGACAAAAATGTAAAAATCACTAATAAATATGTTTATAATACTGAATAACAGTGCAACAATTACGTTTGACAATAAATTATCGAATTAAATATATTATTATTTATTATATTTAATTCGTTAATAATTTATTGTGTTTGTATTGTAGACAACAAGAACACACTCGTTTGCCTTGACCCTGTCAAATTAAAAACTATATAATAATTGCGTTACTAAATTGTTTCATTAGGATGTTATAATTAAATATTATTTTGTTATTAGTTTGACAATGATGTTTGTATTTTAATATTGTTCAGTTTTCTTAGAAAACACCAACAGAGGCTTTAGTTTCAATACTTTTAAAGACCTATGGTGCAACGGTTCTTAGTAATGAGCAGTCATTTTTCCATATATTTTAATATGTTTAAGGAAAATTGTGCTCCCGATAATTTAAGTTTTATTTTGTCAGTCAAATAGTTTTTTTAGGGTCAGTTAAATATGATCACAAAAAAGGGGTTTGTATGCACCTTACGGTTCTGCAAACCATAAATCATTAATGCAAATAGTGATGGCTTGGAAGTTAAGCTCCAAAACTCATCCCAATCCTCCCAAAATAATGTCTTTAACAAGTTAAAGCATCAATATTGTAGGGGCTTAGCCCCCCGAAATATATTGGACTATTTACGCCTATACTCTGAACACAACTTCTGGCTCTGTTACGATTGATACATTGAGATGGCCTGCATGCTTAAAAGTACTTAGATAGGTAATAATAAAGTACTTTAAGTTACTTTAATAAATATGAAACTTAACAAAAATTATACCACTTTAGAGTTAATGACAATATATTGAAAAACTAACAAATACGAGCAAGCATTAAAATTTGATTTTTATTTTTTAATAGTATTTTAAATTCAATGATTTATCTTTGTCTTGCGTTTTTAAATAGCAATAAAATACACATAACTATTAGTTAGGGTGATTGGGCTACAGCCATACAATGAAGTCATTTTTTTTTTATTGATTATGTACGTAATTGATAGCTTCGTTTGTTTTTAAATTTATCTTGTTAAACAATATTTCCTAATCTAACCTATATTTTGTTTGTAATATGCATTGACGCAACTAAAAGCTTGTATACGCATTTATTTATTAAGTCCTTCTAAATAATCAAATCTTGAGTAAATTAAAATAAAAAAAACTAATGGAGGCTTTAAGCGAATTTGTATGCCGGGCTAAACACCTCCTCAATTGAAGCTATGGCGATGTGCATTGGATAGATGGTAGGATTAAATGTATATACATAGCCATAGCCAGGACCTAGAAGTCTACGAACGTCTGTATCAAAATACGAGTATAAGCGTTTGAAAGAAATTAAATGAATCATGAAATATTATATGATGTGTGTCTGCATGTTAGATTTCAAAGGAAGTAAATGCTTTTCTTACATGCTTATAATGAGTACTCATGACGTAAGTGATGTATTATAAAGCCAATAATTCGGATACATACGTATAGATTATTTCTTCTTTTTAATCTGGGTACTAATTTAAATATTTCATCATAAATAGTTATACCAACATAATAGCTATAATAATGATAAAAGTACTATACAATATATAATTTTATATTTTATAATATAGTTTTATATTATATACCTGAAACATATTATTTTTTTTTTTTTCATAAAAATGTTTACAGTTGAATAAATCGAAACAATTATAATCAAATACTATATTTTATACGTGTTAAAACTAATTAAAATAAAAAATGTCCTCCGTCCGTATACAGTATTTTAAACAAAATATATTATTTTAACATAATATAACAGCGCGTTTAAAAAAAATAATTGCAATTTATAAAGTATGTACACTTATAATAACTTTTGTTATAGCGTGTTTCACTCAAATGGTGATACAACATATTTCAGCCGGATGAACTTAAATTAAAATGATTTTTTTTTTAGAAATAGATTCCATATACATACATACAAACACATACATTTTTAGTCTGAAATATATTCAAAATTATAATTCGTGCATACACAACTCGTAAAACTCACATTTTCCTAAATTTAAATATCCAATTCAAATACATAGTTCTATATTTTGACAAACAACTTTAACTAGTACAATTTAATTTAATTTAAAATTAATTTCAAAAAAAAATTTTTTTCAAAAAAAATTAAAACATTAATTTTCAAGTAGCAATTTATGATAACTGTTTTACGAGGAAAAGAATATTTAGTAAAGGTAATTGTAAAATTACAAACACATAATAATATGATTAACATATTATGCATTACATTTTTAAATAAATTATAGTTGGCTGATCTTAGACGATTTTAGTGATAGAAATAAATTAAATTTTTACTTTCAAAAAAAGGATATTCGAATCTGATGTTTATATTTAAGTAAATGAAAATTATACTGCACACAAATTTTAAAATTTTAAACAGGTTTAAAACGTGCATTTTGGAACCCTCGATATTTCTGTAAAAAAAAAAACCCCTCTGAATGCAACCAGGTGGAATATTGCACGTTACCGTTTGAGTGAAGCACTCTGTATGTATATAATATCTGTTAAAGTTAACTCAATTAATTTCAAGTTGTATTGTGTACGAAAAATATGTACACATTTGTTTATTTCAAATCAAAAATGATACCGCTTAATTGCCACCAATTTTAAGGGAAGGTAGCCACAATATGACGCACTACATACTATAATTTACAATATTATGTTCTACACATAAATTTTGTGGTAAATATATTTTGTTATTATAATAATAACGTATTATTATTATTCGTCAAACCATTTTATAATATTGTTACGTCTTTGGATAAAATATAACAGAAGTAATGCTATGTATTCGCAGTTTTATGCGTAAAATGATACAACTAAATATTTAAATAATCTACTTTTCCGTCCGCCGTCACTGCGGTATTTCCTTAGAAGAGTAGGTGAACCGAAATCTGATAGGACCACCTACATCTGACGTATTATTATCACAAACAGTCAAATAATTTTTAAACAAATATTATTCTTAATATGACGTACATATTCGATTACGTTCATAATGGTTGTAAAAAATATTTCTTTTTTTTTTTTTTTTAGACCTCGAGATTTGTTACACAGGTAAAATAAATATTTTGATTGAACTATATTATTAACATAATATTAGATAATAATAATGAATAAATAAACATATAGGTATACATATAGGTATACATATAGGTATCACATCACTAATAAACGACTACCCGTTATCAAAACATGCACTCGGTGAATTCTACGTTTTTGTATTAAACGCCTATAATTGAAGTAATATTAGGTAATGCGTTGTTCAGAAAAAAATAAAAAATACACATTTTAGTTTTTGAACGGAACGAGGAAATATTGGTTTTACAATGATGTTAATTTATTTTTTTTTTATCTGTGAATAACTTTTCTACTAGAAATTTTACTCAAATTTTCAACTGTAGCACTTTTTATCAAAGGAAATCTGATCGAGATGGTATTTAAGGATGCAATTTTTTTGATTTTTCCAGGGGCTTTCATAATAAATGTGGAAAACCAGGAAAAACGGGAAAATCTACGAAATTTATTATTTTCAAATCGTAAAAATTACGACTTTTTAAACATTTACAACCGAACTCCGCTCAGAACCGTTTCTCGTTAGCAAAAATGAATTTTTGTGTACAGATATACGTTAAATTACCTTTATATCCTACCTTCCCAACTTTTCACCTACAACGTGGCCCACTCATCGTTCAAAGTATGTCCGTATCATTTTAACTATATTTTTAATAGAACTTTGACAATAATAGCGTTTGCCGTCTCTGTTTTCTTAACGAACAACATTGTAAAAATTAAGTCACGTTATTAATTGACGACCACATTAATTACTTACTATAAAACTTTTTAATATCTTATTCTCAGATAATCTCTATTCGTACTAAATTAACTATTTGTATTGAAAAAATATTTTTAAAAATCACCACGTTAAAACGTATAAAAATATGTTGTCTTTAATTTGGTGAAATAGTGTTCATTTTATATCCATTAATCATGAAAGCCTAGACAAAACCGAATTACGATCATAGTTATAACCCTCTTCACATAGCTGCTCGGTTTTAAAAACCCCCTAACACACTCCCCCTAATTCATTTCTATGCCTAATATTGGAACTCCGAAAACACAATTTTATAATTTACAATAAAAAATTAGTTTTTTCATCAATTAAACCCGTACTGTTAAATTCTATAAAATAGGTAATTATTTTATTAAGAAATTAATTAGGTATTAAGATTGACCTGAGCGGAAATAGGGAATCGAACCAAGTTTAATCTATATTAACTTGTATAAAGTAAAAAAAAACCTCAATAAATAATTTTTAATAAAACCAGTCCATTAAATCGTTTATCACGTCATTGATAACAATGTATTCAATTATAACATACGCCCCTCTCCTTATGAACTTTGAATAACTTCCGAAGGTATTAAAACTTTAGTCAACAATACATTAAGTTATAATTTATAACTTATATCGTGTAAGTACGACTGTGTATGAAAAAAACCCTTATAAATAAACAAGTTTTTATTTCACAACAATCACTATACTGAATTTCTTTGCTTTATCGGAAACTTTGGCAAGATCTAGATAAATTCCATAGATTTTTCCTCGGTTTTCTACATTGAGTTCACGACATTTGATAGAAACTAAGCCAAGTTTGTTATCGTCAATATATATATGTATATAAAAAAGAGCTGATACTGGGGATGGGAGCGGCCACTGTTGTAGGTGAGAAGTTGGGAAGTTGGGAAGGTTATCTTACCTTCCCAACTTAAGGTTATTTCATTTACATTTGCAAGTAACGATAAACCATCGCTTGACGAAAGACGATTCCGAGAACAGTTCGGTAATACATAATTTGGTGTACCGTAATTTTTTTGAGATTTTCGTTTAATTAAATTTGATTTCAAAATGCTCATTAAAAAAAAAATGTCATCTGATGATTTTGGAAGTTATAACACGTCTAGGTAAGTCCAATACAAGTATTATTACCGTGTTTCAAGTCTCTACGTGTATTAATAACCGAATTACAGCAAAAAACTCTTAAAAATTAAAATTTCTTAAAAAACTCAATATTTGCTGAAAAGTTTTGGCAATGATACCGTAAGAAAGTAAATCAAAGGGACAANAGTTTTTTCCCACTTAATTGCTTTTATTTAATAAATGAAATCAAAAAAATTACCTTTTTATAGTACAATATAGACAACTTGAACTTTCAGAAAAGTTGTGGTTCGTAAAGATCGGAGCAAGTTTACCAGAAAAAAACATGTCTACAAACTAGAACAAAGAGAAAAATAATACAAATAAACAGCATTGTAAAATCAATAGCTCCCTCGCTACGCTCGGAATCTAAAATAGAATCTACTTCGGATTTGCAGTCAATGCGAGCTTAATTTATTCATTTTATTAGAAATCACTGCAAACGATAATAAGTATAGGAAGATTTCGAGGACAAAAATATGAATTACAGCTGAGTCTACTCATGAGTGATGGGATAAAGACGAAAAAACTGGTGTTTTGCTAAATCGCCTGTTAGAAACACAAAGACGATATAGTGTCATCTGCTCAAGGATTTTTATGTATATTATGGTGACAGTCAATACAGATTTTCGATTCTAATGCGAAATTTCGTTTAGAAAAAAGAAATAAAAAATAATTTGAGAATATTTTCTACACTACTTCGGACTTTTATACTTAAAACGAATCCAAACAACATTTATATTTTTATATCGAAATATTTATGAAGAAAGAAAAAAGGTACCTACTGTCCATTTAATTTGAAATATACAAATATACTTTAACTAATATAAACCTGTCTCGCGATGCGATCAAATAAGTTTAAACACTATAGCAATGCAGCACGTGCGTTGCCCCATGACCGCGACAACCGAATTAATGTACAAAATAAATTACGTCCGTATAACCAATAAAAACCGGAAATAAACAAAAAAAAACACGTTATGAACGCCCACTATGCAAGCGTACAAATTCCCGGTTTCTAAACGTATTTTAAACAATAAGCTATAATTTCATGTTTACAATTTTTGGAAGAATTTGGTAACCTATATAGTTTTATAATATAATTATGTGTAGATATCTAAATTAATTAATAATATAAATCTTATCATTATTTGCAGATAATTGACAAGACATTTCTAGAATTTTTAAAGTACTTAAATTTTGGGACTTATGGTTCATTTTTAGTAAACTTGCTCCGATTTTTACGTTTAGCAACTTTTTTATGAGCTCAAGTTTTCTAGATGGTACTTTGGAAAAGTTATTTTTTGATTTTTGACGCTTTTTTTTTTTAAATAAAAGTACTTAACTTTTGAGGTTTTAAAGAATTTTAATTTTTCTGAGTTTTTTTGCTGTAACTCGGTTATTAATATACGTAGATACTTGAAACATGGTAATATCTATATTGAACTTACCTAGATATATAAAAATGTTCAAAATCATCGAACTTTTTTTTTTTAATAATCGTTTTGAAATTAAATTTAAACGAAAATCGCAAAAAAAAATTACTACACTTAAAATTATGTAATACCAATCTGCGCTCGGAATTGTCTTTCGTCAAGAAATGGTTTATCGTTGCTTACAAATATAAATGAAATAACCTTATGTATCCTACCTTCCCAATTTCTCACCTACAACAGTGGCCGCTCCCATCCCCAGTATCAGCTCTTTTCATATAATATTATAGCTTTGGTATAAATATATATCCAAATTAATACGCATAAATTATTTAAATTAGTAATGATAATAATATATATTATATAAAAAGGACGGACATACTTCGCACGTGGGTGCAGTCACTGTTGTAGGTGGGAAGTTGGGAAGGTAGGATACAGAAGGAAATTGAATGTACATTTGTAAGTAACGATAAACAATTGCTAAAGAAAAAACTATTCTGAGGATTAGGTTAGGGTTCGGAGTTCAGTTGATAGTATTGCTTTTTCAACAATATATAGGTATGTCATATTATGATAAAATAATTACAAAAATATGCTTTTCCATGATAACAATTATCGTTTAAAATAGATAATTCATATAATAAAAACTTAATAATAACAAAAAATAAATAAAAGCGGTTACCAATGACAACCTTATTTTTAATATTTCAATCTTTTTTAACCTAAAGAGCCATGTTTCCCTCATTATCTCGAATATTAATGAGAATTTTTAAAAAAACAATCTCTCTAAATTACCACCCAGCAACATTTCTATACAGAAAAAGTACTATACTTGATGATCGGAGTAAGCTTTCTGATAGAAAAAGTGAACACATAACAAAAATGAAAAAAGAAATAAATAAACGTCTTTATAAAACCAATTACATTCTTCACTAAATTCAGAATCTAAAATTAATCGATATCTTGTTGCTCGCGATATAACTTGAAAACAGATGAACGAATTTGGTTATTTTTTTTCGTTGTGTTCATAATTGTCAGAATAAAGTTTTTTAAAAAAAAAAATTTTCGAAAATCAACGAGAAAAGTAAATTTAGATTGTATTTTTTATGAAAACTTCAATCAATTTTTTTATTTCATTGGTATCACCAAGATAACCCGAAAATCAACAAAAATAATTCGATAATTTATGTTTAATTCTGCTAACATGTGTTTCCATAACAACTGCAAATTGATGATAAATAAAAGTAAAGGTTTGTATGAATGAAAACTGTTGGGTAATCTCCGGAAAAGTTGGAAATTTAGATGGTATACATGTTATGGCGTCACGAACAAAATATCAGTTCATGTATATTTATATTATACATGAATATATGTATACTCGTTTATATAGATTAACAATCGAGTAATTAATTTTATATATTTAATATAAATTGTCGGCATATACGCACTTAAAGATATAAAAGGAACGTCGTATCATCTGCAAACGACGATATTATAATATGGTACACGCGCTCTCCCACTGTCGAGTGTCCTCATTCCACGATAGGTTAGGTTCCATAGGTTAGGTTCACTTCCATTGAATCCACCCCTCCCCCCAAATAATAACCAAAAAAGAATTTGTTCTCACTTCTGTAATAACATTATAAATATTATGTAAATAAAATAATACTATATTATTTTAATGATAATATTTTTAATTTAATAAAATAATAATATTTTAGTATTATTACTATTATTGTCATTACGAATTTGCTATCTGGGAATGCACTATACTCTTTTACATTGTTTTTCAACATTTTTAAATTTATCACCCCAACAAGTGCAAATGACTTCATCGCCTCTCTATGTGAAAATTCCATGATTTGATAAATTATAAAATTAAAAAAAATAATAATAAATAAATAAAAATGGTACATATTAAAAGTTGCATTTAAGCTGTCTTAAATTTCGTTCATATGAATCATAAACAATTACTTATAATATGCGAAAAACATTCACTACCTCCACCCTTCACTGCCTTCACTCCCTTCACAATAACACAAGTAATGAAAACATTAACACAGAAAATATTGTTGATCAAACTGCTAGGCAAAACGCTGCTTGAAATAAAAATATTTTGCCCTTGGTCACCTAACTTGTGTTAAGTATTATTATTATTATTTTTGTTATTTATATTATCATTATTTTAATTAATATTTATTTAGTGTGAAAAAAATTAATTTAATTTTTAAATTGTACTTTTTTTCTGCATTGTGTAATATATCTACAGTCTTCTAAGCTAATATAAGTTGAAATGACATCGGACATGAAGATTTTAGGTTTTTGTTGACTAAAGCGGTGGTATTCGAGAGTGAAAATTGTTATTTTCATAATTGTTAAAATTATTTCGCCCCTCCTTCCCATAATCAAGGTCTGGAGACGGTCCTGGATATGAGAACATTCACAATTTTATATTATGTATTTAAAATTATTGTAATTATTTGAAAATAAATAAATGCATTTGGAATTCTAGGAATGCTTTTCAAAAAGAACAAATATTTAAGAACACAATAAAATGTTATTTATCTAGTCGTCTCTTATTATTATTACAACTTTTCGTAGTTTTAATAACCTAATTATTTTCTATCTGATTCGTCATACGTATTATATGATAAATATATAATTATATTTTAATTAGAACTAAATTTTAATAATCTAATTGTTTTTTATGATGCGTATGTGGGATTTTTTTTTTTTTTATTGTTATTCGTGCAAGTATGGCGTACGTACACTACGCATTCGGTAGAAAAATATGACGTTAAATTTCACATTAGTCAATGAGTGATATCTTTTATATTTTTTCGGTGTTTAGAAGTGTGAAAATAATAACCAGAAGTAAAATAATAATATTGTAGTGCGTAAATAGGTAACTAACGAATATTATTAGATATGTTTACCTACAATTTTAATGTTATTACAGAATGAAGAAATACAACTGTTGACTAACAGAGCTAGTTCAATAGACATCATAATATTATTAAGATGTATTTTCTTCGACGTGAATCATATTTAAAGGCCAAATTGGTACGTAAATCTCCTTATCGGATAAATATTAATAAAAGTATTTATATAAATACAGACCTAACCGTGCAACAACTATAGTCATGTATGTATGCATGCGTTAACCTTACGCAAAATTTAAACAGATGATGAAAAGGCAACTCCGAAATTTACACACAATAAATAATTTTCCTACCTATATTATTCTCTGTATTATCTCTGCGAATTTAAAATTGTATTTTCATAAAACAAGGAAACTAAATATACAATTAATCAAAAGGTTAACGTGTAATATTACGTGTATTGAATTTTATTCTTGACGTTTTCATAAACGTTTGTTGCTATCCAATATATATTTATATATTTATACTATATTTATATATTTATATATTTATATTATATTAATATACATTTATGTACCTACCTGTCTATATTCCGATTTTAACTTACATGAATATAATAACATATCTATAGTAGTTATAGCCAGTTTTTTTTTTCTTCGTAAAATTTATCAGCTGTATTAGCGATAAAACTATACTATAAATGACCGTGCGATATTTTTAAAATACCTATTCATTCATTATTTATTTAGAAGAGGCAGTTGCCCATTTACACGGAACGTAAAGTAGTAGGTAATATACAGTTTTTAAAAATTAGGATGTACATGTGAATTAAGAAATTATTCTATTTAAATATACATTGAACGAATTAACAGTTGCCTGTGAAAAAATATCAACATTAAACTTATTAACTAGATTCATACATTTAATAATAGGAGTATTTGCACCACAGTTTGTGGACTGGAATGGTACATAAAATGTGTGAATTTGTCTAGTGTTGCGATTAGTGGTACTGAAAAGTCTAATTTAACTAGAAAAATTGGACAATCAATTTGTCCATTAATTAATTCAAAAATGAAGAGGAGATCAAACCTTATTCTTCTAGTTTCCAATGGTTCAAGGTTTAAAAAAATTAATAATGGGAGATAAGAGGAGTGAGGCTGACGACAAATATCAAATCTCAAAGATACTATTCTTAAAAAACAATTATGAACCGATTCAAATATATGAATACTTAGTATAACCACTCTGACGACTTAAAATTGGAGATGGATACAAATTTTAAATAATCGTTATTTTAATTTTCTAGTTGGTCTTAACAATTACGACCTTATTTATAAAAACATATTTCCATTAGGTATAAATTATACATGTTTAAAATTAAAACAAACATAAATTTAAATGACAAATCTTGATTGATTATGTTTGAGTGATATTATAACGGGGAGGGGGGAAATGATATATCAAACTATGCTAAATTTACCACTATTATTATTATTATCACTCCAATTAAATAAAACGTGACAACTACTAAAAATACGCATGCATAATGCACATATTATTATAATTATAATTAAATCCGATATTCAAAGGGAAATAACCGTAATACATAGAAACATTCAGCGGTCGTTAAAATAACCTAACCTGTCACGTCCAGTTAGATATTATATTATTTTTATTTGATTTTTTGGTGAACTTAAAATTTAAAATTTTATTCAGCGAACTCGGGTAGAATTGACGAAAAATAAACAAAAAAAATCTGTTTTCAAAAGTCTGTTCGCTTCACTAGATCAATCAGTACCTACATTGGAAATAAAAATTTTATAACGTCCTATAGTGTACGTACGCATACATATCACAGACAGAAAATCACAGTTTTGAAACTCTTTAAAAAAAAGTTTTTCCGTCATCAAACAATATTTTTCTATCACTTAAGAAGATCAGACAGAAGATAATATAATATACAATTTGAGATGTACAGTCTAGCGGTTGCATAACGTGGATTTAAAATCGAATTATTATTACTATGTAACTATAATAATATTATGTTGTGGCTAATAAAATGTTATGTAAAATGTTTGTAGTCATATGGCTAAAAACCAAAAAAAAAAACTGTTCTGTTCGGAGATCTGTTTACACTCGAGGCCGTGACGGACAAACGTCCAGTATACTTTACACTTCCGCTGTCTGTGCAATTAAATATATATGAGATATTGTATATCATTTAGGATAATAAAACATAGTTGTTACTCGATTATTGTTGCAGGTAATTTAAATATTACTGGCTACGATATGTAATTTCTATGTGGGTACATAATAATAATACACAGTACACAAAACGAATATCGAATTCAATTTGTCAAACGAGAAAATTTTAACGAGGCTATCAGGTATATAGGTACAGGCTATATACGAGTAGGTACAAATTGTTTCTGACGTAGGTATAAATATATGTAATATTATCACGTCTTAATAGAGTTTATTTGAATCCAACTATTATATTAATATTATATTATATCAATATGATATATAATTTCACGTTAGGTGTGATCGTTAACACAATGGGAGGGGGGGGGGAAGTAGCTAATATTTAGCATAAATTGTCATTATAATTTTTATTTAATTTTTGAACCCGGTTTAGTGACCTTTTTCACTCAGGTAATATTTTCGATATATGAAATTAATTGAATAAAAAAAACATAATCTATACATAAAAAAAAAAAAAAACATTAACAACCGATATTGTGTATTCAATAATACACAATTAACATAACTGATAATCACTTAGACACATACAGATACACATACACACACACACACACAGATAAAAGTCGATTTATTTAGATTATAAGGAATTGTTTTCAGTTGCAAACTATTGCTCCAGTATAACACATTGATATTTCTATATTATATTAACACGAGTATACCTGTTAGGTGCCTCCTTGGAAATATTTTATTTTTATACAATTATTATTGTCATACAGTTGATAATTACTATCACATAAACAAAAGTATATTTTAATTTGTTTGATAATTTAATTCGTTTAAATGGCGTGTGTTGATAATTGTTTATCGGTAACGCAAAAGATACTCAAACAAAAAAAGGTAAGCATGTATTAACACTTAAAAAGATTGTTAAAAAAAAAAAAAAAAACAATATTAATTAATTTATTTGTATAAGAAAGTTCAATTTGTATTAAACTATAATATTATATTATGTTATTGGCTATATCATAATTTTTTGTCAAGTTTTCAATGTTATTTAAAAATAGGTGAGAAGTTTAAAAGGTGCATGAAATATAAAGTTATTCAATAATATTAACGATTCATCATTGTAATCTAAAAATGATTCTGAGCTTCTAGTATTTTTTTCCCTTTTTTGTAGCCAAGGCTAAAAATCTAAAAATCAATAAAAATAGAACCTATGCACATCGACATATTTAATTTTTTTAACGTTTTTAAATTTTAAGAAAAGTTTTTTACCTAAATTTATTTTTTTTTCGTTTCTTTCCCTGGTTTTTCCAAAATATTATTAAAACTGCAAGATAAATCCACCTCAGTCCGCCAACTAGATCTAAAATTCTACCAAAAACTTTCCATATGGTCTTTTTAATTTGAACATTCCGCTCGACTCAAAATATTAAATTTGAAAACAACTTTAATACATACATATTTATTTAATTTTTAATTTAACGTTTTAAAACTGCTAAACGTGCTGAAACTAAAATAAAGTACATCATAAATTTAAGTTTTCTTTATTCCCTCCCATTAACGAGGAATTCTTTTAACTTTTATTCAGTTAACTGACGATACCGTAGGCTCATGACATAATTTGAATATTATTCGTACAATTATTATATTTTTCACAACGGTTATCTCGTTTAAACTAATTATATCCAAACGAGTGGTGAGTGGATATACCTATACCTATAGTAAACAAAACTTAATGAACTACTGAAATTTTGTTACAGACATGCAGAAAATTGTATAGTATTCAACATTTATTGGCGAAAAGAAATCAATCAACTTTATCACAAAACGATCCTGAAAAGGTAAACATAATTTGATGAATTATTTCATATTTTTTTCACACATAACCAATGACCATTATATAACATTATAAACTAAAGTGCAATCATAATAAAATAAATATTAACATGTCCTTAAAATGTATTTTTTTTAATATATATTAACTGTACGTATTATATTAGACGTATATATTGAAAATAGGAGTAGGTTAGGTTATGCGCATACATTATTTTCAGAAATTTTAACGCAATAGTATCTAACTTGACCAACTATTTGATACGCCACGAACCTTGCTGAACATTTTCAGATCGTTTAAAGCTAAGCTAAACACGTGGTCGGTTGTAAAAAAAAATATACTGGCAATCAATTGAATAAAAATACACGATGCGGAATTTTAACCTACGACTTCGCGTCAGCGATGGGCACATAATCTCGTTTAAGTTATCGCAGTATTAACATTTTCACTCAATATACACTTCTACATTGGGTTTTTTCGCAAATTATAACACACATTTCAACATTTGAAGTGGAAAAAAGCCCCTTTCAATCAACTATAAAAAAAAAAAAAACCTAAAACTTATAAAAGTTAGAAGAATTCTATAGTAATAAGAAGAATAACATATTTTTAAATAATCCACTCTTTTTAACTTGAAAAAAAAACAGTATGTATAAAATAATAAATACTAATATTTTAACAAATTCGCGTTAGCTATATTTGTTTAAAACCAAAATAAATAACATACTTTATATAATAATTATATTAATGATTAAAGTTTTTATTTTAACACAATCTACTCAATCGTTATGGAAGAAAGAAATTTGAATTTGCTCATAAATAAAATCCTTACGGTTAAATTCTATAAATAATTATTTAAATTAGAGATTAATTAGGTTATATAGAATTGGCCTAAGATTAAATGAGTATTAGGATTGATCTGAGATTAAGTACCTAGGAAATCGGACAACGATCGATCCATATGCTCACAAAATCCTAAAACTTATATACCGAATAAAAAAAAAAGTCTCATCAGTAATTGTCTTATTATTCCAGTCCATTTAATCGTTTATCACGTCGTTGATAACAATGTATTGAATCAAAATATATTATACCCCCTCCTTATGAATTTTAAACAATTCCGTATAGGACCTAATTATAATACTTATAATATAGGTATTATAACTTTAGCTAACAATACATTTTATAATGTACTTTTAAATTATAACTTCTGTCGTACAAGTACGACTATTTGTACAAAATTCGAATAATTAAAGTTGCATAAGAATCGATACAATAAATTTCTTTACTTTATCGGAAACTTTGGAAAAATAAAGATTCCATTGATTTTTCCCCAGTGCTCTACCATGAAGTGTTCACGTTTGTCCAAAACTAAGCGAAGTTTACGTTGTATGCAGTAATGGAATCTATTTTAGGAGTTGCTGTCAGTGCGAACATAGTTTAACGTTGTACTAAAGATCACTACAAACGATGACAAGGGTAGGGAGATTTGAAATGCGAAAATTAAAGTTGCAGCTAATTCTAAACTTGCCTGATGGAATAGATTAGTACATAAAATAAAAGAAGGGTCCGATAATGGAAACGGGTGCAGCTGGTGTAAGTGAGAAGTTAGGAAGGTAGGATATAGACAGGAATTTAATGTATATCTGTAGACAAAGATAAACCATTACTAACAAAAAACTATTCTGAGCGGAGTTCAGTAGATAGTGATGCTTGGTCAACAATATATATGTAATTTTAAGGTAAAATAATTAAATGGACATTATATATTTTCTTTAATAATATTTATTTAATGTTGTACTGATTTTCCTGTTTTTCTACATTTTAACCTCCCTATAGTACCAGCCCAAGAAAATTTTCTTTCAGGAAAGGGTTTACATCGTATACATCGGACTAAGCTTTCTGGTAAAAAAAGTGTTCACATAAAAAAAAAATTTTTTACAACCAATACATTCTTCGCTACACTCAGAATATAAAACATACAAGGAAATAGGAATTACTTTTAACTGATATTTTATAGTATTTCTGAGATAACAAATATTAAATATTAATTATGTACTAGATTTGTACTGTTTTTTAATAATAATATAATTTGGTCTTTCATTGTATGCTTGGAATTTAAAATTAATTTTTTATCTCAAGTTACTTTTGGAAATATAGATGCGTATATATTTGAATTTACTACCTACATCGTTTACAACAGACTTAAATCTCTACTAGGTATCTATAATTATAGTAACAATATAACATTAATCATTTTATTATTTATAAAATTGAAGTAATGTTTGATTTCAACCTTAAAATAATATTATTTACCAAAAATACAATTCTCATAAGGTTATTAGTACTAATCAGACAAATCATGATTGTGTTTTGATTTTATTTACAGAATAACTTGAAACCAGAAATCGACATAACAGTTAGCAAATCATCAAAGCTTAATGATAATGTCACTAATATCCTAAAAAGTGGTACGCAAATTAGGTTTGGTACTATTTTTACTGATCATATGCTCAAAATATCTTACGACAAGCATGCAGGAGGTTGGCAGAAACCGTATATCACACCGATGGAACATCTCTCTTTACATCCCGCAGCTAAAGTACTCCATTACGCCACGGAGGTACGTATATTTGATTTCAAAGATTTACAAAAATAAATAGCTTAACAGATATTCTGTATGATAATATAGATAGGTATGTGTTGTAATATAAATAAATACTTCAATAATTAATATTGAACCCATTTACTATTTATATTACATGATTGCAATTTTACGTTATTCGATCGGTTCGGTTAAACATTGCGCGGTAGTTGACTGAGTGATGTTAAAATATCTAACATAGACATTGTTACAACACGCACTATAATATTTATATATATATATATTATAGAAAATAAGTGAATAAATAGATAAATGGTTACGGAAATTATTATACCTAAGAAAATTTATTTAAAAAAAAACAACCGGAGCAGCAGAACTCCGTCACTTTAGAGTCGAATTCTACCCCACTTATTTTGATTTATACAAATATTCGTTTTAAAACAATAAATAACCGATAGGTACTAACAACTATAGAGCCGCTTGTGACATGTATCATAGACATGCAATTAAAAATCTCATGCTGAAAACCGTGTAATCGGAAGTTAACGGAATTCACGAAATCTAAACACGTGAATTCACGTATCGCGAGGAATACGTTAATATCCAAAATAAATCAAAAAACTATATCCGTGTACCCGAACCACGGATACACGGGTGTAATAAAAAACATGTTCTATTGCGACCTTTACTAACAACTATAATACTTTACCCAGAAAACAAACATTTTTAAAAAATGGTCAAATTTTGAGTATGAAAATGATATGATGGAGCTCAAAGTTTAAAAAGATTCAAAATACACGTCCTTGATACCAACGCCAAGCATACCTACACAAAATTTGACCAACTAGCTTTATTTGGGGGTCTGCAAGGTTTTCAAAGCTAACAATATTCCTCCTTCCGCAAAAACGTAGTAAAATTCAACCCTACTTTTATCACTATAGTCTACCAATAAAAAAATTCTAATTCCTGTGTTTAAGCTCGTTCAATCCAGGGAGAGCCGCTAAATATAAATAGACCTATATAACAACAAACACAAAAGTTTCTATTTTCTATAAGTAAATTCAATTATATTATGATATTATACAATTTTAGAATTGTTTTTACCTATTTACTTTGTAAATATACCTGTACTTCAAATTTCCTAAACAAAGTTAAAAAAGACGTCCTAGGATAATGGGGACGGGTGCAGCCACTGTAATATATAATTTAATGTATGCCTGTAAGCAACAATAAACTATTGCTTACGAAAAAACGATTCTAAAAGAAGTTCAGTTGATAGTGATACTTCGTCAACAATATATATGTCATATTATATTAAAACAATTAAATAGGCTTTATAATTTTTTTTTTTAAATAATATTTGTTTATTATTGTACTGATTTTCTCAATTTTTCCGGTTTTCTCATGTTTTATCCCGGTTTTTCTGCACATTTTCTTGGGAAAATCGAAAAATGACCTATTTAAAGTACGTTCCCAATCAAATTTCCTTTCGGAAAAATTGCTATCATTATAAATCGAAGCCAAATTATTTGTAGAAAAGTTGTTTACAGGAAAAAAAAAGGGCCGTAATATATTTTACCTAATACCTACATTTTATTATATTTTCCCGTGTTTCTTCTGTTTTTTCTGTTTTTCAAATTTGATGAGAAAAAATCGAAAAATGACCTTTCTAGAGTACTTACACATACCGATTTCCTGAAAGGAAATCGGTATGCTACACAAAAAAATCAGAGCAAGTCTTCTGGTAGATTCTGATGATTCTTCGAATCGTATCATACTTGAAATTGCAATCGCTTTATTAGATAGGTACACTTAGAAATGCAACGTCCATCCTATATAAATAATGACCTCATAATCGTACAATTGTTTATCAATTCAATACACTCGCATAATAATGTATACTATGTAGTTTACATAAATCAATTATCATAAAAATCACCTTAACCTACATACATTATTATATTGAAAAAATAATATATACTTAGAATAGATGCATTGTTTAATAGACACAATTTTGTATTCCTAGCCGAAGAAGTATAAAAATAAATGTATATGTATGTGATATATATGATGTACCTATTAAAAATAAAATAATCAAATCTGATAGATATTCTAAAATAGATAGCGGGGTGCCTATACATACTCGTTAAACTATTATGAACCTCGTTTTCTGCGGTAATTTTTATGATGGTAAATGTGTACATACTTTACCTAAACTAAATACATAAACTAATATACCTAAACTAAAATACCTATCTACACACATATTCACCGACGATTATTTACTTATTAGTATTATTACCAACAACAAATGACACATAGAAAATAATAATATGGAATATACCGTATACGTCGTATCTATAAAAAGACTAATGATGTTATGTGATTTTATTTCTAAGGTTTTTGAAGGAATGAAGGCATACAGATCAGTGCACGGTCACATGAACCTATTTCGACCAGAACTAAATTTGAAAAGGTTAAACGTATCAGCTAAACGGATAGGTCTACCTGAAATAGAACCAGAAGTATTACTCAGCGGTATAGAACGTTTGGTGTCAATCGACAACGAATGGCTACCTGTCTCTGCTCCACTCAGTTTATATATCAGACCCAACCTCATCGGTACAGAAGTAAGTGATACGACCACTACAAACATAATATCAACTGAAAATTAATCAATTGTTTTTTTTTTATTATTTTAAATTTTTTTATTACCATGAGAAATTTTTTTTATCTCACTTAAAGTTAAATTGTAATGAAAATATATTACCGTTTCCAAAGGAAAATCCAAAGGAAAATTTCACACCACGTATTTTATTTTACATTGGTTTTTATAATAAATAATATATTCACTTTTGAAACCATTATTATAAATTGGTACCTAATGTATTTCTAATAAAAAACAAAAAAATACTAATAATAATAGATAAGTGTATCACTATACACGTATTTATTTATATATTGTAAAATATATAAATTTCTTTTTTATCCTTAGTTTCTTTAAAAGACCTAACCTATACTTGTTCACTACTAACTTAGGGAACTTCAGACATAATAGATAATCAGACAAAAAATGACAAATATTTTAAACTTTAGTAGGTAATTAGTTATTTCTTATATTGTATATTATTTGTTCAAATTGAATTATAATTTTGTTTACAACAACTATAGGAAAGATAATCTAAAGGTAATCTAAAAATATTTATGTATTTCTCGAATACATACATTAAACATGAAGAGGTTAGGCCCGAAATTCCAGACAAGTCATTTTTGGTCATTTGGTTTTACCCTCAAAAATAAGTGTGACAAAATATAAAATTAATATGTACCCACTTAAATGAATATCACCTAGTATGTAATATAATAGAATAAAATCGAATCCAAACTACGTGCCTGCCATATATTATTATATTTAGTACGCATAATGTTTTATGAAATAAAACCTACGTTATAAAAATATAATGTTTTTTTATAGGGTGCTCTAGGCGTGGGACAAGCAGATTCAGCGCTACTTTACGTAATCATGTGCACAGTGGGATCATATTTTTCCAATAAATTTAAGTCTGTCCGACTGATGGCCAACCCAAAATTCACCAGAGCGTGGCCCGGTGGCAGTGGTGACAGTAAAATTGGAGCCAACTACGCCACTACACTATACCCTCAAGTAAGCCGACCGTCATTAAACATATTATTATTATTTATTAAATATTTTCCAAAATCAGTAATATAATATGATATTAATTCTATCCCACATTTTTTCAAACGTTTAAGTATAATTTAACTGTTGTAGACTACAGCCCGCAGGATAACATAATAACTAATAGAATATTTAACCCTCTCTCAGAATGAGCATAACACATATCGTGGTTTATATTTTAGTAAACCGAAAGACGTCTTTATACAACCTTTATCTAAATGAATAATAGAGTTAATTAATAAACAAAAATCATTCTTAACGTCCAATTAATATCAGATTTTTTAACCTACTTACTATAAACTTTTCGTTATACCTACGCAATTTTAAACGTGTGATTTAAACTTAAATATAAACCTATACATCTGTTTATCGATTTACACCTATGTATAATGATATTTATATTTAATAATTAATAAGTAATAATACTGATAAGTACCTAACTTATAATATTAATTTAACATGAAAATAAAAAAATTCTTCAAGTTAAATGTTACCTTTTTGTTACTTTCTATTTTTTCAATTTTACCGCGGCAATATAAGTATATCGTTTAAATTATAATTTAATAAATACTCTCTATCGACAAATTTTAACTGAAGGTCGATACGTCAATTTTAATTACAAATAACGTTTCGCAGCATTTATTACATCATATTAAAATAAAAAAAGAAATGTATACGCAGTCAAATTATTGTATCTAATAAACCTACATACGTACATTTAAATAAGATTAAATACAATTTCAATCAGCCCATTCATTAAAAAAATCTAAAAATAACTTGGATGTAGGTGACTGTAATCGTCATGAAATAGATAGAAACGTAGAATATTATTGAATATTTTATTAAATTATGACTGAAAAACAGCCATTTAAAATCCCGCTAACAAATATAGGTAACCACTTATAATGCGTAAATGTATGATGAAATATTAATCTGACACTAATGACATGGGTACCTTATCAGCATCATGTATTATAGTTTTAGTAACAACGAATGAAAAATGTTTTTACAATATATTCATAATTTATTATATAAAAAATGTTAAACATAAAAGTTCTCAACCGCTTCATAATTATTTATCGCGCTTTATTACTATAAATGCGGCGTAAAATCAATACAATTATTCGGTTATTATTTGTAATTATATTGCCTAATTAAAACGTTTATCTCATTTTTGAATTCGAATTTTTTATCAACGTCAAACATATTATATTATAGAATTCGCTATAATATTAAAACCTCGGTATAGCTCCTTTAGCTTTTTAGACCTCTATATAATATGCATGTGATATAAATAATAATATACCAATATAGTCTATACCCTTAATAATCTTCCCGGGTTTATAGTAGGTATATATTAGTTGAGTGATACAACTATTTTTAATAAATTTATTCGTACATTAATTTTCCAGTCCGATGACCTATAATAATAATAACACAAAATTTGTTATTTTCACCTATATTAGATTACCTATACCATTATGTAATTAAGAATTTATTTTACTTTATTTTTACCGATCAGGCATATACGTGGGATACAATTTGAGAAGGGGTGCAGTTTATTGTTGGACCCTATTAGCATAAAATATATATGAACAATTAATGTATATAAAAGAAAAATATTTTGGAAGTCCTGTATCCATGGCGAGTTTCCTGAAAGTTTGGCTTCTCGGGAACGTCTATCAATTTTCGGTAAATGTAGTCCTCCTTCGAAGTTTTTCCCAATTTAATCCCTGCATATAGGCTATCATTTCACAAAAATGTAATCATTTACTATTCGAATTAAAATAAAATATTAACTTGTAACTTTATAGCCTTAGTACCTAAAAGTTAAAACAGCATACCTAGGTATTCACAAGTCTAAGGATGCGTTATGAAAATCAAAGACGATATATTATTTTTCAATAATCACGTAAGTACCTCGTAGGCAGTTGTGGATTTACGGAAGAGAGGGGAGTTTCTAGGGGGTCTGGACCCCCCCCCCCCGACACTGATAAAATTTCAATAAAATATCGTCTAAAAAGAAGTATCTATTAATTTATCTATTAGTTAATAGATTAGTAAGTATATATATACCTTAAATATATACCTTTGAAATACGTATGATTTTTCAAGTACCCCTCCCAGAAATATGTTGAAAACCCAATTATTGCTCGTAGAAAATTAATAGGTATATGAAAAAGTAGAATTTTACGTGTCAAAAATGTTAAAATAATAAAACCATATGCAATTCGTAATTATATTATACAATAGCTAGGGCCGCTAGGGGCTAGGGAGCAAGCGGTAACCACGGATTATAATTATAAACTTCTATGGAATACAAACAATTATATTCCGTTTGTGGGAGGGGAACGAAACACAGAATCGCGCAGTCACTGTTATTAGAAAAACTAAACATTCCGGGACAACAGCAATGTCTTAAAATAGACAAAATATATCGTCATTGTTATTACATCCTATAAAATGTCGCATCAAACAAAATCCTATAACTAATACTAATCTTGTTATTGAACTTTTAAATACAGGAATTAGCTTCGGAATTAGGTTGTCATCAAATGTTGTGGTTATTTGGCGAGGACCGACAGATCACAGAAGTTGGCGCGATGAACGTGTTTATTTTTTACAAGAACAAATGTGGCGGTAATTATATTTACAATACACCATATTATACTTACACAACAAATACTACCATAGCTAGTCTACTAACCTAACCTTTAATTATTAATTTTATAATTAAGAATTTACATATTCGTACATTTCTTGTTATTTATATCTTAATGCGATAATACATTTCTTATTCAATAATAGATAATTATTAATTTATTAACGTATAGTGAACCTGCATTGTACAACTTAATACCTATTATGATGATTTTTTTTTTTTAAATCCTTATCTAACGAGGATTAATATACCTATAGGTACATTCAAATATATACCTGTTGAATATTATACATGATTTTTGTAAATATTTAGCAAAAGTATTGGCCACTCCTCCATTGAACGGTCTAATATTACCAGGCATTACCAGGCAGTCCATATTGGAGTTAGCTAGAGAATGGAATGAGTTTTACGTCGAAGAGAGGAATTTCACAATGGACGAATTAATCGAACTCAACAATAACAACCAAGTACGCATTAAGTATAAAGAATGAAGTTAATTACAAAAAAAAAAATTTTAATTTTTAATTTTATTAAGTTCAACAGAATAAATATTTTATTATAGTTGAATTCAGTGTTGGCAGCGTTCCTTTCAAAAAATAATTCGTTCTCGTTCCTCATTCCATATTTAATAAAAGAACTCGTTTCTTAAAATGAAACTTCTTCCTTTTTTTTATGAATTCTTAAATCAGTCCGAAATAATTTTTTTTTTATTCTTAATTTAAAAATATCACTAAATAATTTTCTTTTAAAATATATACATATTACATATTTAACATTAAAATTGTTCGTGAGTTATTCATTAGTCACTTCACAATTGTGTAGATACCTACCTAATTTTCATAATTTGCATAAAAGTGTAGTGTGAGTTAATCAAGTCGTCTAAAATTGGGAACTATCTTACTTCTTGGAATTGATATATTAAAAATTAAATTTATTTCTTACCCTAAAAAAAAAAAATTTAAAAAAAAATGTAAAACTCCGCACAGAATCGTTTTCCATTAACAATGATTATTCGTTGCGTACAGATATACATTAAATACCCCTCTATATCCTACCTTCCCAACTTCTTACCTAAAAAATGGCCCACCCATCGTGCAAAGTATGTCCATCGTTTTTTATTTAAGTGGTACGTGACAGATCCATAATACAAGTGGTACGTGGAAAAAAAAATTTGAGAACTTCTGATCTAGATGGAACATTCACCCCGAGGACTGCGAGGCGGGTCGGTCCGAACGGATTAAAATTGATAGGCTGATGTGCTAGTGTGAGAAAGCAAATTTACACTCCGAGAACAGCCAATTAAAACATTAAAACGTTAGTTGTCTCATGTGTTTCTGTCCTTGAAATGAAACACCACCCACCGGAACGCGTTTTCATACTGAATTTTCCGTCTAGTTGTATAAGCCTATACTCGTATATTAATGGAGAAATAATACATTTGGCCATTGTGGTAATTTATTAGTAACTGGCGAAATGATACCAACACTAAATAATTTCTAGACAATATTATCACTAAAATAACGCGCGTTTCTTGTGGTTTTTTTGTAATAATTGCAACGAAAATTTACGTTCACGTTCCTCTTAAATAGGAACTCTTTCCCGTTCCTCGATTCTACAATTTAAAAGGAACGCTAACCTTCCCAACACTAATTGAATTACTCACCTACCAGAAATCCCAACACTATAGGTATTTACATATAGACATTTATACCAAAAATGTATATGATGTATAATAAGTAAAACTGTAACACGTTATTATATATTTTTAAATTGAACAATTATTTTCAAAACATAGTCAAATCAGATTAGGAATCACTATGAATAACTAGAAATAACCTTACCTAACCTAACCCATGTCAATATTATTTTACCAGACTATTGTTAGTAAATTTCAGTGTATTATAATATTATTATCGGACGTTTCAGATACTCGAGTTCTTTGGATCTGGTACCGCAGCAGTTATTAGTCCAGTATCGTCTATATTGTACGAAGGCGAAGACATCAAATTACCCACCATGGAACAACCGACGCCGTTGTATTCGAGACTGTATAACGCAATTACTGATATACAGTACGGTAAAATCCCACATCCGTGGACGAGGGTAATAGACGAGAGACCACATTTATACAACTCTCAAAATTATAAATACGCCAACTAAATAATGTGAAGACGATTGGTTTTGCCAGCGCATAACATACATTATGTTTAGTTATTCGTCAAGATTCAACTATAACTGCCTACCTACCTATTCAAATTTTATAAACGTTACCTACCTACCATGTTATGTATTCCAAGTCACTATAATTTTGTACCTACCTACTTAAATTTGTGTACCTAGCTTCAAAACTCAAATACAAAAAAATACAGTCAAACGTTATTTGGATCCATATTATGGATTTTTCTTTTTCTTTATTCCACATAAGTGGGGATAGCTCGTAGTTACTCTTATTCTCGCCATTGTTCATCTACTCTATATTTCCCCCCTATAATGATAATAATCTTTTGTCACTATTTATTATCTGACCTACCACTTCTCCTGCTTCCATTTATCTATACATAAATCGGGTGTATTTTCTGGACCATTATAAAGGAGAAATGATAAAGCCATCATCATTTCTCTTTTTCTCAACATGCTCATTGGATACCCATAAACAATTTGAATTTATTTCTTCCCGTTTAACTCGCTACTCCTACACTATCTTTTATTCATCCTATCCAATAACGTCTTATTCACAAAATGATTAGGTAAAACAAAATTTAAAAGAAAAAGTATAAAACCTCGATCGTAATAAATAAAAATTTGTAGGATAGGTATTATTCGGAAAGTACACTGCTGTAGCTACCGAGCTAGACAAACGATTATCGCAGAAGCACTTTAAATTGAATAGTAATTTTACCATAAATATTTAACTATGTACCAGTAATTGGACCAGTAACCACCTACCTAACTTTTATTATCGTAACGGGAACATGAAAGATCGATGTAAAAAAAACCGAAAACAATGGACAACGATTTTTGCCCAATTTTCATACATATTAAGCATAATCCGTTTTTTAACATGAATTATACAGTAAGTACCTACATATAATATAAATAAGCATAAATATAATATGCGCATTAACAATGGTGGTTTTTAGGGGGGAGGCGATGGGGGCGATCGCCCCTATACCTTTTTTTTTCAATTGTTAGGTATGTTCTGTGCGTAAGCAACAATAAACCATTACTAATAAAAAAGATTCTGAGCGAAATTCAGTTGATAGTGATACTTTATCAACAATATATAGGTCATATTATTGTAAAATAATTAAATAAAAGCATTATATATTTTCTTTAATAATACTGTTTAATGTACGATTTACCAGTTTTTCACATTTGCTGGGAAATCGAAAAATGATCTCCCTAAAGTACATCCCCAGTCAAAATAATCCTTTCAAAAAAAAATGCTATAATTATAAATCGGAGAAAAATTGCTGGTAGAAAAATGTTGTCCACAGATAAAACACAGTTGTAAAACCATAAGCTTCTTTGCTCCACTCACAATCTAATATAAAAGTTATGTGCAATTATTGATAGGACCATAAACAAATTTAAAATCGCTCCCCTACCTTAATGTTTTATCAAAACCACTGCGCATTAATGTGACTGTGTATTTAAAGTCTTTAACTTTTGAGATGATTCTTTTTACAGTAGCTATTCTGTGTACACATACAAAATATCATCAATGTTAATATAATATTTTATAATTTACTGCAAATAAAATAAATTATGTAGTAATGTTCGGTGTGTATAAATACTACATACACACTGTATACTCTAAGATTTTAAATCTGTTAATGATTAATATTTAAATAAGAAATGTTTGAAAAATGATAGATTTTTTTTTTTTATAATTAATGTTTAAATTACTTATACACAAGGGTCTAACAAGCTAATGTAATTTATTATAATTAGTATCACAACTTAGGCACAACACAAAGTTTAATATAAACAAAAGACAGACGTACTTCGCACGTGGGTGGGTCACTGTTGTAGGTGAGAAGTTGGGAAGGTAAAATGGAAATTTAATGTATATCTGTACGCAACGATTAACCATTACTACACTATATTCACCGTAAGTTGACCCACTCGCTCGACGAAAACCCCCCGAAAAAACCCGTTCTGTACGCACGGTCGCGGCGGCAGCCAGCTGCCTACTACGACGAGCAACTACGATCACCAATCACAGACCACAGCGACTCAGTATAGATGCGCGGAAACGGGTCATCTTACAGCGAATAGAGCATAAAAAAAAATGATTCTGAGCATTAATAATGTTGCTCAACAATATATATATGTCATAGCATGGTAAAAAAATTACATGTGTATTATATATTATTTTCTACAATAATTTTTGTTTAATATTGTACCTATTTTCTCGGTTTTTNCGGAAACGGGTCATCTTACAGCGAATAGAGCATAAAGAAAAATGATTCTGAGCATTAATAATGTTGCTCAACAACATATATGTCATAGCATGGTAAAAAAATTACATGTGTATTATATATTATTTTCTACAATAATTTTTGTTTAATATTGTACCTATTTTCTCGGTTTTTCTCATGTATTATGAAAACAACTGGGGAAATTATAAAATGATCGCCACTAATTAACACCTCAATCAGAATTCCTTTCAGAAAAAGTTGTAAATCAAAATTGCTAGTAGAAAAGTTGTTCAGATAAAAAAAAAAATGTAAAAAAATAAACATCATTGTCAAACCAAGTTTATTTTTTATCATTGTAAAACCAATACATTCAACTATGTTTTATATGTGGCACACAATAATATAAGATATGAGTATATATCATTTTATAGCACTTAAAAGCTAATACTGCTAAAATATGCTCTAAAAAGCAAAAAATGAACAAAATTAAAAATTAAATTTAGGATTTTGATTCCTTACATGATAAATAGCATTCATGTTTAACTGCTATTTTTTCAATTTTTCTAAAGTAATATGTAAATGTTTTAAGTCCCTAAATATTAGTCATAAGTAACAATAACATCACAAACACAGTTTCACATTTTCTCAGATGTCGTGTATAATAATGTAGTGTTGCTTAAAACCTATATATTGCGACATTAATCATTTTAGGAAATTATAAAAACACTTTAACATTGACAATATAAATTCTATGGATTACATTGATACCAAAGTCTGTTTTCTCTATGCATTATAATTTCAGTTACACAAAACTAATAAAAAGTGAATTTCATTTAACAGTAAATATTATTATATTTTAATAAAAACAATACAGTTAAATTTATCAATTATGTAAGAAACTTAGAAAAATGGAAAAATTTAAAAAAAAAAAAAAATGAAATCTTTTCTGGTTAAAATTATAAAAAATTAAATTTAAAATATAATTAATTTAACAACAATAATTGATTAAAATCTATTTTGATTTGTTGTTGAATTTCCATGCAGAGCTAGGAATCATGGGGTGATTTTGGGATGATATTTGCTCTGTATTATGATATTCTTGACCTTAAACATATTTTTAATAGGTATACATTTTAATTATTAAATTTGATATTAGGTATTCAATTAAATCATAAAATATATTCTACATCAATCAAATAAAAGAAACAATGTAATAAAAACTTAACTTCCAAGAAAATAAATATCTATCTTTCAAAATCTACAGAACAGTTTTTTATTTATTTTGTTAGTAACAATGTACAAAATGAAGATAATTTCGGGTTTTGAAAACAATTATTTCTTTTATAATAATAGAAAAAAAATATGAATTTAATCATAATCCAGGATTATTACTGATACAACCTTACATATTTATTGTCTGTCAATGTTTTAATAAAACTTTCTATCTATTTCTGCAACATCTTAGATAAAACACTTTCAAAAATTAATATAATTTATACAAATATAACAAAAAAGTCTCCAGTGTTCATTAGTTAATGTTAGTCTCAATAAATTTAATAGGACATTTAACTACAAATTGACAGGTTGAAACTAAAATTATAAATGCATTATTTACCTGTAATTTTAATACCCTCATGCAATTGCGCATTTATCAGGATTTTTACTTCTTCAACAATGTTTTTTTCATAATGCTCGGTCTTCAATATGGAATCATTAAGACCATTTGGATCGCATTCGTTAAATTCCTTGAGTGACATTAAAAAAAAAATTATAAAAATATATTAATAAAATTCAACAGAAAACATTATTTGGTTTTATTTTAAATATTATATATGGTGTATTTTAATAAGTTTATAATCTTGAAATGATTATTACCTAAATATTTTTAGGGTTAAGCTTAAACAAGTTAAATTCTTTCGGTCAACTGATATCAAAATCATTGATTAAACAATGAATATTTGTAAAATAATCATATTTAATTGAGGAATCTTAAGTGAATTTTACTATACTTAGAAGAACTTTCAAGAAATAATAAAATTGAATACATTTTAAAAATTAGAAAAATATTAAATAGTAACAACTATAAATTATCGTTAATTTTTAACCTATAAATAGGTATAAAATTATAAAACATTTCATATTTAATATAATAAGAATTAACAATACAAATAAAACAATTCATAATATATTTAGGTAGATATATTAATTATTTATTTACTTAACAATTAACTACATTTTGATTAGTCAACTGACCAAGTGCCTACTTATTATAACTTAAAAAAAATATAACAAATTATCATCCTGTTTACACAGTTCTTTAACTAACTTTTCTAACAAACTAAATAAAATTTCTGAGAAAATGTGCTACACTTAATACAACGAAGCAAAATTTTTTTTTAAAAAATTGTTTACAAAGAAAAAAATTAAAAAAAAAAAAAAAATACGCATTTCAGTGAAACCAATAGATTCCCTACCACACTCAAAAAATTAGATTATAGCATATATGTTTTTGTTGATTGGATTATAAGTACATACTCTATGATAATGAGTACATATTTTAATTACATAATACAGTAGAATCAGCTTAATGGGGACACATCAGACAGTTACCTATTGGGTCCTTAATATCCGGCTGTCCCGATTAGTTGAATTAATGAAAAACATATCGATGAAGTAATTTAGTACGTATACCCTGTTTCAAAAGAGAACATACCCCCTTCGTTAAGCGGTGTACATTCCCATCAGGTAGCACCGGTCACAACTATAGACAATAGAAATGTTAAGAAACATGTTTCTGGTCGTGGAAATAGTATATTCTCTTTTGAAACAAGGTATAGGCTAGTTGACTCTTATCTTCGAGGAATACCTAAGTATTAATAGGAGAAAAAAAAATGATGGACAAAAATAAAATATATAAAATATACAATTAATAAACATACAGATTAAATAGTTACAGTTTCAATAAGAAAGTTGATATTTATAGATATATGTCCCTTATAACCAATGGTTTGTTCCCAATAAACAAAGTTAAATTGCCTAAAACTAATACATTCGTTCAGGACTATGCCAATTTGTCTTCATTAAGCAGATTCTATTGTATTTAGTTATATTTTGGTGCATAAATGCATACATATTTTAAACTATTATTTTTTACTATTAAAAATAAAAAAATATTTAACATTTTAAGTGCATAAACATCGGAGCCCTAATCCAACTATAGTACACAGAAAAATATTAATTTATAAATTTAATTTTATTATATTGTTTGTTTTTATGATTAAAACTTTAAAATTACTTACAATGATAACTGTTTCATTACATACAACAAATTTATTTTTAAAATAATCCTTGACCAATTCACATTCTTTTTCCGAAATCAATCTTGGCATGTTACGTAATTTTATTTTAATAGCAAAATATTGGTAATGATCCTAAACATACAATTTTAATATCTAAATGAACATCCATACAATATATTAATAATTAACAACTAAATCCTAATAATATACAAGCTTTTATTATATTTCTATTAGGTAAGTAATAAAAAAAATAAAGAATAATTGTTGAAAAGACTTTAAATAATTTCAAGCTTATTATTTTGAAGAATATAATAGATTCTTATGAATTTTAAAATTAGGCCTTTTGATATTAAAATTATTGTTTGACTTAGTTGTTTGGTCAGGGTGCAAAGAATTCATACATATGCCATGCTATATAAAAAAAAAAACTTCTACACTTTTAAACTACAACTAATTACATAAAAGTTATTTTCTTAATACACTACTAATTTTCTAAATAGCCCAGTTTCATATTATAGAAAATTCATATGTATGTACATGTTTATATATAAATATTTAAAAAAATTTAAATAATAAATATACTTTATCAAACTTTTCAGGCAGTTCTAATATATCCTCAGCTTCAACTATTTCTTTATTTCCATAATCCACATGAAAAACGCAGTACTGATTATCAATTTCGTCAATTATTAAAGCACGAGTATACATAACCATGTTTATAAGTGATCTGACACATACTAATTTATTTCTGTCCCCCATGATATTATTCAGTTCTTTAGTAGAATTATTTTTATCAGCTGTTAAATTTAAATGCAAATTTTAAAATATAATTATTTTTTATAAATATATAATTTAAAATACCAATTCTATAATATTTGATCATTTGCATATTAAATAAATTGAAGTCTTCAATTGACTTGAAAGATGCATCACGGATATAAATTGAATCATTAACCTCAAAATGTATAATTTTAACCAATGAATGATTTTTAATAGGTTGAGATTGTTTTTGCACTACATTTTCTATTTCCTCGGGCATGACTGGTACAAATTAAAAACAATACAAATAATAATAATAATAAATCAATATTGTAGTTTAATTAAAAGTTATCTTTACTAATTTTTTTGGCTAATCTTTGCTGTACAGATGAATTATTAGATACTTTATGTTTTAATTCTTCATTTAAAGATACATTGGTTTTTGGATCTTTTAATGTAACACGTTTATACCAGCGATTACAATTTTTTTCATACTCCTACAAAAATAAAATTGTATTGTAAATTATTTTAAAATTAATTTTTATTACTCCATACAGATCAGATAAAATATACATACTAAAACATATTCTTTTCCTATCAATGATGTTAGAAATGGAGTTATATTAACACTATTCTTTGTCAAACCATCAAGTGCCACCCTGTTTGCCAAAGCTGGTACCTGAAAATATTAATTTTATATATTTATGTACACATAAAATCTTTATAGAAAACATAAAATTATATCAGTACTTAATCAAGAAAAATTCTACAAAAGGTACATTTATCCATATCAATATCCACCCTTAAAATTATTTGAGTAATAAGAACCCTAAGAAAATCATATTGATTTTTGTTGAACAATGTATTAAGATAAAATGTATCAAAAACAACATTCAAATAATTATTAAATTATAATATATTTTGTATATAATATATAATACATAAATACATAATAAATACTTACTTTATTAATCATAATATAATTAGGTAGTGCATAAATATTTTTCAATGGAATATTATCAAAAATACCATGATCAATGAAACAACATCTAAATTTAGAACTGTCTTCTGTAACTGGCGAAATTACTTTAGCTCTCAAAAATCCATTAAATTTTGAAGAACTGACTAATACAACATCATTAATGTTTGGAACAATTGGTTTCAAATTTTCACCTGTAGATATAATATTAGTATACTAATAAAACAAATCCAATATTTAAAACTTAAAATATTAGTAACTTATGCGACAACAAATGTACGAGTGTGTTCTAATTAAATCAGCCATTATCATGTTCTACTATTACTTATACAATAAACCCATGCATCATTAATATTTGGCTACCACCCATAGCATTGCAATATCTATGGTACGTTAAGGTCATAGATATTGATTCTCATAATTGACTCTAGTGGCTGCATCCCATGAATGGCAACTAATTATCCCTACACCATGGACATCTGTCTATTATTTAGTCAATGTTTTATTCAATACATAATATTACAAGATTAAACCATGCAAATTTTAAATTGAAGAAGTTCTAATAAATACAGTTTTAATACCCACGATTGAATTTAACAAGGAGAGTATCTTCAATACACAGTACTACTTCTACTCTATGAAATAATTAAACAAAATAGCTCTCCATATTTAAAAAAATGAATAATTAAAAACCCCCAAATATTAGTTAAATAACTATCTGCTTAGATTTACAAAATTTAACATTACATTTCTTTCATTATTGATTTTAAATTACTAATCCTTAATAATAAAATATTTAACAATGTATTATGTTATTAAGTCTTACTTTTTTCATTCTTTAGTTTTTCAAAAACATGATTAAATTCATTATATAATTTTAAATGTTTCACATTAATATGCTCAACGCTAGTTCCATTTAAAAATTCAACACGATCTCCACTTACTACTTGAAAATTAATATCATTTGTACCTGGAAAACAGTTTATGATAGTTAATCAATGTACAAATAAAAATATTATATAAATTATAACTAAATAAAAATAATACAAATTAGGTTTATCTATTTTAGGAATGATAAGTATATTTTATATATTAGATACGTAGTAAGTAGGTAGTAGATCAGAAAAAAAAAACAAGAAGTCAATGAAAAAAAAATAAAAATTATAAGTCTCCTTAATCTACACCCAATTATTGTTTCTATGATTATCTAATTCCAAGAATATTTGTTCAGAATCATAATTCATGCATGGATTAAATTTGGCTAAATCTATACATACTTATTTCTACAATTTACATTGCGTTTGCTATTTAATTAAATTAATTACACCTAATGTATAAACAGTAAATAGATAAACTAAGTTAATAGAATTGAGGATTACCTCAAAGGAAAAAAGAGGACCTTTTTTATATGCTTGTAATAATATACATATAATAGATCCCAATCACAACTAAATAAATATTTTCTTTCTATGGTTAAATTTTTTAATTTATTTTTCAAGCAAGAAAAAGAAACTAGAAATCAATTTTGTTAACATTACACGACAAATATTTCAGATGTGCTGGGTCGTTACCGTTTTCAATGCTTTAATTATGTTACCACAATATTTTCTACCAGAAATATTTCTCTAATCCAAAAATGACAAGAGATCGATTTTATTCCTTATGATTTGTAACAATTGACAAAGAAAGTCGTTTTTCAATATCCAAGGTAGTTTTTCTAATAATTGGAAAAAACCAAAAGTGACGAAATGGATAATTTTTTTTCAAATTACGACACAGCAATTTCATTTTTTTTAAATTTGTACAGATTATGTTTTCTACCATAAATATTGCTACAATTAAAAAACATCATGAGATCTTTTTTGTTAAACTTATCTACTTAATCTACTTGGTTAACAAGAAAGTAGTTTTTTTGATTTTCTTTGTAGAATTTCTTAATCATTGAGCAAAACCGAAAAAAAAAAATGAATAAGTACTGGAAAATATACAAAAATAATTTTTTTATTATTTTAAATGTTTTTTTTTAAATTTGGAATTTTGTTTAATACATTCATAAAGACTTGACATTTTGACAGAAAACTTTTATTTGCTTTTTTTAGACATGGTCAAATTTTCAAAACATTTGATCTATTCTTGAGCTAATTATAAACATTTTAATTTTGATTGTTTATACGTAATTTTTAATCAGTAGGCACTTAATAGATAAAATTGTTGGATAAAACGAAAGTTTAACTTAAATTTTGTAGTTTTTGGTCAGAAAAATTAATTTGAGCATTATATATCATTTTTTTTATAAAGGAATTTTAATAGAAAATGTTTACAGATTTTCAGAAAAAATTAAATTTGTACATTATTGCCAATGAAAATAAATTAACTAATTTTTTACTATCACCTCTTTTTTAATATTGGATAGTAAATTTATGTTTAAATTAATTGTAATATAATGAATAATGTAAATCTTCTTATGAACCAAATCAAAAAACAACTACGTTGGAATTATACTAATGGGAATATAAGGTGTTCAATTTAGGTTCAATCTTTTAGTAGCTGTTTTAATCCAATCTGAGACATATCCATCAATTTGCATTAAATTCCGTTCAGCCGTAAAAGGTTGAGTAACAAACTTTACATTAAAATACAATAAATAGGGATTTTTACTCTTGTGTCATTGCAAAAACAAATATGATATTGTAAAATCTCACCAAAACATTTTGGATTTTGTAGAACAAAATTTGCAGTTTTAAGAGGTCCATCATTAACAGTATCACAAATCTTTAATAAATCATCAATAATATTACAACCGTTGTTTTTTCTTTTTAAGCTAACACTATTTAAACCATTATTGTCATTATCAAAATTCTGTTAACATATAAAATTAATTAAACATTAAATAATAATAATTACAATAAAAATATAATATTTTGTTTTAATGATTAAAAATAAACTAATATCTAACTAACTAATTACTAGCAAATTACTTAGTAAAAAAAAAAAAAATCTGATGGTACTTGGTGCAAATCAGATAAAGAGAAAGCTGAACTTTCTGTTCTTACCTTTCGGAAGAAAAATTCGGAGTGGTTGGTTGAAGATTGCAGTGGAAGAGCCTTTGTTAACTTTTGACTCTTAATTCAGCCCTGCCACTTTATCTCGCCCCCAAACCTTTTTCACCAGGTGTGGTTCTTCGTTTTATAAATACGTTTCCACTGAAAAAGTCACCCGGTATAGAGACCTCATCACAGCTGAGGTAGCTCGACAACTGCCAAAGACGGCTTTAATTCACCTAACCCACATCTTAAACTCTATCTTGAGGCTTTNGCCCCCAAACCTTTTTCACCAGGTGTGGTTCTTCGTTTTATAAATACGTTTCCACTGAAAAAGTCACCCGGTATAGACCTCATCACAGCTGAGGTAGCTCGACAACTGCCAAAGATGGCATTAATTCACCTAACCCACATCTTAAACTCTATCTTGAGGCTTTCGTACTTGCCCATTCAATGGAAAGTATCCCTTATAATCCTAATTTCCAAGCCTGGCAAACCTCCCGACACTCCGTCATCTTATCGTCCAATAAGCTTACTTCCTTTCTTTGCAAAACTGTGTGAAAAAATGATCCTAAAACGAATATCCAATATAATTAACGACAAAAAAATTATCCCCTGCACGCAATTTGGCTTCCAAGACAAACATTCCACTATCCATCAGGTACACCGCCTTACTGACTCAATTGCCTACTCCTTAGAAACGAAGTCACACTGCTCAGCTGTCTTACTCGATGTTGCCCAAGCCTTTGACAGAGTCTGGCATCCTGGTCTCTTACACAAGCTGAAAATAATTCTCCCTCCAACGTATTATTTATTTTTTAAGTCATATCACGAGGACAGATTCTTTGCCGTTAAAGTTGGCTCTGAAATCTCAAATTTGGCCCCAATCCTTGCTGGTGTTCCTCAAGGCGCCATCTCTTCTCCCATATTGTTTAACATATACACATCGGATCAACCAACCACTTCTCAAACTTCTGTAGCCGACTTCGCTGATGATAAAGTTATATATATTTCCGAAAAAAACCCATTTCTTGCCAGCCAATATTTGCAGAACCATCTAAACCTACTCTCTGATTGGTATTCCAATTGGAGAATTAAAATAAACAATGACAAATCATCCCACATCACCTTCACTCTCAAACAATCCACAGTACCTCCAGTTTATTTAAACAATAAAGTTATTCCTTCCTCCTCTAATGTTAAATATTTGGGTCTCACTCTCGATAAACGACTTACCTGGGCCTTACATATTAAGCAGAAACGTCTCTTGCTAAATGCCAGACGAAGAGCGCTCTTCCCACTTATAGGAAGACAAGCAAAAACTGACCTAAAAACTAAACTGCTACTGTACAAAACCCTTCTCAAGCCAATTTGGTTATACGGTATCCAATTGTGGGGTGCAGCAAAAAAGTCTAATACTTACAAAATCCAAGCATTCCAATCGACCTCATTGCGAATGATTACAGGCGCTCCTCCGTATGTTTCAAACCACACCTTACATTCAGACTTAAAAATTTTAACTGTCCATGAAGAAGCCAAAAATGCCTATAGACTTTTCCGCGCGCGTCTTACAAACCACTCTAATCTACTAATCCGTGCCCTAAACTCCAATTCCATTCCAGGTAATCCACCTAGAAGGTTAANAAAAATAGTTTGAATAGTAAACTATCCTACCAGACCCTATCCAACACCTATGCTACATCCAAGACAGCAGTGTTGTATACAGCATATGTTAATACAAATGCTACAATTAGCAATATAGCAGTGATAAGTTTAGTGTCATACATACTTGGTAAGTAAAATAACATATAATAGGACAAGTAAGACTGATATAAAGAACAGAATAACACAGGCAAAACAGGCTATCTACAGGAGAAACCTATTCATGGCAAGTACTATTAGTCTAAGGACCAGAAAGCTTTTTATAAAGAGTTTTGTGTTGAGTGTAGCACTGTATTAACCAGAGATACGGATGATACTTAAAGCAGAAAAAAAAAGAATTGAAGCTTTTGAAACACGCTTCTGAAAAAGAACACTGAAAATTTCTTCAACAGAGAAAGTCAAAAGTGAAAAAGTATACTCAAGAGGTGAATGAACAAAAAACACTATGAAAAACAATAAAAGAAGAAAAAAATGGATCAGACATATAATAAGAAATAATAAATGGATGACAAAAATTATGGAAGGGAAATCCAAAAGTTTAGTTTATGAAACAAATCATTGGAGACATAGAAAGGAACGTTTACAAGGAAATGGAAATAAAGTAGCTGTGATAAACAGGAATAAACTGAAGTACATCAGTCATTTAACAAATATAAAAATTGAAAAATAAAAATAATATACAGCTAACATTAATGGCACTTTAATACTTTGATACATTATTATCAATCGCTAATTAATATAATAATATGGTAAAGGAACAAAAAAATTATGTCATTTTCAATTATATTTTATTTTTTAAATGTTAAATATAAAAGGACATATCGTTTTTGACATAAATATATCTTATGGATCAAAAAAAAATACAACCCTAGCTACTATAATAATATAACTAATTCCTGTTGTGAAGGGATGTGTGTAGGAAACTTAGTAACAATAGTTCCCCTAGCGACATGAAAACTAGCTGAGTGACATGTTCTCAAATATACATTTGAATATTTACAATCAAAATTGTATTTCCTACTATTTGTATCATAAACCATTGCATACTACTATTACTTATTGATATAAACAAATAAACCTTAAGTTTAAGACATAAAATAAGTAATATGTTTTATGGCTTGCCATAAGACATAATGATTTTATGTTTTTCCCCAAAAGAAAGAAATGTATTATTATTTTAATGTATAAAGTAAGCTTAGATAACTTACCAATATTAAAGGAACTGGCTCATTATGCCATAATCCATTAAAATAATTTTCAACCATTTCATTTACTTTTATTTGATTAGTTCCTCCAAGTCCAACGTGTTTAACTAATTTTGGAATCTATTTTAAATATTAGCCATTTACTAATAATAATAAAATAATAAAAATTTAAGTGTACACACCTTTTTCAAATCATAGGGCAGTTCATAAATGTTATCAATCAACACTTTTAAATATCTGCCAATATCCAACAATTCAACAGTATACAACAATCCTGACTTGTCGTGTACTTTTGCTCGGACTAAGTATTTCTCATACTTCACTCTAACTATATCCCCATATTTAGGTTTGTTTTTTACAACAATATCTTAAAATAAATAATTTGTCATCAAAAATATATCATGACAAATATTTAACAAAAATGGTTTTCCATGAAAGAAATATCTTTTTCTTTATAATTCAATATTTACCTTTTGATTTTGAATAATCTACAATTAAATTCATATTTACTGGCATAGTATTATTTTTACATGCTTTACAAATATATATCTGATTAAAATCTTTAAAATAACAACAAAATACAGTATCACCATTCTTTAATTCAATATCTGAAGCAGACACAATGTAATTTGTAGGAATATTTTGTGTTTCTTCAGTAGATTTATCTGTAAAAAAAATTTAAAAAAATTATTTTTTGTAAGGAGATGCATATTAATAATATAGGTTTTAAATATACCTGAAGCCTATATTATGATATAATTCAAATAATTACATACTTAGGTCAATACAAAATAACTTATTAGTAATAGGGAATATAGTACAATTTTACATTGGGAACAAAAGATAATACAAGTCTTCATTTACAAAAAATTGAAAATGACACAAGTGATAAAATTATGTTAACCTTTATAAATAACGTACCTTTAAAATCAATAGGTGTGCTATTTAATTTAATTATGTTGTACACCTCATCAATTATATCAGAACTATTTTTTCTTTTTAATGAAACTTCTTCTAATCCATTTGAACTACTTTCATCATATTCCTACAAATAAAATATAACTGAGTAAATATTTAAAAACTGCCAATTAATATAAAAAAAATGAAATAATCTATATAAAAATGAATGAATGTCTTTAAGCATTACTACATCATTCATGAAACTTTGGGAAGTTATTCAATAATAATTTAACAGTGAATGTGTAATTATTTCATCAGCAAGGTGGTGTCAAACAATATGTACATGTGTATAGATATCCCAATAAAATTATAATAGTAATTATCAATGATAAGGCACTTTATAGTAGCACCGATAAAAACACATTATTCAGTTTTATATTTACCAAAATGGTATTTTGAAATTTCCAATTATATATTAATATTGACGAGACATGTAATACATAAAACAGTATACATTTTTTTGTTTGGGGTAATCTCAGAAACTACTCATCCAATTATCATGGTTTTATTTTAGTGATGGAGTAAATCCCAATGAGGTTTTAAGCCTATTTTCGATTCTTTAAATTAATTAATAATAGAGTTATTAATTTTACATTAATATATCTATAAATTGTCAGCAAATACGCAGATAGAGGTATAAAAGGAATGCTGTGCTATCTGCGAGGAACAACTATAATACAAAACGTGCTCCCCCAGTGTTGAGTATCCCCACTCCCCAAAAAATTAGGTAAGACTTTATTTTCTTTCAGATCATCCCTCCCCTTTAAAAGAAAATTTGGTGTTTAAAATTTTTGGTATGAAAATCATGAAAAAACGTACAACACAACAGAACACTTTTATGGACTACCCACTTTTCACCTATTTGTTCTCATTCAATACTAACACGGTCAAAAACCCAAAAGGAATATAGGTAAAAAAAAAAATGTATGAAAATGGCATAAGCAAAGCCAAATTATATTGGCCAGACAAGCCAGCTTGTAATATATATTTTTTTAATTAATATCTATTTACTTTTGAAGATTACATATCAGTATGTTTAGCCGCAGGAATGACCAAGAAACCCAACACACACAAATACTTTAGAATATACTAGGTAGAATATATTATAATTATGCATGCATAATATATTAAGCATAAATATAAAATTTAGAACAATAAATTATTGTTTAATTTTAATAAGAATCTACATAGTTAAAATTAGTTTCTATATTTCAATTTTCCTCTTAAATTAATATTAACTCTCCATTAATTACGCGGGGTACATATGTACCCCAAGTGTTTTATAAAAAATGATATTTAGCAAAAATATTCAAAAATAGCATCCAAACTTTCGTTTACCTCTCCTAAATAGGTATATTTAAAATTATTTATATTCAATTTTGGTTTAGATATTTTTATATTCTATTATATTCGTTCTGAAGTTGACTAGGATACAAATGTACACTGTGCGATTAACCGAATAACTTTTTGTGGCAATATCAAAAATTACAGTATTATTGAAAATCGAATGGTAGTTCGTATATTTTTGGAATGGTTATTTCTTCTTATCACAATGTTTGACCATGGTCATCACCGGCAAAAACAAATTTTATCATACCATGTCTTAATATTATTACCTAAATACACTTTATTATTAGAATACCTACAGAAAAGTGGAATGTGTGTGTTCCATATTTTCGAAATCTATTGTACACTAGTGCGTGTCATATTAATGTGATACATATTTACAATAAAATGCATCAAAATCTTATATAATCTTATAATTCTATAATATAAATCTAAACATTTTTTATTAAAACATATCAGATTTAATATCAATTTTTTTTAATAAAGAATTAATAAAATTAATTTAAATTTCTTTTATTTCAATTATTTATACTTGAAAAATTATTTTATTATGAATTGAAACATTTTTCCTTACATTAATGGTAGTTATAAAGTTTTTTGAAATTTGTAATTTTATTTTGTATTAATAAATAATATAATTATTATTTTTTGTTTAATTTTTTATGATATAATTTGTCTATGTTTAAATGAACATATTCATAATTAAAAAAATTACTTTTAAAGAATCAGTATAATAGTAGAAAAATAAATAATAATGGGGAACAATTGTATCCCGTATGACTTATGACGTTACAAAAAATTGCAAGACTAACACAAGGTTAAGAGTTTTGTATCCCAGTGAGAAAGTACTAGCCTGTTAATAATTAATTCACAATTATTATGTATACCAAAATATAAAAATTAGTTTAATAATACTTACTAAACGCAAAGGTTCCTCCTTATCAATACTTTCAAAATAATTTGACACCTCTTCTGTTAAATCAATTTTTCGCGGTGTTTTTAGTCCAACTTTTATGCATCCAGGAAACTTCATATTTAAAAAAAAAAAAAAAAAAAAACTATGATTTGTTATTGATATTGATATCATTCAATATTTTATTTGAATGAGAATATTAGTAATACCAATTAAAAATATTTTGATTTACCTTTTTAAATTCATCGGGTAATTCAAAAATTTCATCAACAGTAACAGTATCTTCGTTTCCAAAATCAATATATACAACACAGTAATGACTTTCATCTTTTTTTTTAAGTACTTTTGCTCGATGCATGATATCTGCGTATAGTACTCTTACAATATCACCTACTTGTATGTTTAATTTATTTTTGGCTAAAGGAAAAAAACAATTAAAAGTAGTTTTTTTTTAAGTATTATTATTTATGAAGATATACAATATGTATAACTGATAAATGATAACTTACATTCAAATAATATAATACAAAAAACTAATTTGGGAAAAATACATTTCATCAAGATCCATTCTTATATATAAGAAAATTTAAGTGTACAAAAATGTTTGTTAAAAATAACTTATTCTGTCAATATTAACACAGGGCTCAGATTTTATAACATTTACTAATTTTCTAAGATACAGAAAAAATAGCAGAATCAGCTTAATATTTGTTTTATGCACCAAACTCCAAATATGAAATTTTATACTGCATATTTTGCATATTTTAAATTTTTAGTGCTATTTGTTGCTCATATACATAATACATATATATGATTTATTTTGTAATTTTCATAAATAGTAGAAAAAAATCTGTCATTTGTGTGAATCCATAAAAAAAAATATCTATATTTTAGTTTCATACTATAATCTGTTTTTAAATAGACCCATTAAATAGTTCATATTTTATGACTTCTTATTAGTTGTATTTATATTTCAAAAAATAAACATGTTATCAATTGTTACCATTATTCTTGTTTTATAGCAAATTTTAAGATTTATTACATCATATGATGGCGCAAATTTCAGTTATTTTCAGTGCTACAAAATCTAAACCCTGATTATTATGATAAATATTTAACTTACCTTTTCCTTGTGAAATTTTATTCATTAAGTAAAGAAAATTATTATAGTCAGATATTCTAGAAACAAATACAGATGAGAAATTAAGAAAATGTCTAAAATGAATAAGTTCTCCGGTTTTTAGTGATGCAGATTCTGTTTTAATATTAACAACAGATTTACTATCTTCTATTTTTAATTCAATGTTTTTCTCTATACAAATAAACAAAATAATACTAATTTTAGAGGTTTTTAAATTAATTTTATGTTGTCAATTACAATTAAAAACACAATTACCTTTTTCAGAAGATACATGAGACTGATTAGATGATAATTTTATAATTTCATTGTTAATATTAAGACCACTTGATATCACTTTTAAAACACAATTGTTTAATCCAAATTCACTAGATTCATCAAACTCCTAATAAAAAAAAAAAAAAATTAAAATATACCTATTTCCAGACAAAGGAAGAAAAAATTATATTTTTTTACAATAGATAATGGTTTGGCTTCATTTGCTAAACCTGAAAATAGATCTGATATTTTTGTATTTGGTTTTATACTAGATGGTATATTTAATCCGATTTTAATTGCAAGATCAGGCTAAAATAATATTTAAACAATTAATAAGAGTAACAAGCATGCTTAAATCATTAAAATATACCTTTTTTTTTAAGTTATCAGACAGCTGAAATATATTGCTAGGAGAAACAACTTCTGTATTTCCATAATCGCTATAAAAAACATAGCAATCACCATTGTCTTTAATATTTACTATTTTTGCTCTAAACAAATCTTCAAATGATGGTGATAACACTTTAACAGTGTCTCCAATGACTAAATTTCTAACGGGTATGCAATCTATAAAATAATGGAAGATTATTATTTTATGAGCTATATAATAATAATAATAGCATTAAGTTTGCTGCAAATAAATGCATATAAAATGTATTTTATCAATTATAATATTATAATATATATGATGTAAAACAGGAGATGATATTATACATAAGTTAACTTGTTTTAAAATTTAGAAAAAGATAAAATGGTTAAATATTTAATTTTAAGGTACCATAAAAGTCAAATTTATATTTTCCTCCTACGATTAGAATAATGGGTCTCACTGAGACTACTCCAGTGAGAACTAAGAAATCATATACAAAATATAATGCAATATAAAGCTAGTTAATAACATAATAAAAAAAATATATTAATAATGACAAAATCGTAATACATATTAACTTAATAAGTTTGCTTTATTATCACAAAATGTCTTTAAGAACTTAAGGTCCATGCTTAATCCATTATTAATCGCGCTAACAATTATTATAAATAAATTCCCATTCTCTATCACTTATCAATTTATCTCTTAATAATCCTGTTATATTATTATAAATTATTATATCAAAAACCTTTTACCATGCATATTACGAAAATATCATATTATTGTATACTACATGCAATTGTTGAAGTTGAACGGTTTTTACCCAGCTTTTAATAATAAAAAAAAATTAAGTTTACTTATTTAAAAGAATTACCTGTACTGGCTATTATATCCTGTAACATTTTTATATTTTCAGATTCATGTTTGAAAACATAAATAGAGTCAAAATTTTCAAAATATGTTAATACACAAGTATCACAATTTTTTAGATGTTTTTTTTCAGATAGTAATAATTTCAACACTTCTTTATTCAAGCAATTACCAGAATTCACTTCCCTTAGAATTACGTTTTCTAAACAGTTAGAACTTTTGTTATTGTATTCCTAAAAAAAATAAAATACATTTAATTTACATTGTAAAACACTTAAATAATAAAATACTTACAATAAAGTAAGTCACACCAATATCTAATATGGTTGTAAATAAATTTCTAATTGCATCGTTTATTACCGCATTTGGAGGAACATCGATAGATACTCGTAATGGTATATCAGTCTAAAATTATTTAAATTTAATTATAGATTATATTATATAGATATTAAACATCATACTGCATAAAAGACATACTATAATTTTTAAGTGATCTGGCAGTTCATATATATCACTTGAATGAACAGTTTCAACAATTCCAAAATCAATGCAGAAAATATGGATTTTATCATTTTCAATATTTGTAATTTGTGCTCTCAAAAAGTGTTTAAATTGGATCAAAAAAACTTTAATAATATCTCCTATGGCTAAATTTGTTTTGATTTTGCGTTCTAAATAAAATAAAATAAAATACTAAGTATATATACTATAGTATAATACAATGTAGTACACCGGTGGTTTTCAACCTTTTTGGGTCCACAAAGGATTTTTTGATTTTGAAATCCAAATTAGCAGCTCCCTTACAAATAATGATAATAATATAAAATCAAAACATAAATAAAAAACTTTACTAAATTTACTTTAGCCGCGGCTACCTTCCCTTGATACTAAACCACAATGCCCCTGGAAGCTGCGACGCAAAGGTTAAAAACCACTGTAGTACACAATTATTACATTATGTATTATTGTACCAAATAATATAATAATAATATATATATAAATAATACCAATGTATAAGATGATCCATTTAAGTAGGCACATTAATTAAATTATTAAAATTATCTCAGATAGTATTAACTTTTTTCAGAATTCGTTTTTTAGAACATTTAAGAAACAAGCAAGCTCTAAAATTTTGCATTTGTTTCTTTTTGTCACCCTTACTTTTCAGGGTAAAACTAATATCTACTTTTGATTATCAATGGCAATTTGTATTACAAATTTCATAAATAAAAAGAGTATATATAAAATAAATTTTAGTGTTGAAATTTTTAATTTTGGACAACTCATTTAGAAAATATTCCACTTTTTTTTAGGTTTGGAAAGAGTAGTAAAAAAACATTTGTGTGGCTGCACAGCACATGGCATATTAATAATAATGCACCACTACTATCATTAAACCAAACCATAGGTCAGTTTTTGATTTTTCTGAGATTTTTCAAAAATGTAAATATTACGACCTTTTAAAATATATTTGACTGAACTTCCCTCAGAATCGTTTTTTTCGTAAGCAAAGATTAATTATTGCATACAGATATACATTAAATTCACCTCTATATCCTACCTTCTTAACTTCTCACCTACAAGTGTTATATGAGTGCATTTAATAATTAATTAATAATTATTTCATAGGTTGGAATAATAATTATAAATTATAGTTACATTAAACTTAATTTATAAGTGATTAATATTGTATTGAAATTGTATTATATATTGTATGTGAAACAGGTTAGTTTAAAAAAAAAAAATTCCAAACTGAAAAAATGTTTAACATAAACATATTCATACAGGGTAGTAGAGCAAAAAAGACCAGATTTTGAGATAAGTGTTTGGGAGGGGATATCCAACATTGCTGAACGTCTCATTGTGTAGTATGTGACAGGACTTGTAGTTTCAATGGGCTCAATGAAGTATTCAATACCACACGGTCGCCGTAGAGATGTTTTTTTTGTAATAATGAGTCAATTGTGGCAACATGACACACATTTTGCACGCGATTCAATCTCCCTGTACATACTATTGTTCCATATCACCGTTTTTTAAAGTGGGTTAAGAATTTTTGGAACATGATAATGTGGTTTCCAAGATTCCAAGACGTGTTACACATGTGGTGACACTAGAAAATGTAACATTTGTTCAAGTTTCTATTGAGTAAAGCCTTAGACGTTGAACAAGACCAAATTACTATATTCTCGAAAATGAGACGTTCAGCAATGTTATGCAGTATTCCCTCCCAGAACTACAATCATCTCAAATTTGATCTCTTATGTTCTGCCGCTCTGTATGTTAGTTGATGTTCATTATTTTAATGATTACTTTCACACATTTGAATATTACTAGTTATTATAAAGTTGAATACTGTCCATAATTGTTTATGTACAAGCACAAACTGGGTTCAATTATAATACCAAGAAATTAGTTAACAGAGAATCTAATTTATTCTAATTAATCTAATTACAAACTCACAAACAAAATAAACAAATTGAGGGAAAGGACAAACAGAAATTTTCATTAAAATTTTTTTTTATAAATTAAAATATAGACCATAATTAGGAATAACCCAACCTTAGTTAAAATAATTTACTATACATTTTAATTATAAATTATGTATTAATTATTATTTAATTTAAATTATTTTTTAAAGAATTTTATATTTTTTTACTTTTTATTAAAAAGTTAAATTTAATACTTTGCTCAATATGTAAATAATAAGTACACTGTATTGATAATTAGTGTTCAGCAGAACCTACTTTATGCCGTTGCTTTTTATTATAATAGAATTAGTTGTTGGGTTTTTTCAATTAATATTTATAAAGGTAAATATATGTGTAGGTAAAATATCACAAATATTCAATGATGCTTATCTCACTTAAAAATTGAACCAAACAAAAAAAATCACTGGTATACACACAGTTTTACCTATATGTCAATTCACTCTATTATTAAAACTAACAACACAAAATTGATCTTGCTGAACAACAATACAAATCGCATTATAAAATTTGCTAATAACTAACCATTACAGTTTATGGTTTTCATAATAATATCAAAATTATGCATTTCATACACATTAGGATCTTCTTTCGAACAAACTGCTTTACAAACATAGATATTTTGAAAATCTTCAAAATGTGATAACATACAGTAATCTCCATTCTTTAATGAAATACTTTTAAAACTATTGTTGGAACTCTCTTCTGTAGGTTTTTTTGTTTCTTCGCTTAAACATTTATTTGATAACCCTAATTTTTAAAAAAAAGAATAGTATTATAATTACACATTGATATAAAAAAACTTGAAATTTAAAAAGTCTTACCATTGCCAACAGCTGGTTTAGTTTTCAAAAATTCTTCAAAAATATTTTCCGAGTTATCTTTTCTTTTTAAAGTTATCTCTTGGTATCTATTGGAACTGGATTCATCAAATTCCTAAAAAAAAAAAAATCATAATCATTGTCTACTACTACAACTTCAAAAAGATTATCACTTTTAAAAATCTGAAAGACCTGATAATTGTTCAAAGCACAACTTTCAACAAATTTGTTGTATGTGTATTAACATAATTATAAAAAGTTAACAAAACAAGTAAAATCAGAAAATAAAAATAGTTTTATATAAATAGTTTATTTTTATTTAAATAATAGTTTTAAATAATTCATAACTGTTTAACTATATTTATTATAGTAATATAGTATTTTTGAAACATTTGTATGACATTGTCTTTATTCCTAACTAAATACATGTCATAGAGCATATATAATTTCTAAAACTAATACCTGGCATAAATTTAATTTTTTTTTTTTTAACTGTAAATAACTAGAAAACTCTTTCAAATTTGCCTACTGCCTCTTTGGTAATTTATTGGCAGAATATGATGACTGAGAAGTAGGTAAATAGAAGATTTATTACATTACTATGCAACTTTTATACAAATAGCTATAGATAATCAAATTAATCTCAAAAGAAAATTCATCCAAGAAAAATAAAAGCATACACAACAAATTCGAAAAAATCAACAACTACATAAGCCAAGTTATAATATTGTATTGTACTTTTATTCAAAATTGCAATAAGGAAAATTAAGTAGCGACAAACTAAATAACTGAAGTATCAAATATGAAAGTTACAGCAATTTCAATAAAAGTCAATTAAAAGGGGTCCACAAATTTATATTTACTTAGCAACAGTTATATTATAACAAAGTTACATTTTATTATTATAATAATGTATAAAAACCTTAAAATCTAGATTAATAATCAAAAACCCTACAATCCACTAGTTCCCTTAAATAAGGACCGTTTTGATTAATCTCAATCTGTTTTTCCACTATCATGAGTCCAGTTTAATAATGTGTATAATAGATATACAATTCTAGAATGTAGTTTTGAGTTTTAACTTCGAAAATAAATTTTTAAATACAATTTTTTTTAATATATTTATATTATATATTTACTTTTAGATTCTGAGCAAAGCGATAAATATATTGTTTTCATAGTAATGTTTATTAATTATATTTCTTTTATTTATTTATTTATTTATTTTATACTATAATCCACTCATTTTGTAGTATTGCAGGTTTGTAATATATCTATCAGTTTTATTATTATTGTTGGTTGACACTCCATAAGGAGGAAATGAATATTTTACACGAAAGACTTAATAAATTAATTTACTTCATTTTAATTATTGTTTTAGAAACTAAACAGTTTATTTCTAAAATATATAAATTATTATACTAACTAAACATAACGGAACTGTTTCATGGTTGTCGATAAATTCTTTCAATGTCACACTTTTCTTTACTAAAGGTCCTTTAATTCCAATTTTAAATGCTAATCCGGGAATCTATCATAATAAAATTTGAATACAAAATGTTAAACTTCAAATATATTTTATTGTAATAGTTATCAATAAATTGTATGTACACGATAAATTTAGATTATCATTATTCAAATGTTATGATCATTCTTTTCAGTAAATAACCTATGATCTACAAGATCAACTCCAAAGAACCTAAATGATCATCACCTACCCATTATAAGTTCTGTTTAACACATGTTAGCACTAAACTATATGATTTAAATATAAAATCTATGGAAAATGAATTGATTAACAGATTTTGAGCAGATATAAGATTCTTATAATTCAGTTTTATAAGTAAAATATTTTACAGGAATAAAATAATCTCCTGTTTAGGTGGGGACTCTTGGAGAAAAAATAATGTTAAGAATTGGAGAAGAACAGCTACTTGGATGTTACAACTATGTTGCAATGCGAATAGCAATGACAAGAATTGATATCCTTGGCATGTCAGAAATAAGAAGGTCAAGATCTATGGAATGATGAATATAGATTGATACATACAAAAATAGTGAACAATAGCCCAGGAATTGGAGGAGTAGAGTAGGCATATAATGAGTAAAGCTATTGGGAAAAAAGTTAAAGAATTTATGCAGTAAAGAATATTATTTAAGATCGAAACAAAACCTAAGGATACAATCATAGTCCAAGTCTACATGCCTACTTCTAATAGCAGTGAGAGGGAAATTGAAGAAGTCTATAAAGGAATAAAAAAAGTTAAAGAAGATGAAAATCTTATCATTATAGATGATTGGAGCGCTATAGTGGGACAATTAAGCCTAGGGCACATATTAGAAAATTATGGTCTAAGAAACCGAAATTAAAGGAGGCAGATTACTAGATTTATATTCAAAACACAAGTTATTAATAACAAATACCTATTCAATTACCATCCATGAATGTATACATGGAAAATGCCAGGAGACATGAATTAATATCAAAAAAACTACATCATGATCAAAAAAAAGATTTAGAAACCAAATAAAAAACTGCAGAAGTAATCCAGGAGCAGACAAACATAGTGACAATGATTGATAGCATATAAACAAATTAAAAGAAGAAAAAGTAAATGATAGGTTTAAAGAACTTACAAAAAATATAAATATAAATGAGAGAACCACAATATAATAGATGGGTTAGTATATATAGCACAAGGATAAAAGCAGCATCAAAAACTCTGGGAGAAAATAAAGCTACAGTACCTAGGAAAAAATGAATAAAAGCAGAGATAGTAAGTATGATAAAATAAAGAAGGAAGCTTAAGAATGAGACTACTCTTGGCCATAAGCAGAACTAAAAAATATTGTAATATGAAAGTCAAAAGAAGCAAAAGAAAAATACTTAAGAGGAAAAATGCAAAGATATAGAGGTACAAATAATAACTGTTGGCAAAAATTCAACATATACATCAGTTAAACATTTCTTAACAATTATAAACTAAAAAGGGATGCAATAGAAGATAACAACAGAGTAATTATTCATGAAGAGAAACATAGAGAGAACATATGGAAGAAATATCTAAAACATTTACACGAGATGCCAGAACTCACTGGACATAATATATTAGAATTTTTTAAGTGAGAAGAAACCAAACTTAATTTATAAAAATGATTTAGAAAATTAATGTAAAAATTACCAGTACAGTGCACACATATTATATTTATTAAACACTGTATACAAATTATTTTTTATATTAAAAAAATAAACATAAAATTAATTTTATTATTATACCTTTCTCAAATTAATTGGTAATTCACCAATATTTTTTGCTTCAACTGTATGAAAACATCCAAAGTCAATATCTTGTACATTAATAGTAGTATCATTAACTTCAATAACTTTACCACGACAGGAACTATTTACATTAGAAACCATAACAATATTTCCCACATCAATATCAGTTTTAGGCACAAAGGCTAAAAAAACAAGATTAAGTAAAACATTAAGTAAGTTAATTTAATAATAATAATAAACATAAGTTAATTTCTAAATAAAAAATTTACTTACGATTATTTTGAATATTTACCATTGAATCATTAAATAACTTTGCATCATTTACAACATATACCTCATCCATACTTTCAAAATTTTTCAAATAAACTATATCATTATTTTTTAAATTATTTAGTTGGTTGGTATTATCTTTCTCCAACAATTCAGTATTTTCATTAAGTGATGATACAGCAGCCTTAGACGACAATTCTAAAAACACACAAATTATTAAATAATGAAAGTATATTTTAATAAATAGAAGGAATACCATAATGTTCTTTAAGAACATTATCTGAATTTGTTTCTTGCAAAAATCTGTTTATATAATTAATATCAATATATGATCCACTTTCCATATCCTTTAGTTTTACTTTTTCTAAACAATGTTTAGACTTTTCATCAAATTCCTAAATAAAAAAAAATAAATGAATTTGAAAAATTTTAGATTTCTGACTAATTTAATGCATTTTTTCATATGATAAAGTATATTAGAGTACAGGTATTAAGTCAATATGTTGGATTTATACATTGATCTAATGAGCAAAATAATTAGTCAACTCTCAGTAAATTTTAATCAACAAAATACAAACAATTTGAGTAATTAATTTTGACTAATTTTAGATTATAATATATACCTATAGGATTGTGTAAATAAATATTAATACCCTCATACTTTGCAATAAAATATAGTATTAAACATTTCCTCAAACTTTAAAATTTACTCTTGCTTTAGATAATTTTAAAATTTAAAGAAATGCATTATTTTCTTGACTAAGAACTTATATAATTACTTACAATCTCAAATGGTTTTCCACTATCAATAAAGTCTTCAAACATTTTTTTTATTTTTTCAGTAAATGTACAACTATTTAATTCATTGATTCCTACTTTTATAGCTAGTCCAGGCTAAATTGTACAAATAATAAATAAATAAATATATTTAAGTATGAACCAGAAATATATATACACAAATACAAATAAAATAATTATAAAATATTTAAAACATAATAACCATCTGTAATTTGTCATCTAATTCATAAATAACATTAGATTTAACAGTCTCTGTATTTCCATAATCAATGAAGTAAACATCAAAAGTTCCATTTTCATTATGTTTTAATAGTTTTGCTCTGAGTAAATTTTTATACTTCAAAGAAAAAACTTTGACAATATTGCCAACTGTAGGATATTCTTTGGGTATATCATCTAGATTTCATAAAAAAAAAAAAAAAATAGAAAAAAATATACATATTACGGTGTTCAATATGAATAAATCTAAAGAATATATTGAAACTAAGTAATAAATCTGTTTCTTCAATTCAGAAAAAAATAAATAATTAAAAATTAAATTTATTATCATCAAACTTACACAAAAACCAATGCATTTTTTAGTAATTACTCATCATGTTCAAAATGCAACGTATTAAGTGTTTAATTTATCAGAGTATCATTATTTTCATCACAACTAAAACCCCAAATTTCAGATAAAAATAGATGGAAATTATTACCATTAATAAAAGAAAAAAAACCATTGTTTTTCATTTTTAACAGATTACTGATAAATAGGTATTCCAAAATAAATAGTTTTTATCAATCAGGAATTTCATCAGGAATACATTTAATTATTGAAGTAATATATATTAAGTACATTATATTATAATATGATAGTTGCTATCACTATGTCACTGCATTCAAAACACTTGGATGACATGGAACAATGACCATGACTGTGAATAATTTTTAGCTGCAATTGCGGTTTCTCTAGCCAAACTGGTACCACCTTAAGTCATTAATAATAACAAAAACGCTAAAATGATCCGGAATTCTCCCATACAGTTTGTTAACCTGCACACTAAAATGCCTAGCATTGTCGGACGTGCAACAGCATTTACACTTATCATGTTTTTATCCAAATTTAGTGCATAAATTATTGGTTTGTATACAGAAAAGGCCATTTAGAATAAAAATAAATGTGTAAGGTATTAAAGAACCTCAGCAATTGGCTCAAAATAAATTAAGCAAATAGAAATCAAAATCAGTATTTTATTTTTTATGTCAGCCTTTTTTTCAACAAAAGTGCCGAGTAAATTCCAACTATACACCTGCCTAAATATTAATTTGAACAAGTTATTTAGTTAAAATAGAGTAAAATACTAATAATAATCATAACAATTAAAATATAAAATGCATTGATAAAAATTTTAATTGGATATCAAAATAACAATTTTTAAATAATAAAACACCACAAAACATTAAACTAACCTTTACTTTGATTAGTCTTCAATAAAATGTCATAATTGCATAAACTATAAGTAGGTCCTTTATCATTCTTTATAGCTTTACAAACATATATTGAATTGAAATCTTCCACAAATGTAATAAGACATACACTTCCATTTTCTAATGGAATATATGGTTTCATTAGCTTACTTTTTGTGTAACAAGAAGATAGAAAACTAAAAAAAAAAAAATGTAATAACAACAATTAATTAAAACAAATCAAATACTAAAAACATCTCATTACCTTGATAAATCATTATCAAAGCTATTTGCTATGATTCGAGTAGAATCAATATTAACATTATTATTAATGCTGCAAAAATAAAATAAATGCATTTAGTTTTAAAAAGTTAAAATACCATATGTAAGACATCAATTATATAATAATTGTACAGCCAAAATAAGTGACCAATCCCATTAGGTTAAATTATAGGAAATAATATATAAGTAACAATTAAACTGTTACTAATACTAAAACTAATGCCAGGTTTACACGATGCATAGTACTTGTCATTAGTACTTGTTACTTGCACTCGCATATTGCGTGTAAACAGTAAAAATAATGCTTAGAATTAGTAAAACTGGGAGTGCGAGTGAATAGAATCCAGTTCTATTTACTAATGACAAGTAGTTACCCCCTCCACAACTCTACTCGCGGTTGCACTTGCAACGTGTGACCGTCCGATGTTAGTGGTTAGTGACAAGTATCGATAGGATCACGTACGTTTTTTTGTTGATTTTTCGATTTATCTATTACCCATAGCCTAAAAAGACAAAGTTAATTCCAGTTTTATCCTCGCAGGGATTGCAGTTTTCATAATTATATTTTCTCTTTGAATTAGATGAGATATTTTTTGTAACAGAAATTCAAATTGGTCAGGTGTTATCCTCATGAAACTTCTATACTCAAGTTGATCTTCAGTAGCAAGTTCTCTTAAAATCCCAACTGAATTACCAAGGGTATCTCATATCAGCAAACATTTTCTTGTCAATAATCATTATTTTTTCTGATTCGTTTTCAAGTTCTTGCATCAATGATATGATATTATAACGTTAGCATAATGTTTAAAAGTTTTCTTTAAAAAAAGGAGGTGGTCCATCGTGACGTTTGTTTCGCTACTACGGGCTTGCTAGTATGACAATCACGTGTGAACAATAGTTAGATAGTAGGAGTACGAGTAGAAGTGCGAATGACAAGTACTACACAGCATGTAAACTCGGCATAATAACTTACCATTCTTTTAAAGCAAATTTTTGTTTTTCCTGATCACATTTAGCTTCCACAACAACTAAACCATCATACAGCGACTATAAATTAATAATCATTATAGATACATTACAAAAACTAGTTATTCATAAATAATTAGGCATAATTATAATTACACTATCAGAAAGGAGAGGTTTTACACTCAATTTAGAAGTGTTTGGAATATAACCATCCTTAAATTTGATCGGTAATGCCTGGAAAAAAATATTATAATGAAAAAAAAAATAAATATTTTTTACAAATAATCTTTCTTACCAATGGTTCATAGTTAAGATAATATGGAAGAAGATACAAATTATCTAACTTAGTATTATAAATACAACCAATATCAATTAGTTCAATTCTGGTATCATTTGGTAAAAATTCATTAAAACATGCTAATTTTCCTCTGAACCTAGTAAAAAAAATATAATAATATTGTTAAGACACATGTATAAATTATACGAGAACAATATAAATAAATTTAGGTTAATTAAATCAAAAAATATTAAACAATTATTATTTTAACTTTTTACCAAAACATATGGGTAACATAAATATAAATTACAACGTAATAAATACTAGTTTTATACATAATCTAAGAGGAATAAATCTACATATAAATATAACACATTAAAAGAATATTGTCTTAGGTATACATCAAATATTGGCAAAATAAAATACACTAATATATGAATTAGAAATATTTCTAGGAAAGTAGACAATAAAATTATTGATACCCATATTAGAACAAATTTAATAAAATTTAATAGTTTGTAAAAAATTAGTACCATTCGCCATCAATGTGAATTACAACCAATGAGTTTTGCATAAATTTTTCAATTTTTTGGTAAGATTTAACATGTTCTGATATAGTAACCATATCATTCATTCTTCTTATAATTTTATCTTCAGTAGTTGCAATATACACTCCATTATTTGTGTGTTTGCTATCAAGTAGAACAATCTAATAAAATAAATTAAATATTTAAATTATTCAAAAAATGATTAATATACTGAAAAAAAAACTAAATTAATAAATTCAAAAACTAATTTTATAAGTAGTAAAGTTAATTCCAAAAACTAAAATTAAAATGATTTTTTTTCAGTTGATGTTTTTAGTTCTATACAATTTTTTAATTAACCAACCGATTAATAATGATTAAAGTTCTTTCTCTTTATATAAAACCGGTAAATTCTGTTTTTAAAAAATAGAATTTAAAAGAAAACTAATAATTTGATAATATAGCATCAATGATAACACCACTTATATCCTATAATCGTTTGTCAAACCAAAATCAAAGTACCTATCAAAATTCACTGAAAAAAATACATAACATTTGAATTTATCATAAATTTCTTAAAAACACAATTTGTTTTGTTTGAGAGGGTAAAGTATTTGTGGTTTTAATATGTATTGTTTTTGTTCTTATAATGATAAATTGTGGTTTCATTTGTAGTTTAATTGTGTAGAAAAAATATTGTTCGTATAATATAATATAGTCGATTAATTTGGTAACCAGTTTTGAGTCCCTGGTTTATTCTAAGAAGTAAATAAAACAAATAAATCAATATTACTTATTTTTAATGTTAAGTATTGATATAAGCCCTAATGATCAATAATGGAATATCAGATTTATCTCAAAACTGATATTCAAAAACAGATACAAGGTTTGATTTAAAATATCAGAAAAAATTATTAAAATCTTGAATTATAAATATAGTACAAGAACAAGATATTCAAGATTAAACTTAACAACATTAAAGATAAGAAGCAGTCTAAAAATTACCTCTTATTTTATAATTAATACAAAGCAATTATACAGTTAGGTTGGCCTAGAAAAATTGAATATAATAAAATACTTAACAATAAATTTAATATATAAAATTAAATTGGAAATAACGTCAATATGCAACAACCAATAGGTAGGTATTACATTATTCTAGGTACCAAAAATTATCCAAAAGTGAATTTAATATTAATATCCACATACATTATATATTATAAATCTAAAAATTGAAATAATTGTAATTTCTGAACATACCTCGGTCCACGTGTTTAATGGCAAAAATTGCAAAACGTCCGTAGATGTACGTGCAGTGAAAATCATTATTTTACGTATTCGTAAATAATGAACGTATTGTTCGTATAATGAATCTTGATGTGAATGATATTTCAATTTAATAAAATAAAAAAGTAAAACTAACTACACAAACAATAATTAAATACAAAAAGAGAACCATTATAATAGATGAGCACAATAAGAAACTGACATAAAATAACAAAAATGAAAAATTGAGATTAAAGACAGAAATACGGCAGTAATGCTGAACGTAAAACTACCGGTATACAAATATTACTTATCAGTTCAAAAGACAACCGTTAGGGTGCGTTCACGCCGTTCACGGAAACAACTGACAAGTGACAACAAATCTCGACAGCCGGCGTTCACGTCTCACGTGCTAAAAGCATAAACTCCAATATGAATAAGCTTAGATTAGGTCACACGGTAATAAAAGCCAAAACGCGGTCAGAACCTGATGCAGTTCATCTACATTCCGGCGAAGCGCTGCTATTTACCGCTGGAAAATGTAAGTAATATTAACCTTTCAGCAGGCGCGTATGCGCATTTTGTACAATTATAAATGTATTGATATAACTTTTATCTACGTATCCCGATTAATACTGGGATTTTTCCTATTCCACAATGACGTATATGTTACAAACAATTAATAATTGTTATCTAATCTTACGTATTTTTCAAATTATTATTGATGTATATTTCAGTCAACTCCGTCCGATCGCATGTAATACGTCTCGCGCCTGGTCGTAATATTTCATACAAATACTTTTATTTTTATTTTTTTTCGTGTATTGCTTTTTTCACCTCATTATGGACGATATTGCGCGTATGTTACAAGAATTATCAGACGAAGAAGTGGGAGATAATTTTGAAGATTACTCAAAAACTAAAAAACATAATATAATAAAAACTTCCTCCGGTCTCACCTCTCATGGATTGTGTTAATATGCATTGAGGTACTATAGAGAGGTTATTTTTCGATTTTCTCCAGTGTTTTTCCAGCAAATATGAAAAACTGGGAAAATCGGTAAAATATTAAACAAATATTTTTAAAGAAAATATAATATAGTGCCCATTTAATTATTGAGACTGTTGAGTCAAATACTGAGGATTATATTAATATGTTTAACTGTGAAAAAGCGGGCTTGATAAAGCATTTATGGTTAAATTATTAATTAATAATACACCGTTAGATATGGAATTAAATACAAGAGCTGGCGTATAGATTATATCAGAAAATGTAACAAAAGAAAAATTTTGGTGACTGTAAGTTAAAGCTTACATTAATTAGATTGAAAGCATATGATGGAAAATACATAGAACCCTTGGGTGAGATGGAATTGACTATTTACTATGAGTCGATAAAAAAAGAATGTAGTTTTGTAAAGAGTGAGAATAAACCTTTAATTGGTCGCGATATCATAAAGAGTTTAATATTGAAGTTTATAGCATTAAGAAAGGTAATGATAAGATAATTTGGAAGTTGACATTGGATGAATTGTTAAGGGAATATAAGCAGCTATGGAATGAAGAGATTGGTACATAAATAAATTATATTACATATATAAATTAAAAAAATTAATTTATGTTTGAAACCTGGCGCTACTCCAATTTTTGCTAAGCCTACTAGAACCATACCTTCTACGTTTAAAGACAAAATTGAAAAAGAATTAGGTAGGGTAGAAAATGAAGATGTGATTAGATTAGTGAATAACAATGACTGGGGCACGCCATTAGTACAAGTTTTAAAAGGTAATGGTGCTATACAAATTTGTGGTAATTATAAAACTATGGTAAACAAGTACCTAGAGCATGTCAAGCATCCCTTACCTAGAATTGAATAGTTATTTGTCGCGCTACAAGGCTGAAAAACGTTTTCGAAGATTGATTTTAAAAATGCTTATAATCAATTATTACTAGATGATAAGACTAGTCAATTGTTAACTTGGAGTACGCATAACGGAATATATGTTGTTAATACTTTACCTAATGGAACAAAGCCGGCATGTGCGATAGTTCAAAAAATTGCAGAGGTATAGTTGGGACTTAAAGGTACTATGAAACTTTTAAACGATGTTGTAGTTACCGGAATGACAAAGGAAGAACATACCGATAATTTAAAAAAGGTTTTAGTCAGGTTAGAGAAAGTTGGATTTCGGATTAATTTGAACAAATGTAGTTTCTTTAAAAAACAAATTTGCTATATAAGGCATATAATTTGTGCAGATGGACTGAAGAAAGATCCGACAAAGATTGAGGCCGTTTTTAGGGTACCAAGGCCGTCAGATTCACATGGTATAAGAGCTTTAGCAGGAATGATTAATTACTATAGTAGATTTGTTAAATATCTATCAGGTATACTGGAACCTATGTAAAAATTACTAAAAAAAGAAAGTTTTATATGGAATAAAGAGTGTGAGGCAGCATTTCTTAAGTCAAAATAAATTATTGCTTCTAAGAACATAATAATGCATTATAACCCAACAATGAATGTGACCTTAAATTATGATGTTTCAAGTATTGGAATTAGTGCAGTTTTATCTTGTGTTTTACCCAGAGCTATAGAAGGACCAGTTATGTACTCTGTCATTATTAAGGAAGCATTGGCAATTTTCTGGGCTATGAAAAAGTAAAGTCAGTATCTATTGGGCAGGCATTTTAAAATAGTTACACACCATAAACCATTGTTGTCAATTTTTGGCGAAAATACTTTTTTAAAATTAATAATTAATTAATTCTTATATATACTTATACCAGTACCTATTTAACTTATTAACATAAATAACCGCGCTCCAATGTATTCTTATCTATTTCAGTGATAATGGCACGTAATTTTGTTTTAATATGTACCTACTAAATATAAATTGTTTACATTTATAATAATTTCCCAATAATTATTTTCAAATTTTGATTTCATATTAAATCATAGATATAATATTATTATGTCTATGTATTAAATAAAAGTAATTGATAACAAGTATTTCCCAAGATCTAATTATACCAAAAATCTGAAATAAGTCGATCTGTCGGGTTTTTAACATTATTTTAGCAGTGGGGAATTGTACTTGGGACTATTTATTGTTATTGTTAGTTGCCACACGAAAACACTGGGTTTATATAAAAACCATTAATTTAAATAAACTGAAGTTTAATATCTTTATAGATTAGCATTGATTTTATTGGAAACGAGTAAATTATCCGAACAGTGTTCTATTCGAAATATATACTGTTAAAATTATATATGGTCAGAACCACATATACCGAAAAATATTTCATCAAAAACGTATTTTGGCCTAATAACATATCGTGTGAACCGTATTTTAGCCGAAAAAATGTTTTATCATAAAAAAAGACCAGATAACGAATTTTTAAAAAATCATAAAAAAATGACTTTATTTATACCATAAAATAACTTCATTAAGAAAAAAAAAAAACTCAAGTTAGAAAAGTTGTGATATCAAAAAGAAGCTAAGTAGTTTCTTAAATTCATTATTACCCACAGAAATTGTTTATAATTGTTTGCATTTGATGAAGTGCGATAATTTAATTTAGCTTGGCGGCTACTCATTGTATGTACTAGTGATAACACTATTACAATATGCCATAAGGTAATATTAATAAATTATAAAATAGGGATGTAAATATTCATGTCAGCATTATATCTTTATTTGTAATAGTAAATATTGGTAGCCGTCAAGCTAAGTTAAATTCCATTTGTATTAAATCATCGCACTTCATTAAATACAAACAATTATAAGCAATTTCTATAATAATGAAATTTTGAAATTACTTAGCCCCTTTTTGATATTACAACTTTTCTAACTTGATTTTGTTTCTTTTTTTATCGAGGTTTTTACACGTAGTTGACGAAGGGTTTTTGTTGAGATACAAATTTATTATTTTATTAGTATAAATTATGCGTAGTAATATTTTCATATAATTTTGATAGGTATTATGATCATAAAAGAACCTGAGTTACCACATGAGGGAGCTCTTCTCGGCCAAATGAATACTATCTATACCACAGAGTAGAGAATCTATATAATCATTGAGTAATACCGCGATCACGAATTAAGGAATATAGGATATACAACGAGATCAATTGGCAAACAATTTTTTCCGGCGGTTCTTATTCATCAAATAGACATAGAGCACTAATAACTAATAGCGGCGACAATGGGTTTTAGTGTATTTATAGATAATAAAGAAAAAGATTTTAAAATTAAAAGTTTATTTAGACACTATCATAGAAGATGGCCGATGGGATATTAATGACATCTTTCAGGTGCATAATTTTAATGACAATGCTACTATTGAGTGTATAGTATAATTTGTACATATTGTGTTGAAATATTTTATGCTGATAAATAATATAAATTTATTTTAATCTAACTAAATGATATCACTGTTTTAATTTAATAGATAGGCAAGAAAAATTAGTAAAAAACAAATTATCGAATTTGTTTATCGAACATAAAATAACAGTTGTAATACAGTAAATGCCTAACTAGTTAGTTTATAAATTAAAAGTTTCTTTATTCACCCTGAAAACAATTTGTTTATACTTATTAGACAAATTGAGATGTCATTTTCCAAACATGCTAATGGACAAAATTTGTTCGAAGACATTGATGACTTTTTTTTAAATGTAATTATTTAATTCTATTTCCGTGTTTTGAACACAAAAATGTTGTAGTGGGATATATATTCACTACTTATATTACAATGAGAATGAGACGTCATAAGGTACTTATTTTTCTAACCATCAACTCATGGGAAAAACTAGGTTAAATGAAAAAACTATCCAAATTAAGTACTAATTAATTTACTAGTAAGGAATACCTACAATAATACAACATATATTGTTTATTATTTTACCTCAGAATACTACTTATACATATTTCTTGTATTGAAAAATATAATAAAAATAAAATTATTGTACGTATTGTCTAACTTTTATAAATCCCAAATTCCATGTACAGATATCTATGATTCCATGTTACGATTTTATTGATAATGGACATGATCTTACACAGTTGATAGTGATGCTTCGTCAATGCTTCGTATATAATGTCATATTATGGTAGAATAATTAAATGAGCACTATATTATATTTTCTTTAAAAATATTTGTTTAATATTTTACTGATTTTCCCAGTTTTTCATATTTGCTGGAAAAACTCTGGAGAAAATCGAAAAATAACCTCTCTATAGTACCTCCTTAGTGAAATTTCCATTTAGAAAAATTGCTGACATTTTAAATCGGAGCCAAATTGCTTATAGAAAAGTTGTTCACAAGAAAAAAGAAGGCGGTAATATATTTTAACTAATATCTTTGATTATTAATATACTAGTATTGGTAGTAATACTATGCCACTGATGACAATACATTCTTTAATACACTCAGAATCTAAAATCAATGAGCTATCACTATTTATAATATAATCAGTAAATTATTATAATAATAATGCAACAAAATATAAATAGGTAGATTGTAATAATAATAAAAATTGTAAATATAAATTATAGGATGAGATATTTGTTCCAGTTTTCTACATCTCTGTCAAGTACTCTCTACTGAGTTTATAATAGTCAAAAACAAATTGTCTGGAACAATCAAAAACAGTTATAATTTTGTTCAAAATTACAAGTCGGATGTTAGTTCCGAACGAACATGTCAAATTCTGTCTCTTAAAGAAATAATAAAAAATAAAAAAATTGTGGTCTGTTTGTGATTTAGCACTATTTATTTTAGAAAATGATTTGTCTTGTAGGTATTCAGAAGTTTTAGGAGCTTGTATTATTTTTATGACTGCCAGTCACGGTTGCTACTGCCGAAAGATCATTCTCTAAATTGAAAATAATTAAATATTATGAACTCTATGGGACAGAATTGATTATCAAATATTGCAGTTTTAAACATTGAACAACATCATTCTAAAGAGTTATATTTAGATAAAATTACAACATTTTTCAAATTTAAAGACAATGAAGTTTTAAAATAAACATTTATACTTTGATTATTTAAAAACATACTAGTAATAATTATGTTTTATTTTACATTTATTTCTTTATTTTGATTTTATTATCTAACTAGCTGGGTAAATGATATTTAAATATAATTCTAATGATACAATTTGTGATCTTTATGTTTTTTTGTTTTGTTTACTGAACACTGATGTAAACAAATTTGAGAAATCATCCTACGAAACATTACGGTTATAGTATACTTGTGGTAGGGTTGAAAGCAACTTATTACAGACGGGAGGTTATATGATATACGGAAAATTGGGGCACTAAAATTTCTGTTTCCCTGGGGCTCAAAAAACTTAGTTTCAGCACTGTATGACACCCCTAACAGTTTGGTCCAAATTGCACCTATAATTAAGTTATTGGTGTCAATTAAAATTTGAAATATCGATATTTACCATGACCATGATTTTCAATCAATACGTAAAACAATACACACAAAGTCTATTCCTTTTCTGCTACAAATGTCAACAAAATTTAGTAAATAACTTGTAGTGAATTTGGATAAATTCGAAACTGAAGAACTTTTGTAGAAAAACAAACGGCCCTAAAAAAAGAAAATGTAAATGTAATTAGCCATTATACATTTTGTTTCTGGTTTTATAATTAATTTAATACAATAGTATAATTACTTTCTTATAAATGCATGCAATAAATTATTTGCGATGATGTAAGGATTACCTTACACTTAACAAATATTGTTTATTATGGTATTATATGATTTTATACATTTGTCTAATATATACGTAACAGAACATGGTATTCCTTATAATTTGGCATGCTAAAAATGTAGAGCAAAGATTATATTAAAATAGCATACCTAATATATACGCAGAATAGTTCTTAAGGAAAAAAAATGTATGTATCAATGTATGTATCATGTATCAATTTGCATTCAATACATGTTACGCAAAAGTTTATTTTTTGGAGAAGAGGGGGTGATATAAAACATGGATATTTGTTTTTTTTAACAATAAACCCTTGTTTTTATTTTTCAAAAAAATGTTTTGTCCGATTTCAGTTTTCTCTACAAAATATAAAATAAATGTTCTGAAATAGTACCAGTCATACATAGTGGGATCAAAAAGTTTCCGGAATACTTGAATTGCGTTCCAACGGAATGTCCAAAAGCAGTAGGATTAATATTACTGTATTCTGTGACTTTTTCGGAATATATACGTATTTTTAGATTCTCTATAACTTTCTTTGTTTCGATGTGACCGATGTTTTCTTAAAATATTTTTTTCAAATTTGGCGATTTTGTAATAAATCCAAAAGAAAAGCTTTTGATGAGGGAGGGAGGAGGATGTTGGTTAGAGAAGATTATTCTTTCATGTTTATGATAACATAATATTATACACGTAGTGATTATTATTATGATAAATTGTCAACATGTTTTTAGTGATTAACTATACCAAAAAGTTCCTGATTAATCTGAACTTGGACCTTCGTCCACATTCTCGAGAAAAACTTTCACTCGGCACATCTGCAGTTTTTCAATTGCAATTTGTTGGAAAAAGTCATATGAAACGTTACATTCCTCTACCAAACAAGATTATGTCAAGAAAATAATCCTTCCAACCCCCCCTCCTCAAAAAAGCTTTTCTTTTGGGTTTATTACAAAATCGCCAAAATGCGAAAAAAATATTAATAGAAATAATAATATAATTATTATAATTAATATAATAGAAAGTTATAGAGAATTTAAAAACACAGATGTACTCCTAAGAAGTCACAGAATCCAGTGATATCAATCCTACTGCTCTTAGACACTGCGTTGGCGCGCAATTCAAGTATTCTGGGAACTTTTTGATCCCACTACGTATTTATAACCGACGTTATACGTTCATTATCGTTATCATACATTAATAATAAGTATTTTATTGTACATTGAAAAAATATATAACTTTAAAATTAAAAATATATTATAAATGAAATTTATTTTGCGAGCCTTTTCTTGTGCAAAATCAGTCAAAAAATGTTGGAACTCAAAATTGTTTATCACTTATTTTTCAATGGAAATTGTAGCAAGATCACTTAACCTTTCTTGGTTCATAGAAGACCTCAAATAGTTGTTAATTTTTTTTAATTTGGAAAAGCTTCGTTCACCTAATATGACTAATACAGACATTGTTAAAATAATTCGGAGTGCTATAGCTACGTCATAATTATTTATGTCATACGAAAACTTAAAATTATTGGAGTGGTTATGCATTTTTTGAAATCTTTCTTCAGGGAAAGTGATTGCTACGTACAATATATATATAAGTATAACCATTGATGATGATTATAAATACTATTAAAATGTATAAACAATTGGAAAACTCAACTTTAAATTTAGTTTTTAAATCAATTATGGGTTTATCAGGTATCGTTATTGCCGTTCTATTTGCGTACAGCATTACGATTACGGTACGTCTGCAATAAACGAAATATTATTATTAGATAGGTATATTTTTTTGTATTTATTGAACAATGAACATACATTTTTGTATACTGGATAATAAAATAATTAAATCAATTTGGTTCATTCTTAGTTTGCCGCCCTAGGCGGCTGCCTATTTTGCTACTACATTGGGCCGGCGCTGCAGGTCTGGTCAACTCCCAATTCTAATCGCATTTTTTCAATTAATAGCCAATTAGCCAAATATTTAGGTACGGTCGGAATGTCAAAATAATTTGGAAAACATAAGATTCCATCCTTCAGTTTGGTTGATAGTTCTTTGAGCGTTGTTTAATGTTACGTCACGTACATTTCAAACTGTTCCAAACTTTAAAACCAGTTCCTAACGATTTGGGTTAGTTCTTGTTATCAAACTATATACTTACAGTGTACACTGTAAGTAAACTAGGACCAAGAAAGTATCGACAGATGGAAACTCTCCTTAGATAAGGAGACTAAGAAGTGGATGGTACGAGCCGAACATCTACCTGCAGGGAACAATTTAGAGGGGCCAGTGTGGAGAACAATAAATAGGGGTTGGACAATCCAAAGAAAACCAGACAAAATGAGATTTTATTCCTGATGAAGATACATATTGTGACTGCAGACAGACTCAGACCATGACCCAACTTATAAACTACCCAAGCTGCTCAACTTCCTGCATAATGGACGATATCTTGTCAGCGACCAAGTAATAAAAGTTGCCATTTTTGGCAGAAAGAATTTTTCATACAACTCCCAATATCATATTACGTTGGCAAACTAAACTGATAGCAAATGAATTATTTATTATTATTAATATTAATTTTAGATTATCATATTTATATATAAGGTTGTTTGACACGAGGAGATAATAAGGTGTACACTGTAAAAGCCGGATATTTTTTCCTACAATCGCTGGGAATACCCTATAGTAGTATAATTTAAACTAAAATAATTTTAAAGCGAAAAAATTGGATCAAATTAAAACTAGCTCTACAAAATATTTAAAATACATTTTAAGAAACGTTTTCAAATGGGGCGTAGGTACCTTATATAGTAGGGTATAATTAATCTATAGGTACCTAGATAGCTTAATAAATTTGAAAATTTTAGCACGTATAAAAGGCCGATACAAATTTTCTGTTAAAATTTCAAGACTCTACGAATTTGTTTAACTGAGTTTTAATAAAAAACAAAATTGAAAATAAAAGTATTATTTTCGTAAATTTGACCGTAGTTTTCACGTAGGTATTTTAGGTTTTGCTCAATTATTAAAAAAATTACAAACAAAATCAAAAAACGACTTCTTTCGTCACTAACTAGATTAAAAATTCAACTCAAAAGATCTCATGTTGTTGGAACATACCTATTTCTAGTAAGAATCAAAAGTTTCAAAAATGTAAAATAATGTCCTTACGCCATCGTAAATATCTGTCCGTTTGACTACCTCCCTGGCATCCGTAAATCTTCCTATCGACTTCGGACCAACATAATTTTTTGGTCAATATTATTAACCATGACAGCTAATGTTTTTCGATTTTTTTAGGAGTTTTCTCAACAAATGTGAAAAACTCCCTAAAAAAACTGAGTAAAAACGGAGAATATATAAATGTATGTAAATATTACGGCCTTCTTATTCCTGTGAACAACTTTTTTACCAGCAATTTGGCTCTGATTTACAATGATAGCACATTTTTTAAAAATAAAATCTGACTGGTCAGTTACTTTTGAGATTTTAAATTTTCCCAACAAATGTGAAAAATCGGAAAAAACATGGGAAAATCGGATTAATATTAAACAAATATTATTAAAGAAAATATATAATGCTTGTTTAATTATTTTAAAATAATATGCCATATAAATTGTTGACAAAGCATCACTATCAACTTGAATGCAATGGTTTATCGTTGCTTACAAATATACATTAAATTCCCTTCTTTATCTTACCTTACCAACTTTCCACCTACAATAGTGGCTGAATCCGTCTCCATTATTCTAGAACAGCTTTTTAATATTATTTCTTTGGACTCACACACAACACCATAACAACATTAGTAAATAATGTTTAATCATAATTATTGTCATTTAGAATAATTAAAAACATCGTCTGTTAATTTATAATTACAACAGATCAGTCTATAGAAACGAAATAAAATTGTATTATTAACACTTCATAAAGATCATTTTTTTTTGAAATTATAGGTTCGAATGAGTTATGGATAACATAGAGTAATCCTGAATCCTAACATAAGTATGTATATTAATACATTAATCTTATACATCAAGACTTTAAGTAGGGCTCCTAAAAATATTGCAAAAATGGGGCCTAGGGAAAAATGGTCCCATTGTTTCCTCTCTGAATGTCTCTGTTTATATTAATAGTTAAAGTGCGGATTTCAATGCATAAAAAAAAAAGATAATACTGGAGATGGGAGCGGCCACTGTTGTAGGTGAGAAGTTGAGAAGGTAGGATACATAAGGTTATTTCATTTATATTTGTAAGCAACGATAAACCATTGCTTGACGAAAGACGATTCTGAGCGCAATTCGATAATAAATAATTTAAATTGCAGTAATTATTTTCGCGATTTCCGTTTAAATTTAATTTCAAAATACTTATTAAAAAAAAAATTCGTCCGATGATTTTGGAAATTTTACCACGTCTAGGTAAGTTCAATATAAATATTATTACCAAATTTCAAGTCCTTACGTGTATTTATAACCGAATTACATTAAAAAACTCCCAAAATGTAAAATTCCTTAAAAGCTCATAAGTAGCTCAAAAGTTTTAATAATAATACAGTAATAAAGTGAATTAAAAAAGGCAAGAAAAAAGTTGTCTTGTGATTTTTTGATTAAATCATTTTTCCGGGAAAAAAACGTCGTCCGTGTTTCTATAAAATAATGAAATAGTAAAATTGTACGCTTTTTACCACTTAAGTGTTTTTATTTAAAAAATGGCGACGAAAATCAAAAAATGACTGTAAAGTACAATCTAGACAACTTGAGCTTTCAGAAAAGTTCCTATATGTAAAAATCGGAGCAAGTTTACTAGGAAAAAACGTGTCCACAGAATAGAACAAAGAACAAAAAACAAAAAAAACAAAATAAACAGCATTGTAAAACCAATAGCTCCTTTGCTACGCTCGGAATCTAAAAATGACTTAAAAATTTGTTTAAACGGAAAAAAAAACTTTTCTAATAGACTTTTTTTTATGATTAATGAATATTCTTCTTCTTTCATCACATGGGAATTAATTACAGATGAAAATATACGTAATATACTAAAAACATCATTGCAAAAACAGTTTTCTAGTAAAGTAGTTGTAGTGAACAAATTAATTTATTAGAAACTAAGTAAATTAGTTTTAAAACTATTACAAAAATAAATAATTAATATAAAATTTCAGAAGTATACCGGTAAAAAGTTATTTATGAATACACATATACATCTAAGCAATGTATCGGTGTAGTAAGGTGGTTAGGTAGTTTAATGTATATTAACTGGAAGGTCATTTTAAGCATCATTATAGCGAGTAACTTATTTTGGGGTTTATTTGACCCCTTTTAGATGTGTATACCCATAATTTTATTTACCAATACACCATTGTTAAAAGGTTAGTTGAAACTGAAGTAATTATAAAATAAATAAATATATTAGTTGAGAGATTAATTTATAATTAGGTTAACTATTATTTTTATGAACTATTTAATTATTTAATCTAGATACAATTTTTGTAAATGGGCAATAGTAAATAATGAAAATCAACTATAGAATGTATAGGTACTCATTATATATACAGTTTAATAGTATTTAAATAGGAATCCCTCTTTTTTTAATATAAAAAATACACTAACATATTATATATTCTTATTAGTTAGGTACTTATATTTTTACAGCTAATTAATGTTCAGGTATATTGCCAAATTAAGCTCTTTAAATATGATAATTTGGCATTTGGCTCAGTCATAAACATGGAGTTCCATATTGATTTTTTAATCCATATCACTCTATAACCAAGTATTTCCAAATGTCTTTGCTTCAATTTACAATGACCTTTCATTTCATGATCAGTTTTTCGTAAATCTCTTTCATTTAAAAGAAGCACCACTATCCTAATAGACAAAATATATTTAATGCACTTTAATATTTGAAAAACAAAATAATAATAAACATAATTTGTATTTTTAACTACATACCTTTTAGGCTGTTTTGAAATATTTATATTTATCTCAAAATCTAATTTATATCCATATGGGGAAAATGAGTTTACTTTTAGACAACCTTTATTTTCAATTAGCTGATTTAATTTTTTTTCCACATCCAAATAAAAATAGCCAGTGTGTTTAGAAACTAAATAATTAAAAAATATAATTTGTTGTCTTAAGAAAATAAAAAAAATTTTTTACCTAATGATTGTTTTTCTTCACAGTATTTTGAATGAAACCATGGTACATCAAATTCTGGACAATCAATACACACAGTTCTATTTAATGTCATTAATAGTTCCCTTAGTTTTAAAGGATATGTGGCCTAAAGATATGATAAAATAATAATTTTAATTTTAACTAAAATATGGAGGGATGTAGTTTATCAAATAAAAATATGAAAGTACTTTTGCATAACAATTTTTTATTTCATCATCCAATTTTTCTAGAAATTCTACACTAAATATATAATCTGTTATGTATTTAGGAAGACTATAGTAATAACATAAAGCAAGTGAAGATCTCATTAAATTTAAACCAGACATGTTGTGTTTATCTCTAAAAAAGGAAAAAAAAATTGTCATTAAATAGAATATGCAAATTAGCATTTTAGATGAACTATACCTATTAATGATTTCAACCGCACAAGGCAGAAATTCCATATACTTTTCACTATTAATTCCAAATGAAAAAAAAAGTGTTAATATTTTTTCTACATTTTCTGCTAATAAATATTTGTGATTTTTTATATAATATTTCAAACATTTGTCTAAGAGTTCAGAATCAAACCAATCAGATGCAATTAAATTAAAAGTTAGTTCTCTTATTGACTTGGAGGAGAATTCTTCATGTGTAAAGTTTTTATACCTATAAAATCATAATTCAATAAATAGGCATTTTAAAAACAAAACTATTGTAAGAACAAGCTATTTACCTATCAACTATTTTGTATAAGACTTCAGGTTCATTAATATTTACTCGATAATTATATCCTCGATACATGGAATTGAGTTGGTTAATACTTAAATCGTGTTCTTGATTTAATATATTCAAACATCTTTTGTTGAGTGCTGTACCAATCCTAACCTAAAGATAATTTATTCAATGACTAAGAACTGAAATCCACAATGTAATATACTAAATGTTATTGTTTTTTTAAAATAATGTATATTGTTTTATCAGTATAAATATGCTTTTCAATTTTATAACAGTACACTTAATTTATTTTTTTAATTTGTTTGAATATTAAATGTGTGGCAGTAAGGAGGGGGGAAAGATCCTGGATTATAAAAAAACAATATTTACATACAAACTATTTTTTAAATATTTTAAACAAGAAAAAATATTTCTAAAATAAAATTTTGAACATAATTATTTAAAATAAATATTACTTACATATTGATCAAAGAATTTTGGTAATATTTTTTTTTTCCGATTTATGAAAGCAGCATTAAGACCACGGCTGATGATAAAACAATCATATACACTATACTGACCAATATTACTTAATAATTTTTCAACCATTATTTCGGGTATTTCATATCCAATATTTTTATTAGGATAGCTGACAAAAAATGAAAATATTTTGCTATATTCGGATGGAATTATTGCTGATATACCTTGATCTAATTCTTTTTTTAACCATATGATCATTTGATTTTCAAATGAATAATGTCTGTAGGTTCCAGCCATATTGTTATTAAAATTCATGTATCTAAAAAAAAAATAAAATGTTCGTTATTGACATATTGATTATATAAATGTTATAGATATATCAAGAGGTATTCTTTAATTTAGTAAGTGGTAATAACAGGATTGGGTAGTATCCTAATTAAATTGCATCTTATATTGTGATATTGAAATCAATATATCTAGTATCTAAATACTCTTTTTGTAATATTTTGTCTAAAGGCACCAAAGGGAAAGAGGCAGGTCGAGTCATTTACCTACCTGGCTTTTAAAAAAATGTATTATAAATTAAAAATAGTTGTATATCAAGTAGATATTAATTTTAAAGTATCTTGCACATCTCCCAGGTAATGGTACTTATAAAGTTAAATATTCAAAATAGGTAAATAATTATAGTGCCTATTTACCTATTACATATTCGTAATAATTTATGACTTTCTCGAATAGAGGATTTGCCAGTATTTAACCAATTCAATACACTTGACCAATAAGCATTACAAATTTGTTCATCTGATGTTTTCAGATTTCTTATAATATTATATAAAGGTCCCATACATATTTGAGAAAAATTATAATTTAATATGAACTGTTTCCTTAACAGCGTTTCAATATATTTTTTTCGTGTAGTATTAAAGGATGGTACTATACACGATAGTAGTCGCAAAACAGTGATATCAGTATCAACATCAACTTTAGTTAGCCATTTAGATGTCACATTGTATATTTCTTCAAACAACTGATATGGTTCAAATTGCTTCAGGATAATCTGAAACAGTTTATGCAAACTAACTATTAAAACATTTTTTTTTAAAATATATTGAAAAAACTGTTGATTTATAAAAAAATAAACAAAACTTAAATTAAGTGTAAATAACAAATATATATATATTGGTTAATTTAATATTTTGAAAAGATCATTTTTAATAAAAAAAAAACAGCTCTAACATATGGAAAGAACTTGGTTAAAAATTGTTATTTGAATGGTTTGTATTAAATTTGATTTCATACCATTTGTAGTTGAATCATATCATAAACTGATATTTGATGAATATATCCTTGCAAGTCAAGTAACAAAGATCTAATCAAATCAATATTTTGAGAGGACCAGTAAGGATTATTTAGAAGTCTTAGTACTTTTACCATACATTTTATTTTATCATCATTATGTTCATTATTTACTAAAACACTTTTAACTTTTTCAACAAACATGTCTATTGTATCTTGGTTTAAAAACCAAGGCAAATTGTTCAAACATATTGCAATATGTTTTAAATCATCATATGTATTACATAAAGCTAAGAAATAATAATAAAATTAAAAAAATATATTAAATATCCTAAAATATTTACATACCAATTTTTTTTAACACTATTGGCCAAATATCTGTGAGAATGTACAACCCTGAAAGATCTCTACGGCCCACGACAGACACTGTAAATCTTGAAAGTACACAAGATTGTATTTCTTCTATAGGAGTATTGGTTAAGACTGTTTTTAACCAATATAATAAATTTTGATTGACTATAGAATTTTTATGAACTCCTATTTTATGTAAACATAATATAGAGTATGACAAACATTGAATATTCATAAACTTATAATGTTTATCAATTAAATCTAAAAGTTTTAAAAAATTTTCATTTGTTAAAATGTTTTCAAAATTTTCTGTTGGAGTAATATTGGAACAGTGCAAATTTTTTTCATATAAGCACACTCGATAATATATTATTTGAAGTTCTCTAACCATTGCTATAGCCATAGAAATATTTTTCCAGTTCAGTTGACTATTATTGTCTTGTAATATCAAATCGAAAATGTCTTGCAATGATTTACAATCACCAATTTGTGTTGTTAATGCATCATCAGAATGTGGTAATATTACATTTTTGATATCACGTACATTTATAATATCTTCACTATCACTGTCAGTATCATCTCCTTTATACGATGTTTGGTAACAGTATTTTCTATGTAAATGCTGGTATATTAATGGTAATTTTAAATGATTTTGTTTATACAATTTAAAATACAGTGTATTAGAATAGATTGTTTTATATCGCAATGTCATATGAGCAAGCTTTGTGGAAATTAACAAATTCACACCAAATTGTTTTAAAAATATCATTTTTCCTGTAAAAAAAAAAAAACAATGTAATAAAACAGGTAAGTAAGTACCTATAATATGTGTTTTAAATCGTTTTAGTTTTCAAAAAATGTACATTTTGAATATATTGAATAAGTATGTAACAAATTGTAAGCAAAATGCTTTTACTTATAGTATTTTATTAAATAAATAATAAAATTACTTACTTTTTTATATATTATATATTAACTATACATTAGCTTATTACACGAACATACAAAATAAATAACTTTAATTAAAAATTACTATTGATTCATATTAAAAATATTCACTAATTTGTACTCATATTTTTAACAATTTAAGAATTAAGATTTTTTTAAAAAAAATCATGCATTTTAAAATTCAAACTTAAATTTTGTGGTTGATAACTGATATGTGATAATAAATGATAATGGTCAGGCGAACCATTTTCTAAATAATAATTTGAAGCTCTTAAATATTTGATGACATCATCTCTGCAGTCATCATTTTAACAAACGTCATCTACGGTTATACTGAATTTTGTCTTACAATTTATAAAATACCTTCTTTTATATTCTTATCAATACTTATTCATATTTAGTTTAATGGTTTCATCATAATTTATTCTAGTGTTTCAGATTTTTTAGTAATAATAATAATTTACGTAATTTTATTGCAACTTGTAGTGATATTTTAATTGATATAATTAAATAATAATTCATATTGGTTTTTTCTATGTGCTGTTTAATTAACTAAAAATCATAAAACATAATTTAATTCCAGTAATATTATTAAACCACAGGTAAAAAATTAAAATAAATTCATTAAGTATCAATTGGTGATTTTGTACTTATTGTACATACAGATTACAGACAATTGTTGTTATAATTTATTTTTTAAAGTGTAATACTTAGGTTTAACTTAATTTATTTCATTAACTTTGTAGATCACAATGTCTGAAGCAAAAGTCAATAGTGAAGATATAGACATGGTATTTCAAAGGCTTCGGGCATTACCTGGCAATAAAGTAAATCTATTTATAATACTTAGTGCTTTAATAGGGTAATGTTTATATTATATATAAATTATCTAAGCTTTATTAATTAATATTTTTTGTTTTATCATACACATTACGAATCTGGTATCATTTAAAAGTCTGTAAAATTGAGGAATTATTTTAATTATTTTAGCCATTAAATAAAATAATTTGTTTATTTACTATATTTTGGATTCTAAATTCTATAATTTTATTTATTATTTTCTTTTTTAAAAAAAATAGGCAATTTGAATTTCTAATAAAACTTGTCTTAGTTTTGTTAGAATATATATAAAAATAAGAAAGTATCTAAATTCTAAACAAAATTAATTATTTATCAGGACGAATAATAATAATAATAGGTACGAAGGTGTTAATACTATTTAAAAACATTGACCAACAATATTATTTGTATTGTCATCATATATTAATTAAATCTGTTTTGTTTATTTTATAGTACAGTTGTACTAAATACACTAAATTTAAATAAAAAGTTTGGACTTTATTTAATAAAAAAAATGTTACAAAAATGATTTAATCTAATTGATCCAATTTAATTATTGACAATTTGTGATTTTTATACAAATCACAAGGTTACAGTTGATTACAACATAAATCAGCCATAATCTCGGTCATAACATATGTAAAAAAAACCTTGAAATCTGTAAATATATGCTCAATAGTTGTTTACTAAACAATCACTATTAAAAACATATATTAAATAATGCACTATAATTTTATTAGTTCAAATTACTTAGCTGGTGTACGAAAATTGAGTAAAGGTATTTGAAATATAGTTAAAATATGATTAGGTTAAGTACCTATGTAATAAAATTATTAATGCTTTGAAACTTGCAAAAAAAACTAGGTAATTAATATGACATATTAATTACCTAAGATACCTAATCAATATTCATATTTTAAAATAAATAATGCATTTATATTATTTAGATTGTAAATTATTTAAAACTAATTCATGTTAGCATAAGTCGTCCATCATCATACTAAATTTGATTTAATCCCCCAATTTGTCAATCATATCCAACCACCTTTTTTTAGTCTTCCTCTCCACCTCTTCTTACATTTATTTTCATTATAATTTTTACTGCTTCAAATTTTTCTCTCCGTATGATATGTTCAAACCATCTTGGTCTACTTTCAACAAATCAACATTATCAACTGAACTCCTGTCAGAATTGTTTTTTCGTTAGCAATAGTTTATCGTTACTTATAGATATACATTCAATTCTTATCTGTATCCTACTTTCTCATCTTCCCACCTACAACAGTGGCTGCACCTGTGTGCAGCCATGTCCATCCTTATTTTTTATATTTTATACAAAAAATAATAATAAAATTGTGTCTCCCACAGTATTGTCATAATAACTGTTATCAATAAAATCAACTATCAACTGCTTTATAATTATTATGATTATGTGTAAGGTGGTTCATTCTAATTTGGAATAATTAAAGTATATACAGTGGCGTATTTACGACCATGAGTGAGAGGTGCATTAACACAATTTATATGTCTAAGTTCACCTAAATCATACCAACCCCATTAATAGTATAGAAAAGTCCTCCCTTTAATACACTAATGAGTATACATTATATATATTGAATGTATACCTACTGTCCCGCAATATAAAATTATTACACATGGATTATAAATTCTGAGTGGAGCGAAGAAGTTTATAGTTTTACAAAGTTGTTTATTTTTTTTTTATCTGTGCGCAACTTTTTTACCAAAAGACTTGCTCAGGTGTTTAAGTGTAGCACCTTTCTAGAAGGAAATCGGTGTGGGAAAGTATTTTAAGGAGATTATTTTTCGATTTTTTTAAGAGTACTTATCAAATTTGAAAAAAATATAAGAAATATAGATATTAGTTAAAATATATTACGGCCTTCTTTTCTGTGAATAACTTTTCTACAAACAATATGGCTCTGAATTCTAATCTAATCTAATGTCTTAAAAATCATGTTTATATTTCGAACAATAGTGAAATGATTAGATAACAATTTAAAAACCCTTCTTGAATTTTTATCTGATTATATTACTTTTTATCAATGCTTAGAATAGGATAATTTAATTATTAATTATTGATTAAAATAAAATATTTTGATAATATTAACACTGAAGTTTATATTTTTATTTACTATTTAATTTGGTTTTAAATATTACCACTGGGTAATCTTCTTATTCGAGTCATTCTAAACCTATTTCTTTTTGTTTTTCTTTTTTCTCTAATCAAACCTACTTTTTTATAGATTGTAAATATTTTTTTAAATAAAAATTATATATAAATATATTTATTTATTTTTTATATACTTTTTTCATTAATTGTTTCAGACTTGTTTTGACTGCAATTCAAAAAATCCAACATGGTCAAGTATTACTTATGGTGTATTCATTTGTTTGGACTGTTCTGCAGTTCACAGGAGCATGGGAGTTCATTTGACTTTTGTAAGGTCTACTCAATTAGATACAAATTGGACATGGTTGCAAATGCGACAAATGCAATTAGGTGGCAACACAAATGCTGTAAGAATTTTGTTTATAAATTTGTGTACATTATCACAATATATACAAGGGCTATCCAGAATGTATATTACTTTTTGTCTACAGTTTCAGTGAGTAGGGAAATATTCATAATAAAAAATAAAGTCCATCAGTCATAATGCTTAGTTGTTCACTTTACTCTTCATTTGAACACTAGTTTAACCATTTTTAAATCTAATGCACTATTGGCCCACTCCACATTTAGTGATTACTTTGTTTCTGTACACTTCACACAGTTGATGATAAATTTAAATAAATTTATGGTCTTTGACCATATAAAATAAAAATCATATTCCTGATTACACCTCACAACTAAAAAATTTAAATTTAAAACTTTTATTGTGAAATAACAGGAAATTACACAAATCTCATGCTAGCACAGCTAAATTCTACTCAAACAGATAAGCGCCCAAAATGGCCATGTTACCCTAATCCATTGCCTAACCCCACTTAATCTACTTTCTGAAGATCCCTTGTGTATATATATATATGTACAGAATATCCTGCAGTGTTTTCCCAAATAAATCTCTGTTTATAAATCTGCCAATATATTTTTTTTTCAATCAGGTTTTGCATAAGGGATGGAAGAACCCCCTGAAAAAATATATCTAGTTTTCATTTTTAAACAATTTCAAAATAGCCATTTTGTAAAATATATTATCCTTAAAGTTTTAATATATCATACATTCATATCCAATAAATATTTTCATAGTTATAATGGCTTTGATATATAGAAAATAGGCATGGAAACAATTAATATTCTATAGAAGATAAGAAATTACTGTGTTAATTTAAATTCCATATTCTGTAATGTGTTTTTCTATTAAGGATTAATTGTTTTCATGCTTACTTTCTGGAAATTAAACCGGCTCTTACTAAAAACTATTGATTGGATATGTGTATAACATTAAAATTTTTAGAACTTATCTTTTACAAAATGGCTATTTTGAAAATTTTGAAAAGTGATAAAATATAGTTATTTTTTTTTCAATAAATATTGAATAAAATAAACATTTTTCTCATACATTACATTACATATATGTGTACCCCTTGCATAAAACCCGAATAAAAAAAAAAAAAAAAAAATGAATATTGGTAGAAATTTTAGCATAAGGATAACACTGTAGGACATCTTGTATATGGCTTTCAGAATTTCATATGATAGTTTAATTTTCTATGAAATACTTATTTTTTCAAAAAATGACATGTAAAAAGAGATTCCACTTTTAAGTTTTTGTTTGAGGGAAAGTAGAAAAGTATTATATTTTATTTGGTGGAACAGTGTTTAATTAGTGCTTCATTACTCTTCCTCTACCCAAACTTAAAAGTGGAATCTGAATATTTTACCAATAAGTTAACTGAAATTAAAAATTAAAATGCCAAAATGTAAAATTTTATTTATCTATAGAATTTTTAATATTGATTGATTTTTGAAAATCAAATGGTATTGGTTTCACCAACAAACATAAAAACAATAAAATGGCCAGTAAAATCTTTTAGAATATATTATGATCCCAAATGGTTTTTAAATAAGTCATATTTTGAAGAAAAAAAAACCTATTCCATGAATAATTTGTAACACATTTGAAAATTATGTGTAATAACTGTTTATTTAAATATTTTTTTTTATATATAGACAGCATTCTTCAGACAGCATAATTGCATATCAAAAGATGCCCAACAGAAATATAATTCTAGAGCGGCTCAATTATATAGAGATAAACTTTTACAAAATGCTAAACAAGCAATGAAAACGTATGGTACACAGGTAACTATTAGAATTTTTAGTGTTTAAAAAATAGTTGGGATAGAAAAAATACATAAGATTTTTCACCATATTTAACACTGTTCACTTCTTTATTTAAAGGTGAGTCTCCAATAAAGACCGCATAAGAACGAAAGTACATTCGTCATCGGATGTGGCGCTATGTAGCTTGGTCGAGACATGTATACGCATAAATACTAATCCCTTTGTGCGAGTACAGATCTGTTTGTCACTGAGGCGGTACATCAAAAGAAATGTTATTTTGATTGGGACGTGATATTTCACTGCTTTTAATTTTCCCGTTTCCGTATATGTGTGATAACGTGTACTGGTAGTGTAGTGTACGGCAATTTATTACGATAGCTGTGAAGAGCATATTGACAAAAAAGAGTGAACCGCGGAATCATACCAATATGTCTTGTTCGTGTGGACGTTCATTTATTTGTACATACGTAACCAAATGCAAAATGTATGTTCGTTCACGTGTGCGCTTATTAGAGACCCACCTTTAAATTCTGAGTTTAGCAAAGAATGTATTGGTTTTACAAAAATGTTTATTTTTTATATTGTGTACAAATATCTATCAAAAATCTTGCTCTAAAGTATCAAGTTTAGGTCTATTTTTAAAAGGGAATTTTCCTGAGGAAGTACTTTAGAAAGATCATTTTTTTGATTTTGCTAGGAGTTTTTCCAATAAATGGGAAAATGAAAAAATAATACAATATTTAACAAATATTATGAAAGAAAATATAAAATGGATATGTAATTATTTTACTATAATGTAACATGTATATTGTTGATAAAGCAACACCATTAACCGAACTCCATTCAGAATTGTTTTTTGTTAGTCATTAAATACAGGTATACATTCAATTTCCTGTCAACCTTTTCAACTACTCACAACAGTGGTCCATCCACTCATGAAATCTGTCTGTCTTTTTTCATTTTAATTCTTTTATTATATCGTTATTTAAGTGGTTGCTACACTAACATTTAGTTTCTCTGTGCTCAAACACTACCCCCTCCTTGGTTTCAAACAAAATTTTAATTTACCAAACATTTTATAATAATATGCACTATGTAGAATGTACATTAATTTTAAGTATTTAGTTAGGTACAATTTATACAATTTTAATATCATCATGGTTGAATAATTCATGTTAACACATAATATTTGTATGTATTTAACAAAAAATGATTTTTAGAGAATGTTTGTTAAACGTTTTTTGAAATTATATGATATATACAATTTTCATAAAAAATTAAAACTCCTTATTTATGCTTATAAAGAAATAACTAGTTTATGCTTACATTTTTTTTTTTATTTATTACTACAACTTTTGTTGAATCTCATGTAAAATTTTCAAACGTTTCTGTTCAACCAAAATTAATTAATTTTATTAGTTAAACTTAAATAACAAGGTCATTTCTAATTTAATGTTTTTATTTAGCTATTTTTAGATCAATCACATTTGCATGAAACAGTTGAAGTAAAGCCAATCGATTTTTTCGAAGAACACACATCTAACATTGATTCATGTTACGAAAACGTTTTAAGTAACAATGTTGTATCATCATTAACATCTATAAAACAAGTAAGTAAAGTTATGCCTCTTTCATGTAAAATACATATTAATTTTGATTAAATTAATTTCTTAGGACAATGGAGATAAGTCACTTTTAAGAGAACCTAAAGTTTTAAACGATGCAGAACAAAAGTCAGTTGACCATAAAACATTATTAGGTGGTCGCCAGGCACATAGTAAAAGATCAGGTGTTAGTATTAAATGTAAATTATAAATAAATAAAATATAGTTTATGTTTCAATTTAGCTAATATAAATTGAATTTTTTATTTGTATTAATAATAATGTATTGTTTGTTTTAAATATCTACTTCTAAATTTGAATAAAATAAATTTCTTACCAAGCTACTTACATCACTTATGCACTTTAAAAAGCTAACATACTTCATATTTTGAGTAGGAACAATTTTCAAATTAGTTATCTATCCCAAAATAAATCTAATACAGTATTATTATCCACTTTGATTTGAATCAGATTGAAGTTTTAAAAATACTTGTTAAAAGAAATAATAAATATAACTTGATGGGATTATTCTAATTTTGATTGATTAAAATATTAGTACAATAAATACTGATTTCAATTTATTTGGTTTAAAATATAGATAGTAATGGCTTATTTATTTCCTTATTTAAATTGTTTTAAGTTCATAAACTAAATTATTAATTTACATTACTACATCAATGTTGTTAGAAAAAATATTAATAAAATAAACTGAAAAGTACATAAACTATTTAGAGCTTACACTTCAAAGCGTTTCAACAGAAGAAAGTCAAATAAAAATATTTATATTTAAAAAATTAAGCTTATTATTTTATTTTGCTCCAATTTCAAGTTAAATTAAATTAAATATATTTATAATCTACTATGCTTTTAGTTGGGAGGTAAAAAATTAGGTTTGGGTGCTCAAAAAGTTCGTGCTAACTTTGCTGATATTGAAAAGGAAGCAGAATTAGCTGATAAAATTAAATTCAGTGAGCCGGAAAAACCAATAAATATAATAGTGAATGACCTCCAAGAGAATCAGGTTTGAATAATTAATGTAATAATAATATATTAATTGTTTACTTTTTTTAATTTATTTAAAAATTAATGTGTTTATCATAGATTTCATCAATGAGGTTAGCATATCAAGATTTATGTATTAAGAAGAGTAAAGAAGAGGAAAAATTAAAACAGGTTGATCCTAAAAAAGCTGCTCAACTAGAAAGACTGGGTATGGGATTTACTTCAAAAAAGTAAGTTTTATTTTTAAATTATAAAATAATGAAGTTATATTGATTATAGTAATTATTAATTTTGTTTTACTTATAGTATTGTTAGTCATTCAGCATTAAATGATATGACGGCTTTAGATAAAGAAGTAAAAAAACAAAATATAGATCACAATGAGGATAAATTCTATGATTGTTTCGAAGAATCTAAAGCTGCTGAGATGTTGCATATAATAACCATGGCCAGGTATAATACAATATATAATTTTGCTATCTCTGATATACTAATTTCTTACCTACATTCCTCAGAAAGGGAAGAACATTCTGAGAAAGAAAATAAGTGCTACTCACACCTAATATTCTGAACCATATATTATAAATTGACCTCATACCTAGGCTTGTAAAATTGTACACTATTTTTTTTATCACAGTCGTTCTATGCGGTTTTCTTTAATTCCACGATTATTACTATGCTTTTGAGACAGTGTTATAATTTGTATTTATTTTTAAATTTTTGTTATATCTACATGTTCATATTTATAATCAAATTTATTTTCAAATCATATTTATTTATGACAATAAACTTATTATATTATTATTATTATTATTACTGAGTAATAATTTACATATATTAATTTTTATTTATTTTGTTTTAACCAGAAACCGTCAAAATAATAGTGATGATTTTTTCGACTTTGACGATTCTATGATTAGAAGTTCGAAATCATCTTATATGCCACCATCAAAGATCGAACAGATAGAAAAAATTGATGTAATTAAAAATGACTGGAATATTAAACCTGCAAAAAAAGTAAACAAAGAAGTAGAAAATGGCAGTTGGGAAAGTTTTGACAATTCTCGTAGAAAACAAGGTAGAAATAACAGAACAAATAATATCCCACCTCCACCAGCCGAAAACAATGAAGCTTTTAAAAAGTTTGGAGAAGCAAAATCAATATCATCTTCTCAATATTTTGGTGATAATAAAACTTCAGTAAGTTATTTTTCTATATTAAAAGTGATAAGAGTGGGAATCAATAAATAATTTATTTAAGGACAATTTTAGTTTTAAAATGATAGCTAAACTTTTCTTTTACTCCACTCATATGAAAGAAATGTATTTATTGAACTATATTATATGAACTTTTTTTTATCATATAATCATTTGATTGATTGCAACAAAAAACATGAGTAAGATTTTCTAATAAAATAGTTATAAAAACTTGTTTTAACATTAAGTCTTAATGCTTGAAACTATAAATGATTTATTAAAAAAAATTATTTCAAAATATTAAGATCACTAGTTATCAATTTATTTTTTTACCTCATTGTATTTATTATTTTTAATTTTAAATTTAAAAAATGGTTAAATTTTTGTATTGTCTTGATAATAATAATAATAATAATGTCTTTAATATAGTTTTAAAGGTGGTATAATTATTTACTTATAGGGTGAAAAATCAAATCTTTCACGTTTTGAAGGAAGCAATAGTATTTCATCTGCTGAACTATTTGGTAGAGAAGAAATAATTGGTACTAGTTCAACATACCAACCGCCAGATCTAGATGATGTAAAAGAAAGCGTTAAGCAAGGCGTGACCAAAGTAGCTGGTAAATTATCATCTCTAGCCAATGGGATGATGTCATCATTTCAGGTACCAATAAAATAAATACTTCATTTAAATTAGCCATGGTAGTTAAAACTGGTCAGTTTATTACAATACAATATATTATTTTATTATGCCATTATTACATCATATATTTAATATAACTAAATGGCAAATAATAAATATGTATTTTTCACTGTAGGAAAAATATGGAGGTTATTAAAATTGGATTTGATGAACACAACTGAAGGATTTTCAATAAATAATACGAAAAAATAAGAAATCTATCTGTAATATAAATATATTTTATATATTTACATAAGCATTATTATATATACATTTATTAAAACCAGTTTAATTTATATCCAATTTAATATATTATTGCAATTAAGGTAGGAATATTTTGTGAGTTAATTGTATTAAAAAGCTGTTTGATTAGAATATAAGGTTTGAAAAATGAATTAAACCAGATTAAAACCCCTATTCTAAAATATAATTTATATCATTGATGTGTAATGTGATCTTCTCATTTCTATAGTTTGGGTTTTGTTCAATATTCTTTTCAATTAGCTTTTCAATACAATGTTAAGTATCGTTTAGTTTTTTTTAAATTTGATTTATTTGATATAGACATATTTTATATTGAAAATAAACTTGTGAAACACAATAACTAACCAATTATTTATATAGTAATTATTGTAAATCTAAACAATAAATATAATAATAACCGCTCAATGTCAATTTTTTTTGTTACACCTATACAATTTTTAAAATTACTGGGGTACTTAACTAGAGAAGTTTTTTGTTGAGTTGAATGTTATTGAAAATATAAATTTCAACAAATTTTATTACAACAAGTGAACTAAAGTTTTTTTTATCGGCCAGATTTATTCTGACCAAAAAAAATAAAACTGAATTAATCACTACTTATTGTCTTTTCCTTAGTTTAATTTTTTGATTGATGTCATATTATGTTGTAGCTTTAGGAATTCAAACAAAGCCTTTTGGCTATATTATTCTATACCGATAAATAATAAAAAAAACAATATTAAAATATTCATTTTCTAATTGACTTTATTACACATAATTAAAAATATTATTGTGCCTAAAAAAAAAAAATACAGTTTGTAGAGAAAAGCTTGTGGTTTGACATATTGTTGAAGATATATTAAAAAATAATAGGTTTACATAAAATAATTTATTTGTTTATTATAGTAAGTACACATTATGTATTGTGTCCGTTTAGTAGGTATACACAATACATGTTTTTTTTTTTTTGTGAACAGGATACAATAATCATCACAGTGGGTTAGGTTGGTGATTGTAATCGCTTTTATATGGTAATAATTTTATAAATAACCAAAAAAATAAAATTTAAACATTTATAGATTTTTATATTGAACATGATATTAAAAAAAAAAATTTTCAAATTCTGATCATTTATATTATCATATACATACATCATACATTCTTAGATTTATTATACTTAAGCATGTTACAACTATGAAATATAATTATTTTTATACCTACCATCTAACATTACAGTAATATAATATTGACTATGCATTATACTAATAATTAACATGAAACATTACTACTAAATATATTTTGAGATGAATGTTCATTTGCGATTACCAGTACTTATATTATAGTGTACAGAATACATTCAATGGTTGACATGTGAAATATTATGTTTTATAGAAATAATTACATATCTATCTACAAAAAAGTTGTCACTTCATTAAAATTTATAGAAGGTAAATGTTTATTAAACATTTGTTTGATATTCTTTATATTTCATTATTTAATTAGTTCTTGGGTTCTTTAATTTGATTTTAGTTGAATACTTAATAAGTTCAAAAGGATTAAGTAATTAAAACAAGTAAATCAAGTAGACTACTATATGGTAGGTTATAGTAAATATATAATGTAGGAACCATAAATATAAATATTGTAAAATTTGTGTTGTTAACTTATTCACAAACGTTCAAAAATAATTTTATCAGATATTTGGTGACTGCGATAAATAAGACTTCAGTTTTTGGTAATGTAAATTCACGAGTTATATTTAAGTACAGTAAATATTTGAAAGGTTAGGGTCGTCTCTAAAGCACTCTGATCTAAGTACAGTTTTATATATTGGTTTGTATGTATAACATGTATCATGATTTATGAAGAAACATATTATTAATATTGAAACTTAAAAGTATTTCTGTTATAATTGTATTAACCCTAAGTAGATGGTTACTAATTGACAAGCTATTATAATATAGGTCTAGCTATAACGAATAACTTTAAATATTTTTTAAAAATATACTGTTATTGGTACAACACACCATTGAAAAACAAATGTTAAATGCAATCATCTATATGATAATAATATTAATATTATATGTTGACCTAAATAAAGTATGGATACCTACTTGGGTAAATCAAAATTATGGTTTACTTACAACCATAATTTTAATAAATAAATAATCAATATTCATTTTTTCAGAGTATAGGTACCCTATTAGCTGTAAATAAATATAAGTAGGATATTCATGGCATTTGAAATAAAATATTATTCATTTTTAATTAATATTGAGTTTTGAGAATATTGTGTTGGGTTATTTGAGCTTATCAGTTTTGCTTATATAGTTTGTACATAAGTAGATTTTTTACAAAGAATATAATAAAATAAAATATAATTTAAAAGTATCAAATATTTTGTTAAGTACTTATTAATACGACTATTGTATTAATTTCAGCTTTGATTATTTATATTTTTCATTTATGAAAACTCGCAAAATTTCAAAAAAAGAATATTTCTATGCATATTTATTATCGAGTTTGTATGTAGTAAAAATAAACATTGGGTATGAAACATATAGTAAATTTCTGAAGTGGACGGATCCGTGCAATAGAAAGGCCATACACTAAAGTAAATTTCTGTATTATAAATTAAATAAAATTTTAAAATATGGTAACGGTGTTAGATGAATTGAATTCCGGTAAATAATTAATAAACACTATAGTAAAGTTTACCTAGGTATTAAAGTGGAAAGTGTGAAATAAAAATTTCAAAGTTATTATATTTATTTTGATGAAAGTCTATACAATAGTAAAATTAAGCATGGTTGCATGAAGTGAAGGGAAAAGACAGGATAACACAAGAGATGAAATAATAAAATGGAAGTAGTAGAAATAAGAACGTTAAGTTGAAGTTGTGCAACTCGTTAGGTAGATAGTTACCAAGTTAGATAGGATTAGGAATATATAGGTACTTAGTTGTGATAGAGTAGGAAGTAGGTTTTATAAAAACAGGAAACAGTTGTATGGACATGTAAAAAGAATGAATACTATGCAGATGGGTGAAATGCTTAGGTGTAGACTGAAGCCAAAGGAAAAATGACTAGATATCAGCAGTGGCTTATTTACCCCTTGTTTTTTAGGGGAAGGGTTTACATTAACACAATAAAGACGATCAAGTCCACCAAAATCATACCAAGCCCATTAATGTTATAAAAGTTCCTGTAGAGAGTGGGAATGGAAACTCCTTTACCCTCCGCCCTGTAAATACACCATTGGATATGAGTTTATGTAGATAAAGAAATAACTATGGTTATACAAAGAGAGGCGGAGGGTGATAAGCTGATCCCTTTACTTTTGTGGGACAGGGGCGTCATTTCAGGGATACTATAATTTGGCAGCATGATATGATGACATATTTCTTATAGCATTTAAATATTAAAATGTAAAGTGGGAATACAAGTGAGCGAAGCGATCGAAATTTTTTTTTAATTTTCGCAAAACAAACAAGATAATATATAAATAGCTTGGTGGAGAAAAAAAAATGTCACAATTAAAATGTTTACATCCCTATTGAAAAACTAAAATAACGCCCCTGTTGCGGGATAGAAACAAAGTATAATATACTCTTAACCTACCTACGCTAAAAGAGACGAAGAAGGACCTTAGTACTTAATGATATATATTTAACAAGTCCACCTATAGTTACAATAACTGAAAATCCTAACAATAAAAATGGACACCTAGGTATGCTATGGCAACATTGAAGATTCATAAAACAAAATGTTTTGCACTTTAGCAGGGCTGATCCCCACTGCGGTTTAGTTGCAATTCGCAGTTCTCTGTATTTAATTTCCATTCCTATACCGGGGTTAGGTAGGTAGATACATAGAAAACGAACAACCAATCAGAAGTGTAGGGAACTACTGCGCAATAAACGGGAGTCGAGGGGTGGTGTGTACAGTGAGTATACGTTTTATAAAGTTGCTGGCATACCTTTCTACTTTCGTATTTTGTCATGGTTTTATAGATACAAAAAAAAGTTATAATAATTCGAAGCTATGACTGTCTGGCAAAAATGTAATAGGTAATTTTGACATTTTCTACAACGGAAACTTGTTACCGCCTACCTATAAGCTATGATTGGGTGAACGTTTTAACACTGATTGTGAGAATTACCAACCACGTCGTGTTACTCATGAATACCTGCTTTTAAATTATTTATCTAACGCTGTAAAACACAATACAATGCATGCATAATATATTAGGAAGACACGATATTTACTCACGAAGTTTGAGTGTATAGGTATATAAAAACCATCCTAATAAGCAGTGGCGTACACATGGGAGGAGGGAGCTAAGACTAAAGGGGTTTCAGCCCACCCCCATTGACTGTATCATTTAGATACAAAAAAATATATATAACATATATAAATCTATTTAGCATTGAAAAATATAACAAAGCATTAGACATTTGCATTAATTTTTCGTAGGTACTTACTATATAGTTATATATTTTATAAAACATAATTTTTTTGTTCAAGTTTTATTACTTTAGCCCTCCTCCCATTGAAAAATCCTAGATAAGCCACTGCAAATAATTATTCGCTTTTGACATAATAATAAATATATAGCATAATAAGTTCATTTAAATATAGGATATCGTGTACTATATTATATTATTTTATTATTATGCTCAGCTCATTCTCTAAGAAGATTTCTAGTCCTCACGTTAGCCACCGAAATTCGCACCTCGTTCGACTTGGTCTGAAATTAAAATATTAAATATTAAATGTCCGTAAATGTATTAGTTTAATTAGTTTATATTATATTAATTTAGTCGTTGACGAATACAAATGATTTAATATGGTGTATGACTGTTAAGATCAGTCTAAATATGTAGCTACACGCAGGCAGGACCATGCGTCCTGTTTTATACAGGATTGTCCTTTATTTCGGCTTTGTGTCTTGTTGTCCTAACAAACTTCTCTCAGGACGCTTTTTGTCCTATAATTTCAAATCTGTCCCATAGTAATCCCGTTTTTTGTCTTACTGTTAATTTATGATTTTTGAAATTTTCGAAATGACATTATTGAATAGAATAATAAAAGAATCTATACTTTTCAATTGTATTTTTGGATTTTTGATTTACCATTATTATTGTTGTATCACATTGTTGTCGGCGACGTAAACCAGATCGTTATCAAATGTGAGCGTATTGTAAAATAATATATTAATAATAACCTAATAATCCCCCCATGTCGTGGATCAGCATTATGTCATCGGCAATCAAATATATTTTGAAATGTTTTTATTTCATTAGTAATGTTCCAACAATCGTTGATTCTTGAGTGTCGTCGACTTGTTGTTAATCGTATTATACAATATTGTAAATTTTTATGAAAGTAATCAATTAAAATNTGAAATTGGAAAGGTTTTATGTACTATATATAAATCGGTATTTTCAATTACAAACGTCTTATGGACACATAAAAAAAATCGATTTCTTGTGGACACCATTAGATCAATGTTTATCGTAAAACAACATTTTAAAGATACGTCGTGTATTGAATTTCATAAATTTCTTTTAGAACATCCCAAATTGTTAAACTTAATTAGTTCTTCAGAAAAATATGAAACATCAATTAGTGAAGAAATGTCAGAACAATCGCCATCAAAATGAATTAACAAGTTTTTTTTAAAAAGTAAAATATACAATATACATGAATAAAGGATTTGAAGAAATTTTAAAAAATATTAATTTAATTTAATTATATATTATTTTATGTTTTTCAAAATAATGTTTTTATGTGTTTAATTTTAACTTTTAATAGTTTAAACAACAAAAAAAAAAATATAATAAATACTTATTAATTTAAAAATATTATGGATAATATTTTTGTCCTGTATTTTATTTTTTTAAATATGGTCACCCTAAGGTACCTAGGTACACCTAGTAAAAATGATGAACAAAATTGTTCATACGTAATAAGCCGTAAACGTCATTATAAAATAGTTTTATATTAGGTACCTTTGTGCTGATTTTTTCAATTTGTTGATTTTGATTTTCCAGCTCCGAACCCATATCCGATGCCATTCTTTTCAGATTACCAATCATTGTATTCACTTGTCCCAAATTTTCATCCATTTCCGATTCTCGCGCATCGTTGGTAATCCTATATAATATATACGACCGACGCATTCTATTATTTTGTATCGGTTTTTTTTCATTTTTTTTTATTTTTTTTTATCTCTCTTACGGTTAACTTCTCCCAGTGAAATAATAATACAAATTTACTTGACAATGTATCCTCCCTGCGGTGTTGTATTCGGCCCGTCCATCACACGTTGTGGCTGCTTGTTTATTACTTTACCATCTTCGTTTCCTTTCCACGTGCCCTCGTCTTCTTTGAACGACGTCGACCTAAAAACATAATAGCGTGCGTAACACAATACCTGATTTGTTTAGGCAAAACTGGAAAAGTGATTCGAGGGAGAAAAACCATCTGGATTTGAATTTGCTATGATAAACGTTTTTTTCTCTTTGTCACGTGAGAATGTTCTCAAAGGGGAAACTGTGCGTTTTTACATTATAATATATAAAGTACTCACGTAGTTTAAACTAAAAAACGGTTATTTAAAACAATGGTTTTATTTTAAAATAAATAAATACATTTATATATATTATGTAGTACCTAGTGCTGATTGATATTATTCAATTTCCATTATTTATCTACGGATTTGATATTACCTACCTACCCGCAGTTTTGGTATCTGCACGTTTTGTTTTAAATCTGATAGTTACCCAATAAGTCAAAAAATAATTATATATAAAAAAAAAAAAAAACAGCGTATTTATACTTGCTATAATAGAGATCATAAAATAATAAGTATACGATCGCATAATTTATACAGTAATATTTAAAATCGTTTATTTCGTATAATATATTAAAACAATATTATCTAAATATTTATTAAAAAAAAAATTAATTCAACTTTATTCAATGCACTTTATTTTAAGCGTTAGAATTTATTTAATCAAATTATTTTTTTTTTTCAAAAAGGTACTATTATATAAGAATAAAACAAATTGTGTTATATAACTACCCATTTTTACATTTTTTTTTAAATTAAACGTGATGATTTAATATATACGTGGGTGTATTATACATAGTGATTTTTTTTATCACGAACTAACAATTATCTTAGACGATTTTAAGTAAATTTAATTTCTGTTTTTTCTAAGCAACATGGAATTTTTTACTCCTATTCCATATACCTTAAAGAAAGAAATACTTTTGATTTTCAAACAGGAAAACCCCTTCTCCTTTTGATCACAGATTTAAATAGAGAATATTTTTCTATAAATGTTGATATGTATAATACTAATAGCATATTTACCGTTTATGAGTTATAACAGTTTAAAATTTAGACCGGAGAGTAGGAAAGGGTTATACAAGGTGTTCCAAGATGATATTTTCAAAATTAGATAATAAAAGACCATACTTTAACAAAAGTTTTAACCACCAAGAATTTTCTAAATATCTATTTTATAAAATGGCTATTTTGAATTTTTTTTAAAAAATTATAGCAAAATTTAAAACTGTTTATTTTAAGTCTCCCTCCACGTAAAAAAAAATGTTCGAACATATACTGTAGCGCAGAGGCATACTAATTATTAAAAAAAAAATATATATTAATTAGAACAAAGGTTATTTCAAGTAGCAGATTATCGTGGGACACCCTGTAAATAGGCAATTTATAACCCTTTGCCACCCTTCTAGTCTAAATGTTAAACTATTAACTCATAAACGGCAAATTTTATATTAGTGTTATGTATATCAACATTTCTAGAAAAATATTTTCTATTTAAATCTGTGATCAAAAGGGGGAGGGGGTTCCTATTTGAAAACCAAAAGTATGTACTTCTTTAAGATATATGGAATAGGGGTGAAAAATTAAAAATGATTTTAAAACAAAGCTTAAACGATTCCATATTAATTAGAAAAAACAGAAATCAAAATCACTTAAAATTCTCTATGATAATTATTGGTTCATGATAAAAAAAAAATTATCCCGTATATGATAGATTTTTGCACAATAACTTGTGCTGATGGACACAAAAATGGCATCCCCTGGCTATTATGATATAACAATATGATCGGCGACATCGACTGTTTAATTGATTGAAAAATATTCTATGCGTCGGCTGTTCACCCACGTCCAAGTTTTCACTCGACGGCTATATTATTACGAATTCATAATATACGTTATTATTGTTAATAGTGAAAAATAATCGAACCGAGTGATAAATATATAGACACTTAAAATAACTCTATATACGAACGCTAGTCAATATCGTTTGGAATAACTGTGCTTCAACGTTTTGTTTTATATTATTTGTATTAAATACAATTATTTTCATGTATAAAAATACTTATATACAAATAATTTTGTTGTAAAACTATTATTTAGTTCGATATCAAAAATGTATCCGAATTGTTTTGATTAATTATACCTTAGTAATTTTTATGAAAAACACGCTGCATTTTTCATCTCTTTATGGATCGAACAATTCGATTCATATGCGGATATAATATATATTTCACGGATATAATATATATACAATATAAAAAAAAAGTCGTCAAAAGGTTTGGGCATAATATGATATTATAATTTTGTTTCTCTGACCCCGCTCATAATAATAAAAATACACCCACCGCGATACGTTGCCGCAGTGCAGGTATAGGTTATTAGGTAGGAACAATAAGTGTTTATTTGATTACGAAACAAGTCGTTATAACGAGAAAATACTTACTTGTTACAAGGCAGTACACAAATACCGCAACATTTTTCCATGCCAGTTAAATTTTTCTCAGCTTGTTTCATGTCTTCATTTATTTGGTCCATTCCGCCGTCAATTCCATCCAATTTCTCTGAAAAATCATCGCATAAACCATTTTAAGTAAGGTCGGATCTAGAGGGTGTATGGGTACGTGTGAGGAGTGAGGTAACTTTCGTTCCACTAAACATTTTTCAGTAAGCAAATCTGAAGTGTTGTAATGAAAGTCATTGTGAGTAAGCATTTTAAAAATCACCAAATGCCAATTATTATTTAAAATATTCAAATAGTTTCACTATAATTATGTTCGGTCAAAAAAATGAATCTATGGGATGAATTTCTAAAAATGTTTCAAGTAAACACCTGTCAAAAATTGCACGTTCTTTAAGATATAGGTACTTTGTGAAAAAAAAATATGGATATTTCGAAAAATGTTTCAAATGAAGTACCATCTAATTCGCATATTTTATGGTAGAGTATCGGAGAATTATTACTAACCGAAAATATTCTTTGAAAAAAAAAAAAACAAGAACAAAATTACATCTTAGTAAAATGTAAAACCGTAAAATCAATCGTCATAGTTTCTTCGTCCGCTACATTCAGAATTATTGAATCAGTAATTTTTACTACTATATAAGTCAACAAATTATGTTTGCTAATATTTATATACCACCTTAAAAAACGTATAGCGCCGGTCCTGATAGTAGATCCGAATACATATAGATATACAACGTATACGTTCATGTATATAAGGTTTGTATACCTATATACTATATAGTATATTTAAATACTCAAGAAAAATTGAGATAGAATCGTATGTATAATTATTGTTCACTTTAAATCAGAAATTTCAACTAATTACCTATTGTAATATTAAAATGTATAATGTTTTGTGTCAGATATAATTTCTGTTTTCTTATACCTACCTAGTATATTTGTCAAATTACCTACGGTAACTAGTAAATAACAGTTACTCATTTTCTATAGTTAATATTCGAAAGTTAGTTCGCAGAGTAGCGAAGTGAGTACTTATTTTATGAATGTTATACAATCGGATATTGATTTATATTGTTGTATAGTGGTTTACTGAAAATTTAATAACGTTGTGTAGTTGTGTACCTACCTACCAATAGTTTACTTATTTCAAACTCTTCGGATTATACCGTAAATTGCATAAAACTAAATAATATTCTATATAATATTCTTACCTCCTTGGTCATCTAACTCGACCAGAGCTTTTATGGCAGCTTCCTTTGTCTGAAATAGCATTACAATACTAATCATTATTATTGTTTTATATAATATATGTTATTTAGTCTTCCACGCTAAGAAAATAAAATTGTAAAAATCATTATTTTCTTTTACCGTTATTATACTTATACACATTAAATGAAAGTAATAATTATAATATAATATTTAGAAATGTAACGCGACAAATTTAATTAAAAACCAGGATACTAGCTACTTGTGGGTAGGCAACTGTAGTAATGTAGTATATTTTTATCGCATTACTAAAGTAAAATTAAACCAGTTTCGCTCAGAATCAAAAAATTATGCCATTTTTATTTTATTTTTTTCTGTCTATGGACAACTTTTCTACCAGAAATCTCGCTCTAATCAACTCATTAAAATAACATGATTTATTCTAGGTCATCGTAACGAGAAGTTCAGAAGATGGGTATTCAAAAATCGAATTAAAACTTTCAAATCAAATTTTTTTACCAACCAGGCTTGAGCCAAAAATCGTAAATTTTGTGATTTTTATTCTGTCATTTATAGGTCTAAATGAAATACTAATAAAATAATTCTTTAAATAATTCTTTTGCATTAAACGTTTAATGTGACCGACATATCATCACGTAAAACATCTACAATAATCGATAATGTTCTGTGTGATGTTTCCACGCATTTTATGCCTTTAAACTTTTTCCTAAAAAATGTCATAAAATTCCCATCATACTGCGCGTCGAATAATATAAATATTGCATTTAATATTTTTTTTTATGATTCTGTTTTAGCCAGTTAAAAAAAATGAATTCTTAAGTAGGTAGGTAGGTATAACGAAACAGTATAATATTTACCTATGAATAACTTAACGGAAAATTGAAGTTTAAAATTTGACAGAAGGTATAAATACAAGAGGGGATAATAATATTGTATTATTATAATGTTCTTTATGTACTTTCAGAGTTAAAACGCTCGTTCCAAAAATGTATTTCTAGACAACTTTGTAAAATTGAATAAACAAAGAGACGAGTGGAAATGTTTTTAATTACGTCTCCTAAACTTTAAATTGAATGTATTTAATTATTCGGATATACAATAGGTATTTTATATATAGGTATATAATATGAATAGCTTTGTTCCATAGAACTTACTAGAAACTGATGGTACAACTCGATTAAAAACGAAAAGCTGCTTAGAACGCACGTATATGAAACGTTACCTAATATACTATATTATTTTAAGTACCTATCTACCTACATTTCAATTTAAGCTCGTTAAACGTTAATTTACATTTGAATGCAACTCATTATTCGCAATTATGAGTTTATAATGCAGTATTAAATTATCTTTTATAAAATGAAAAAAAAAACGTTTTTAATAAACGACAACAAAAATTTGAAATATAAACACTGAAAGCCTTTTAAACGTCTATCAAATTGCATACTGTAATCGAACAATGTATAATATTATTATTATATTATATAATAATAATAATTGAATAGAGGACGTAACTCGTCTGGAAATTTGAGGAGTTGCGTACAGGCAATTTTGATGAAATTTTAAAAAAAAAATGAAAATTATTCAACTCGAATATTTATTTATTTATTCGTTAAATAATTTACGCCCGCTGTGGGGAAATATTACAATATAGAAATCAATAATAATAATAAAAAAAATAAAATGAATAAAGGTTCACGTAATATTTGATGTATACAATATAGTATGAGTCAGATTAATTAAATACTATAAGTTTCCTTAAGGGTACATTGTTTTAATTTAGAAAAATTATCGGTAAAAAATTCAAATATTTTAAAATCGTTAGAGGTTCGATGTATTATTTGGCTGTTTAGAACAAAATTTTGTGATTCAATATAGAAACAACGAAAATGTCGAGTATTCACCTGCGGTACATTAAAATAAATTATATTTTGCAATAAATATGTCGAAATTCATTATCTACCTATATATCGCTCAATTGCGAAATGTGTAATTACAAATAAAATATACGTAATTTACAATTTCTTTAATCGACCAAAACTCGTTTTAATATAATAAAAATAGGTACCGAAAAACTCCGATGTAATTATATTGACGAGTAATATTGTTTTCTAATAATTTCACAATGGGCTTTTTTTTGTAATGGTAAACCCGGTTTTTATTAAGTGACATTTTCGTTTGTTTTATTACATACGTGAATACGTTTTTCACTGCCTAAAAAACCATCGGTATCATTACAGATGAATACTAATTTGTAACAAACGTATTTTCCCTAATTTAACATAATATTGCTTATGACGTATAGGACCTATATGAAGGTCACACGATAATAAATCGTCAAATAGTAATGCTATATGATATACGCCATCACTATATTAAAATAATCTTATATGGTACAATACCATCATGCATACTCATGTTATTATAATATTATATATTAGGAATATAATAATCGGATGCTGGATAGTATATAACTTAAATACGCTTTTTGTCGAGTTTTGATATTAAATATATCGGCTATCATAATATTATTCTATAAAATAGAAAACTAAACTATACTATATATATAAAAAATTGTGACTAAAGATTTTTGATATTTGTATTATACCATGAGTATTTTTTAAAAGGTAAGAGAATCGTATTCACTTAAAATCAATTAAAAACTAAAAAAAACTCAATAGTTACGATTGTATATGAATAACTCAAAAACCTTCAGTGTTTTTAAAATTATACTATAATACCCGTAATACTATAATACTATTAATACCCAAAAAGGTTTATTTATATAAGTATTCAGTGAACATTTCCCGTCTCTACGATTATTTTATCGAAATTCGTTACATTTAATTTGGTCGGCTGAATAAAATATAAAAGGATTTTTTTTTTCAATACATGAGGGTTGGATCTCAGTTAAATATTTTTTCTATACAAATCGAAAATTGATCTTAATTTTTACAAACTTCAACCAGTTCAACCAGTTTAAAAGTGTAATATATAATACGACATATATAATGAATATCCTATCGAATTATTGGGCTATTTCACGATTTCAATGCGGTTTACACAAATAGATCGGTCGAGATAAAAGCTATCCATTCCTTATTGAAAATCATCCCCCAAAATTCGGTCTTTAGATGTTATTTTTAATTATTATTATTTATTTATTTGGATTACTTTAGTAACACGGATGAAATTAAAACAAATTTAAAAGGTTGGTCAAAACGTATCTATGGTAATTAATATTAATAAAAATAATTATAAAAATCTATGAGCCATATTATGCGATAAAACTATAAACTGACTATGTTTTGCGTTTTAATCATGCCTAATGTTGCAAGTCTAGACCTAACTGTCCAATGTTTTTTTTCATGGTAAATTGTACGTGGCTCTGTCACGTGTCACAAATAAACAAAATTTATTCGTGCTGGCTCCAGAAAATGAGACACTTAACGTGGTGTATCCAGAAATATTTAATGCATAAAGCAAATAATAGTAATTTAAAATTTAAAAATATACATCATAACAAAATACTTTTATCCCGCCAAAGGTGGACTACCCATTTTCAAAAAAAAAGGAATATGAGTAAAAATAAAAATGCAAATTGGCAAAGGCAAAGCCGGGTGGAACAGCTAGTTAAATATAATTTTCTAATACTATACGAAAATTATCAAAGTTGTATGTATTATAAAACAAATTACTATGTGCTAATTACAAATATAACAAATATATAGAATAAACCTTTGTCATTAATGTGTTGCTTTACAACTCCTTCTATTTTCAGAAGCTTGACGGGCTTCAGAATTAAAATCTTCAATAACATGCAGATTTTTGCTTTCGATTATTTACTGACAAAAAGTATTAAGAATATTTTTTAGATAATTTCTGATAAGGACGATTTTCGTGATCATTAAATTTCTCTATCGCATTTTTTCATTTTTAAAATGATTGTGTGCCAATGAAAAAACGCATCATTATTTTGTGAATGCTTTTGTTTACCAGTATCCAAGTTCGAAAATAAAATACAAAACTAGCACAAAGTATCAAAGTACCATTTTATATTTCAGAACATACCAACCATGGTTATCTTTTTATCCTATTCATTCGTAAACGTAAAAATACGCAATATTGTACCTGTATAATAATTATGTACATAGGTACCTATTTTAATATGCGGTAAAATCAATACATTCCTTACTACTACGCTCAGAATTTAATAGAATTATATAACGTCGTATTATTTATATTTTAACGTTTGAAAACCGATTCGGGAGGTCTTTTTAAATCAACCGAAAACGTTTTTAGAAGATAAATAACTACGTATACATAAATATAGAAGTGGTGTTGTAAAATATCTATTACGAAATTACATACAAATATTTCATATTTACATTATGTTGTTTGTGTCTGTGTATATTGAGTTAAAATTTGATGTTCAAAGGCCAAAATTTAACTATATACATACATATGTATTACTAGCTACTCAAAGAGCTGTGGTACGCGGTAATATACTATTTGCCATATGATGACTATTCCACAAAAAGTCTCAGATATGGTTGATAAACAGAATCAGTCCAATATATGCCAATAAATTATTAAACCGACTAATCGAATCGACTGTGTTTTCCAGAATAAAAAATTATCGACCAAATATATCAGCAAAAGACATACACCAACTAAAAAAGTAAAAACTCGTAATAACTGCAGTAGGTGTACTTAAACGGTGCGTATATGATCTATACGTACATATTTTTTTTCCCGCAGTTACCGAATTCCGTCTCGTGACCCTTAAAATATCATTCCGACCAGTAGACGTGTTTTATCGTTTTCAACCATTGAGCTAACATTTTTATTTTTTTTCTTGTGTTTATTGTCGGGTGAGAAAATAAATATGTTACGTTTTTTCTAGTAACTAATATTTGTTTACAACTTTTTTGATTTTCCTTGAAGTTTGTTTACTATTTTAGTATACATTTTTAGAAAGTTAATATCTAACATACGTCTCTTTTTCCTGATTTTGATAGTTTTAAGTGGCACAAGTATACATAAATAATTATTATTTTTTCAATGTTTTTTATCCCGATAATAAGCAAAACAAAAAAAAAAAATGTTTAAATATGCCAGCAAAGCTGCCAATCCTAAACTTGAGAAAAATGTTAAGGGAAACGTAACCTAACCGTAGTCAAATATTTACGGGACGGATTTCGTACTATCATTTTGACACCGTAGGGGTCACGTGACGGAATCCGGGTGCAGTTCATTTTTCATAGGTACCAATTATATTACGTTCATAATCATTCTGATACAGAAATTACCAATTTATTTTATTTCACCTATTATATTACAAATTTATTCCTATTGGCTATTTTTTTGTGCATACAAATTATATTATCTATACATACACAGCACAAATTATTTAAAATACCCTCCTGTTCCTTGGGCTATGGCTTGATGTAATCAAATTTCAACAAATGCGGATCTTTACTTTTCGTTTTTAGGAATGATTTTAAACTCGTGCCTAAATAATATATTATTATGAGAAAAAAAAAAATTGGGATTACCTAACATTGCGTATACAAAACCATTTTATTTTCGTATTGTATTTATCAATTTATTGGTTCATCTTTTTTCATCGATTTCTAAATATCTTTGAATTTCTGAGTTTTTTATCTGTACAATTGGTCTTTTGTACTGCTTATTCATTTGAATAAACTACTATTGTTATTATTGCATTTACATCTATAATATTGTACATTAGATTACTAGCCGATTATAATCGACCGTCGCGCGCGTCGTTGTAATTTAATATCGTATCGTATATTCTATGTTCTAGTATATTGGAATATTTTTTTTTTACGATAATCGAGTTTTCATAATAATATTAGCGTTATAAAATGGATGGGTATTAAAAAAAAAACATTATTACAATCACTCTAGCATAATAAATAGGTACAGGTAGGATGTAAAATTAATTTTAACGGATTTTAATTGAATTATTGTTTTTTAATTTTTTTTTACGAAACCTCTCAGCTCACGCGGCTAATTAATTTGTGAATTTAATGCACGTATTTGTCGAACAAAATATATTATAATTTATGATAAATTTGAAAAAGGAAAAAGATGAAACAAGATGCCGGTGTCGAGTATCGACGAAACGAGAACGGGGAATAAAATGTCGGTTGCAGTAGGTTTTAATAAACAAGTGCAATATTTTAATATAGGTACCTACGCTATTTCGCCCAAGTTAGTTATTCTATAAGGAGGAACTGCAGACATTGTGCCGGAGGACAAAATCCGAGAAGACCACAAATAAATTACCCGCTCGCCGAAATGTATAATAAATTCACGGATAAAGGGGTAACTTTGTGAATTATCGAAATCGAAGATTAATCATGTACATACGCATTGCATCCGATCGTATACGATGGTGATTAAAACAACTACGCGTTTGTTCGAATTTCAGATTTCAGGGGTCTATTATTTAATTTTATATTACCGATCATATTATAGTACACGTTCAATTATTAGTGCAGGATCAATAAACGGTATTTTTAAACGGTGGCACATTAAAACTTCTTTATTAGCGTACTAAAATTGTAGATCAACAATAGATTTTACCCATTAAATGGGTATCTATCACACTAATCGTGTTTTTAGCTTATGAAGTATTAAACCATTGTTTAATATTTTATAATTATTAATTTAACTATAAAAATATGGAACATTTATTAAACTTAAATTATCTCCAAGTTATAAACAATTTAGACATTTCGGAGAAAAGCCGCGGAAGTGTAATGACGGGGGGATATAGGAGATAGATCTCACCCATGAACCGTATTTATATAGTATACTGATATTTTATAAAAATTGGAAGTTCAAATGCAAATTTACAAAACTATTATGAAATTAAAAAAAAAGAGCTGATAATAGGGACGGGTGCATTCACTGTTTTAGGTGGGACGTTGGGAGGGAAGGATACAATATAATTTTATTTAATTTATATCTGTAAGCAACGATAAACTATTGCTGACGAAAGACCATTCCGAGCGCAGTTAAGTAATACATAATTTAAAGTGCCGTAATTTTTTTTTGCGATTTTTGTTTAAAGTTGATTTCTAAAAAGAGTCATCAGATGATTTTGGAAATTTTACCACGTTTATATTTGTGCTAGAAAACGTGGTAGGTATTTATTTAAAATAACGAAATTGTGAAAAATCGTATTGTTTTGCCAGGTAATCGTTTATATTTTAAATACCGTTTCGAAAATCAAAAAAAAATGACGTATGTTTTTACCAAGTAGATAAAATCGACTTTTAGAAATTGGTGTATACACTTATACATCGGAGCAATTTTTTTAGGATCAAATTAGCCTACAGTAAAGAAATAAATAAATAAAATAAAGTACCATTTTAAAAAATGTAAAAAAAGAAAAAAGTTGTTCGATGATTTTACCATGTCTAGGTAAGTCCAATATATGTATTATTACCAAGTTTTAAATCTCTACGTGTATTTATAACAAAAATAATAAAACAAATTACAGAAAAACGTGTCCACTGAATAGAACAAAGAACAAAAAATAAAAAAATAAACAGCATTGTAAAACCAATAGCTCTCTCGCTACACTCAGAATCTAAATTTTAAATGTCTAATTGTATTGGTTTTTATGTTATTTAAAACTTAAAGTTATAATCATTGCAAGTTTTTACTATTCTAACTCAACCAATAAATCCGAATAACATAAGAATTGTATACTGCACAATTTATGTATTTTGCAAAATAACTTTAAGAAAACGGCTTTATAAAATACATGTACATATGATATACCTATTAAAATATTATAATTTATATTTATTACTTTAGTCTCCCCCCCTCCTAATGAAAAATCCCAGTTACATTACTGGGTCAGACACGGATAAAAAGGGAGGCAAAGGAACAAAGTCCTATAAAAAACTAAATAACTGTATTTGCATATAATAGTTATTATGATAATTAAAATTTGGTATTTGATAACCACCGCCTCTCCTCTCTATTAAAAACCTTGGATCCGCGCCTTTACTAGGTACCGTACGTATGTACGTTTGTTATATGTTCGATTAACTGCCTAAAATTACGAAATTGGTCGAGCCTCGTAAGAAAAACCGTTTCCGAGAAAATTAAAACGCGAACGATCGTAAAGATTATATAATTTGGAGGTCGGATAATCCCATTTAATCCATTGAACACCTCAAACTTCGAAGATGTTTATTAAATAATGTATAAACATATATGCATCGTTCGGATCATCCCCACCCCCCGTAAATACACGATCACTCAGAGCAGTGGTGTTTATTGGCACCCCGCCGGAACAAATATAAAATGTTATACTCACGTCGTTATTAATTTACTAAAGAATCGTTTTGTTTGGTTGTTTGTTTTTTTTTTTTTTTTGTCAAATCAAGCCATTATAATCTGCTATAATTTTACCGAGTCGAGACGTTTGCGCTTCTTAAGTAGCAGTCATAATAATGATATTAAATCGTACAAAACGAACTAAATTACCTGCCATAAAATCGGATAAACTCGTTACATAATTTGTAGAGGTATCACCTTGAAGACTTACATTTTCGGTGGTTTATGAAATTATAAAAAAAAAAAAAATGCAATTGCTCGTACCTTCGATAACGAGTTGTATATATATAACGAGTTCGTCTTCGAAATGTTGTCGTTTAGAAAATATTGTACAATAATATAATATACGTTTTATATTATTATCTCTAAAACCGAATTTGTTTGCTATATTGACCGTGTTGTTTACGGAAAAGACATAGGCGGTAATATTAAACGCCACTGTGTCGGTCTCTTATAACCGTCGTTTTGTTACCACTGAAGGGTTTCCGCCTTTGCAATGACGGCAATACGATATTAAATGTTACACATAAAAGAGAATATCAGGTTTTAGAAAACAGTTACTATAAGTACTGTATAATATTTAGTGAATATTATATAAATAATAATACGTACCCCTTCGCATAGTTCTAGCATCCGACGAGTGCTCTCCAGAGACTGCAGCAGCGGTGCGAATAAAAGACAAAGAAATCATTATAAGTAGGCGGTAGACCCGTATGTACAATAATAATATTATTATCATCGTAGAGGGGTGTACTATAATTGTATCTATTAACATATAATGATAATTATTGTTCATGTGGCTCACCTCGTCGGTCATGTGATTGGATTGCATGTGCAAGTCTTGCAATTCGTTGTTTACGATGGCCGGCATTGTTGCGACTGTAAGACCGCGGACACCCGCGTGGCTGTAAAACGGCGGGTGAAAGAATGGGGAAAAGATACAAAAAAAAAATAAAAAATACGCTCAGAAATCGAAAAAAATAACTAAATCCCTCGATAAAAATACCGTTTTAGATATTATGCGACGGGGACGGGGGGGGGGGGCATACGTACGACGATTACAATATTATATTACCGCGGAAATGTGCATACGAAATTTTTTATGATTTATACGATTACGCAAGCTATATATACGCGACAGGTTGCCCCCGGGGTCGAGCGTCGTATGTCGTGTCGTGTGCCGCGCGCGCGGGACAGTGAACTACGGCGGCGGCGACGGCAATCGAACTACGCGGGATGTACGTGCGCTCTGCCGCCCCCGGGGTGGAAACGGAAAACTAGGAGCGCAACAGACCGTTTTTACTCGCCGACGCCGCCGCCGCCATCGCTACCGCCGAGTGTGTTGCTTTCTTTCGCCCGGGCCTCCGCCACCGTCACTGCCACCGCGCGCGCATCCCCGAGCACCGTCGCCGGGCCGCGACCGCGACGTTTCCCGGGGGTCGGTCGCGCGACGGAAAACACTGTCTGTCGGGAGGGGGGGGAGGGGGTTTTATACATATATATATGTTATATTATTATTATATAGATATTTTGCGTTTTATTACAACGCCGCGACGTCCAGTGACAGCACGGTATTCTAATAAATATAAACCGACTATATCGTTTATCACACGTTTTTGTGTGGGTTTTTATTTTTTTTTTTTTAGATTCGGCGGCGACGAAGGATGTATTGGTTTTATCAAAGTCGGTCAGAGCCGCCTACGATAAACCGATCAATTGTACATATTTTTTTTTTTTTTTTTTGAATTTGCGAAATGTCTAACTTATAGATGATCAATTGGAAGTTATTCTGTGAAAATAATAACTTAAGTTTAAAAAAAAAAAAATGAAGTTAAATTAGATAATCTAAATACCTGTTCGTATCATATTTAGTTATCTATAGTATTTTACATTGGTAAACTAACTGATCAAGTTTAAAATTAATAGTTACTAAAAAAGTACCTTAGTTCTAACTATGCCAGTGTCTAGCTTTGGGTATTATTATTCTTATTATTATTATGCGTATATGTATTTTTTGTGTTTGTTAACCACTTTTCTACCAGAAATCTTCTTCCGGACAGTTAGCTGCGATTCTAAACTAAAATGTACAATAGAAATATTATGAACTATTGATAAAAAAAATATAAGGCGAAAAGCACCAAAGTATTTATAATGGTACGTATTTCACCTAAAATAATCATTCAAACGATTTCATTTTGATCCACTTGAAATTTTTTTCAAAATAAAAAAGATGGTGAAAAATTCCGAAAATTGTCATAAAATTGATAATCAACTTATTGATTACAAGTAGAAATAACGAACATTTATTTTATTATTTATTTATTTTTATATTATACTTCCGTCAATATTTACATATTTAAACAATTTATTTATTCGATGAGAAATGTATGATTTAGGATAACAACTATAAAAATTGTTTGTTTATAATACTAAATTTTACACGATATTCTAGTCTGGTTAACACTGTAATCCACGCGCCTAGCAGTTCCCCAAGTTAGTTATTAGTTATGTTTTATTTGATTATTTTTGTTTTAAGTACGTAATACTTAAAACATAATCGCAATAATAACAATCATAATAGATCCGAATTTTCAATTTGAACTGATCACCAAACATTCATAAATACAGCCTATTCGAATTCGCGATTATATTTCACTAAAATCTATAGGTTATACCTATACCTAATCGAATCGAACAAATGAGATGATATCGTATACCTGCCACAAACCGAATTACGGTCCCGTTTTATGATCATTATTTTTACATTCAACGATTCTTTCGTTTCACTTTTATCTCACACAAGTTGAGTAGGTTTCTCGCCTTTCACATCATCTTCTCTTATAATCTCTAGCTACTTTTTCTTTGGATTCCATCTATTCATCGCACTGAACTCGCCAGTCATCTGTTATCTCCTTAATTATCCTGTCATTTTTTTAAATTTTATTAAACGTTTAATAACAATGGGCTATTAAATTGACGGTTGAAATATTCGGTTTCTAGACCGAATAATTGGGTTTTTTTTTTTTTATTGCCCACTGTTTATTCGAATGGTATATCGTTTATATCGATCGTTTTTTTGAACTATTTGTTATTCAGTGAAATAAATTATAGGCCATTCATTTTTTAATTTTATTTATCGTTATTGGTCATCTATTGATAAACCATCAATAAACTATGGATTGAGTCCATTAAAAGCTAAAATTATAGTTCACAGAACCGTCGATTTACAATAGTTGATCTATCACGATAATGACCACCATATAATTTAATAATTAACAGTATTATGTGTACGAAACAAATATATATTTTCAAAAAACTATATAAAATAATCGTTGAAAATTATATAAAATTACTATTATTTGCAGTCGAATACCTACTCGTGAAAATATAATATGCAATGTGTACAGTGAAGTCGCTATTAGATACGTGCGTGAGCCGATATTATAATATTATTTAATATTAATGGACAGAGTCATGATTCTTTTAACGTGAATTGATTGATTATCAATTTTTTTTTTCTTTTTAGGGTAAATATTTATATTTGTTCAATGCCTACTAACTGAGCGTTGGGTTTGTTTTCTGTGCTAAAAATACGTATTCAATTTTATTCGTTTTTAAATATCAACATATTTCCATTCTACATAAGTTAAAAAGAAAAATAACGTATAAAGGTAAGTAATTTGTATATAAATGAAAATTATTGATTTTTTAAATTAAAAAAAAATATGTATAAGAAAACATATTTTTATAGGTATTTATTATACGTTTATACTAAACAAATTCGTCGAAATATGAAATTTTGTTATGGGAATAATATAAACACCTCCTTAATAACGAAAAACAGTTTAAAATAAATTCGTACCATTCGGTGTTAAAGTCATTGGTACTAAACTCATTGGCGTGCGTAGACTTTTAAGTTCTGGTCGTGCCCGAGAAAAATTAATTTATTAGGTGAATCCTCCCCCAAATTTTATTTCACCTACTTAGTTTAAATACTAGATAATACAAAATAATATATAATTCTATACACTGTATTTAAATTAGTTTTCATAATTACATTAATTACTTGATTAAGTATTATACACTTCAAAAAAATAAAAGTTTCTTTGTAATCTTCAATCAATAATCAATAATAGTACATAAATAAATAACTTTGATAATTATAATCAAGCCAGCATATTTGGTAACACAGTCGAAAAAGATAAGAGCGAAATTGGCAGTGAAGTTAAAATGTAGGAACTAAATTTTAAATATGGGAAAAAAAATGAATGGCAATTTTACAAATCATAAAACTTGTACCTACAGTTGTCATATATCAACATAATAGCAAAAAAAAATGTTTATCTATCATTTTCGGGTAGTGCCCAGGCACATCCGGTACGCTCTGTGCATACGCCTATGTACCTACATAAGTTATAATTATTATTTTTTAGGTACGTTATTAGATTGTATTCTCACGATGTTTGCAGATGATATAGCTTTGATGGGAGAAAATCTGGAAGAAGTTATAGTAATAGGCTTGAGGAATGGAAAGTAGCACTTGGTAGAAAGAGATTAAGGATAAGTACAAGTAAAAAAATATAAAGTATAAAGAGTACTAGTATCTATATAGTCAAGGGCGAAGTGGCTTGACAATTCTTACTGGGCTATTCTTAATATCCTCCATACATATTTTTTTTTTTATGAGAAAATATTTCAGCCAAAACACTTACTACATGCCACTGCTGTACAATTTTAATGGTCAGTAGCGTATCCAGGATTTTTCAATGAAGTGCCAGTACACAATTATTTGTACTTGGAATAAGTACAAATGGAATAATGTATATTTTATATTGGAATAATGTACTTAGAATGAGTAGTGCAAATATGTAATGATTATCATTTAATTAGTAACTGGCCAAATTATTCGGTATTTACTAGACTCATCTTTATCCTTATCTGTTGCTTGGTAATTTATCTTTTAAAAAGGGTTCTTCCTTGATCATGAAAACCAAATTAAATTATAGTAACTGGGTTTTTTTTTATGCTTGTCGTCAAGGGTAATCCATAAATCAACAAAAAAAATCAATATTTTCATTCTGAAAATATCCATAACTTTGTGGTAACTATTCTAGAGATGAATTTTGAGATAAAAAATAGATAGTGACCCTCCTCTTATTTTGAATTTATTATTTGGTGTTCGTGTTAAGCACGGTAAATGGACTGTGGGATAGGTCAATTATTAACCCCTTCCTAGGTATACCACTGCTAACGGTAAAACTATTTTCAACTTTTTTAACTTCGATTAAACAATTTTAAACATAAATTAAAAATAAATACTACCTATATTTAATTCAGTTTTAACGATAGATAACTTACAACTTCATATGTATGAATGTGTTAAAAATTATAAACAAATAAAGCACTTAAATGAATTTGCCATAATATATTCGCTCATACAATAATTAATAATAATACATTATTATATTTTATTATTTTATAACTGCAATATGCAATAATCAATTAAAACCTAAATAGTACTATGTATAATGTATATTTAATCTCTTTACAAAAAATAGTTAGTAGTTAAATAACAATGTTCTATAAATCTTGGACTTTTAGGGGTTTTCAGACACAAATACGACTGGGGGTACCGGATGCATTCGCAGTCTAGCGGCCATGGAAATAGAAACTAGAAAATTAAAATTAAACATTTTAAAAATTAAATTTAAATATTCATGGTAATCTACAATTTTAAAAAAAGGTCATTACTACTTTCAAGCTATGTCAATTAAAAATAATTCAATGATTATTTTGTTATATTGTAATATGGTCATCTTAAAGTAATACAGTAGACACACTAATAATCATTTACGATTTACACAAATATCCCGGGCAGCGACGACGCGATTAGAAATTACCTGAATTGTGTCCTTTATTAAATAGTCGTGAACAATCTCCATAATTAAATTTATAAATTTGTTCATTAGTTTAATTACAATTGTTGGTTTTGTACGTTCGTATTCGTTTTTGGGTTCATAATAGTATATTTATTTTCTTTTTAATGGACATTTTTACTTTCATTTAAGTGCAGAATAATTTTCATCTATACTTACCTAAATATCATGCATTAAACCAATAATAATAAAAGATTAACAGACTTTTAAAGTTCAGAGGAGCGTAGGTAAAAGTGGGCATTGTAATTAAACGGGATATTTTAATTATTTTTCCAACACACAATCATCCAAAAACGTTAAACGATTTATACAAGTATTACAATTAAAATTAGAGGTTAACATTAAAAAAAAAAATTAAAATATGCTGTAACCACAAAGTAAGAATAATCAGTTAAAATTTAAGCTGAAAATGATAATGTTTTATAAATTGATATATATATATATATAATAATGTTATATTTAAAAAGTCCTATGATAATGAGGATGAGTGCAGTTACTGTTATAGGTAATTTAATGTACATCTGTAAGCAACGATATAAACCATTGCTTACGAAAAAACTATTCTGAGCGGAATTCAGTTGATAGTGATACTTTGTCAACAATAAATATGCCATATTATAGTAAAATAATTAAATAGGCTCTATATATTTTCTTTAATAATATTTGTTTAATGTTATACTGATTTTCCCTATTTATCACATTAACTGAGAAAACTCCGGGGAAAATGGAAAAATGACCTCTATAAAGTACCCCCCGTCAGTGAAATTTCTTTTCAGAAATATTGTTATCATTAAAAGTTGGAGCAAAATTGATAGTAGAAAAGTTGTCTACAGAAAAAAAAATCATAATATTATATTTATTATATTTTGTAAATATTCCTGTTTTTTTTTTTCGGTTTTTCGCATTTGATGAGAAAATTCTTGAGAAAATTAAAAAATGTTCTTTTCAAGTTACCTCCCTACGCCGATTTCCTTTCAGAAAAGTTATTGCTTGTAAAAATCGGAGCAAATTCTCAGGTAAAAAAGTTGTCCAAAGAAAAAAAAATAAACATCTTTGTAAAACCATAAGCTTCTTTGCTCCACTCAGAATCTAAAACATTGTTGTAAATATTTAAAATACATTATTTAAATGTATACATCTATAACGACATACAAAAAATATACCCAGTACTGTACATAATTGCCTACATTAATAATGAGAACATGAGCCACTAAAATTTAATAAAATGTATAGACATCAAAATAAAGTGATAACTGATAATTTATGTAAAATTGAAATTATATCTCTTTTAATACGATTACTACATTCTTTAAGAGCTTAAGTCTTAATTAAAACAAAAAACAATTAAAATATTTTTCACGCGGTTTGGTGTATGTAAAATGTTTACATTTCCAATCTCACGATTCCTGTTAAAAAAATTCATAATAGTCTAATAGTCTAAATATTAAATTTAAAAGTAATATATATGAAAGCAATATGCGTAATTACTTAATTATGTTGGACAAAAAAGTAATTATTTGTTATAATTATTGAATTTTAATAACATGATTAGAAAAAAAAATACAAAATCTGACAAGGAACACCTGGGACGTCGCATACAAGTCGGAGGCATTTTAAATGCGTATATGAGTAAAAACATCTCTGTGTGCATCTGTGTTTAAAAATATTATGGTATATTTAAATCTTTAAATACAAATATAAGTATATACATATGATTTCAAGGGTTGATCCTATAGCACTGATCTTCACATGGTACGTGCAGTCAACTTTGTTTACATTTTATACAAGTGCCCGGACAAATATCATCACAAGACAATATTTTCTAATAAGATTTATTACGTTTTTCAAGTAGATCTTTACTTTTTATTTCGAGTTTTAAAAAAAGTAAAAGTATTAAAAATTTATAACTTCTATTTTGATTGTATAAATAAAAATAATTAAAAAGGAGCGTTTCTGAGCGAAGTTTGGTTACACACATGTTTTTAAAGATTTTAACGATTTTCGTTAAAATTTTATTTCAAAACGCCTATAAAAAGAACTATTAATTTACGCTTAACTTTTTTCTTCGAGTACTATGTACAACTTATAATGAACATTGTGTTGAATTTTCAATCATTATTGTCTGGTCAAACAATTATATTTACATAATACCTACCAAATAAAAACTAAAATCTCAAAAATGTTATATGCTTATAAATTGCTCAAAAGTCGCTGTATATGTTTAACATTCCAAAAAAAACAGCTCAGAAACACCTAAAATTATTCCCCACTTTTGGGTAGAAATGTTCTAAATTATTCGTACTATACTTTAGAGATACGGATAAACATGTTTATCGGGCGTTAAATTAGTATTTGTATCTGATTTTGATTTCAAAAATATGTAAGTAATTCTAAATTTTAAGAATGGTAAAAAATATCAAACGTATTTAAAAATTGTTGCAAGGTGCAATGATATATTTTCCCTTTTTGATAATTATCTTGTATATAATCATCATAATATGGCATAATAAGTATATGATATTAATATTACTTTATATAAAATCATAAGAGCAAAAAGATCAGTGTGGGAAGTGAGGAAGATACGCTAAGATACGTTGTCGAAAGACGACTTCCGGGGTGACATTTAAATAGCGAGTTGACACCAACGCATTCGTGTCAAATGTCGACATTTTTGATGAGAACAATCAATATTTGAATTCGGTTTCTTTGTTGTTTTTTGCGATCGATATGAAACGCTTTAAATACTAACAAAAATATATGGGGAGATTCTTTTAACCTCGCTTTGCCTATCTATGATAATTTTGAGTTAATTTACAGTAAACATCAATATCCTGATTAATATTTATACTTAGATCTTCATTTTGTACTGTAAATTATCATCATTTTCATTAGAGCGTTTAACTTCTAAAAATTGTTTACAGTGAAAAACTATTAACTAATTCTTGTTTCAAAAGATATTACATAGAATTAAAGTTAAAGCGATTTTTATCATTGAACAACCAGTAAATGTAATTTTCATTAGACTTTCAAGTCATAATATTTTTTGACAATGACAGTTCTAAAATACCTGCATTTTCAGAAATTAATTTTTTTACAATTTTCAAGATAAGTTATTTCATTCAGTTTATTATTTACTTCTTCAGACTTTTTTTAAAGGTTGACGATTTATATTTAATTATATTCTTTAAGCTATACATTTTTATAGTTTTAGATTTTAATTAACCAATTCTAACAATATTTTTCGTAAATTCTATTAAACCTTCCAAAAATGTATTCATGGAGTGGTTAGTATAGCACACATCTAATTTCTATATTGGTTTAACTGGTTGCTCCAAGTTGTAAATATGTATATGAATATAAATTTGTAACCAGACTCCAGTAGTCTAATAAATGTTTTTCCAGTACCAGGTAAAACTTGTATAACTGTTAATTCATTTTCCACCACTGTTTTAAAGGCTTTATATTATATTTCATTAAATTCAAATTTATCTTTAGTAAGACATTTGGAATCGTTTAACACGTTAATTCTTCCAAATTATAAAATTTGTATTTTTTTCTGGAAGACATTTTAAGTAACCAAGATTTTCAATTTTAGTGCATGCGGAAACAATATACATTTTCATTGGGAAATTAAATCTATTCATATTCTTGAATACTTGCATAGCTCATTTGTAAGGCTCAAAGTGTACTTCACTTTTAGTCATAGTAAACAACGAATAGCTTTGTGAATGTACGTCATCTAGCAATTAATTTTACAATTAACTGGCTATTTTCTAAATATTGCTTCTCACTGCCCAAAACAACACCTGTAAAACAATTATCAAATTCGTTTACAGTGAATATCTATAACGATATCAATTATATTTTTTTTTTAACTTTGAATAATTAGGTATACATTTTAAAATTTGCCTATTTAATATAACATTAGAACACAAAAATTAAATTGAAAAAGACGGACACACTTCGCACTATGAGTGGACAACTGTTGTAGATAAGATATAGATATAGAGGGGAATTTAATGTATATCTGTAAACAAAGATTAGTCATTGCTAACGAAAAACGATTCTGATAGGAGCTCGGTTAATAGTATTGTTTTTTCAACAAATTTCATATTATGTTTGTTACAATAATGTAAATTACAATAAAATATATACCTATAAAAACAATTTGTAAGGGCCAGTAACTAAATTTGTTCCACATCATTTTTTACTAAAACAATTTTGTCGTTTTTGGTATTGAAATTCTTATAAAAAAAAAAAAATACATTATATTAAATTCAACTTTTTTTTATTTTGACCACAAAGTACGACTTATTATTATCCTCCTGTTTAATTTTCAAGCATTTCTGTTTAGTCTAAACATTTTATCTATAGAGTACCTACCAAATAAAGATTACTCACAAAATTTAAATGTCTTTAAAGTGCTCAAATATGGCTCAAATGGTTTTACAGTTTTATCTAGAAAAGACAAACATAGGTTTTCTGTCTTAATTTCAAGTCACTCTGAATTATAAAATTATTATTTTCATAAATTTTCCAGTTTTCCGACATTTTATCCCGGTTTTTCCCAATTATCATGAAAACCGCTTGGAAAATCAAAAAATGATCTCCCTAAAGTATCATGTAGACAACATTTCCTTTCAGAAAAAGTGCTATACTTGATAAATCGTAACAAGATTTCTGGTACAAAAGTTTGCACAACAAATTTAGGAGTATTTTCTGATTAAAATAGTCAGAGAGAGCGACGGCTTGGGTCTCTAGGTGCATCCAAAATGCATTTATAAATATATAACTATAACTTATCCAAAAATATTAATGGTTATTTATTTTTTTATAAATTATAAATTACTATTCAATGTTTAAAAAGAAACCTATATCCCACGGTTTAAGATGATTCCAATAATTGTAAGAGACGCTAATTTTTTTTAAGTCTCATTTTTTTTTTTTTTGCAATTATGAAAACCGATTTTAAACCTCTGTTATCACTTTGGTGATTTTTGTCAAATATATGATGATTCTTAGGTAGGTTTTGAAACACCGCGATTTTAGCCAAAAATTTTAACTACTTAGTGCTAACTGCAACATGCTATTACTGTTTAATTTTTTTTACCACTATATATACAAAACTATATATATATATATACTATACAACTTATGTCACTTATGATAAACCTCGTAATAAATTTTCAAGCATTATTAAGGTTGCTCTAAAAAATTATAAACATGTGTCACTGTTGTATAAGGTGTGAAGTTAAAAATGACCAGAATTTTTTTAAAATTTGACCACGTCTAAAAAATGCAAATATATATACTCTGTGAAAATGTCAGGTTTCTGTTAGAAAAGTTGTTTACAGACAAAAAAAATACATCATAATAAAACATGTCTTGCTATTCACAGAATCTAAACTGACATCATAAAAAAGTCATTACTGCGCTCAGAATATAATACCAATAACTCCTAAGAATAATCATCAACATTCAAAGCATATTATAATTGTAAACAAATTACAAAATAAACTTTACTTATATGTTTAGAGGTTAGAATATTAACATATATTAGAATATATTAAACAAAAATGACCCATAGGGACCTATATTATGAACCTACTCATACCTATATAATATTATATATGCTATTTAACGAATGTAGATACCTTTTTGATGATAATTTTATGCTAGAGGCAGGGAATTTTATAACAAAATGGCTTTTCACATGAGAATATACCATAAAAAATATACCTAATAGAAAAACAAAATTGCAAGTCTAGTTAATATAATATTTAATGCATATTTTTTTTTTATGCAGCATGTATTATTTATGAAAGTATATTGAAATAGTCGACCTGCGATTATATTCAATATACAGTATCATAATATGTATTCAATTTTATATCGATTAGATTATTTTCTTCCGTTGATGTGACACTAATTATCAATGCACATTAGTACCAAAGTCTCTTCGATATAATATTATGATCATTATCTGACTATTAAAGCTATAATGCATGTATTGTGGTAGAACCAATAAAATTGTATTATAAATTAGTATGTTGAAAAAAAACAAAATCTTTAAATTTAGGTATAAATCAACTGGATGTTTATGAAAATTAATTGTACGAAAAGATAAGTTTACCTAATTAATTAAGATAAGTTTATGTAATGGAATCCAAAATTTTTAAGTTAATATTAACTGCGAAAATAATACTAATTAGACGGTCAGTAAGAAAGTTTAAAAACTTTTAATCAAATTAACTTTTAATTAAAATTAACTGCATTAAAAAACGGGCACGAGTAGACAATTTCGACGATATTTCAGAAAATAATTATAAGGCAAACGTTATGTAGGTTTGGAATTTGACTACATCGATATTGGAACTTGAACGACATTGATTGGACATTATTACGATTCAAAAAGTGAGGTGGCCAGGAGAAGGAAGCTTAAAAATTGAAAATCGGGCGGTATTCCATAGTTTGGTACTGGACATTAGTAAGGTGTTAGTTTCAATTTAAATGACAAGATATTACCTAGAGTTAAAAAGATTAAGGCAGTAAATGACAGAATTTACTATATTAAACTGAAATTCCGATGGTTTAACGTGATAATAACTAACGAGTATACTCTAACTAAAGACAAAGAAGAGGAGGTCAAAGATATATTTTACGAAGATTTAGATAATATGTGTGATTTGGTACCGACTAATAAAATGAAAATCTTACTGACTAATTGTAATGCGAAAATAGGGTAGGAAATAATATACAGAACAACAATTGGGGAGGAGGCTACATAGAGTCTCAAACGATAATGGTACAAAATTAGTTAATTTTTTTATGATTAGAAGTATATAAGTAAGTAGCACTACATTTCCGCATAAAGGTATGCATAAGCTAATCTGGGTTTCACAATCAGGATAAATAAAGAACCAAATAGACCATGTTATAGTTGATAAGCTGATCAAGAGATGCGTCATGCATATTCGGAGTATGAGAGGTAGTAGCGCAATAAGTTGACTTATGAATGTTATAACTTTACAACTTTTAGTGTGTTTGAATGTTGTATTCGTTCACTTTTAGTTTGATTCGATTGTTTACAAGATTAAATTAATTATTTTAGTAATATATAATTATATGACATCGTAAAGAGATTATATATATATACATATATATAGCTTTAAATTTCGAGTACCTATTTATTTATTTTGCATTAATTTTAAAATCGAATAAACATGTCTAACTGTCAAAATGAATACATGTTTTATGTCATATTCAATTTTGGGTTTATTTTATCGAATTTAAATAATTAAATTATTGTATTTATAATTTGTTTAACAACATTACTTTCTAAACTTATTTAAATCTTAAGGTTATTTTAAACTTATTATTTTTGGTTTTATTTGTAGATTATTTAACTTTATTAAATTTAATTAAATTTTTTGTAAAACGTATAGATCTAACTAAAGACATGCAATTACGGCGATAGTCACGCAAACGTATGCTACACGCTAAATATTAGCACAAAAAAAATTGAACTTTTTGAATGGCTAGTAGCTGGTGAAATGTACATAATTTATTTATATTTAAATACATATTGTAGCGGTTTAAGAAAACAATACTTTTTATGTGTGCGTTTTATTTTTATTTTTAGATTGTATGCATTGTATACAAAGCCAATTATTAATAGAACAATACATTTTTCTAGAAAACTTATATAGGGATATATATATATATACTGCGTCATACCTACTGGCGTGGGATGGTAAAAACGAAGAAGAAAATACGTGATTTATGAGTGTGGGTTGATACATGAACATAAACTAGTATTGGGATTGTTTCGTTTTTTTTAAATGTGTTATTGACCATTATAATTATTATTGATTTTGTCTGTACGGAAATAATAATTTTCTTCGTTCTTTTTTTACTAGTGCAAGTATAAATGTTTAAAAGTTTTTAAAAGTCGCAAGGTGGACTGAAATAGCGTCCGGATATTGTTAAACGAAAAATACTGTAAGAAATGAGAATCATCGGAAATTGAAACGAATTTAGTTTTTACGTTGTTACTAGTTATTTTAAGAAAAAAACAAAATTTTAAAAATACTTGAACACAAATAGATCCTATAAAAAAACATAATTCATAGGGTAAACATATTTATCTAGCGTTTGTATTATGGTAATTCTTAGTTATGTAATAAAATGAAAAAAAATTGTATGACTTTTGAAATGGACAAACGTTAGGTATGTGAAGTTTATAAATCAAAATCAAAATATCAGCCGCTGTGCAATCAAAACCACTATTATGAAAACCCAGAAAACCGAAATAATTTGTCTCAAACCCTTAAGGAAAATTTTTTCACAGTGATGATGAGTTATAATGAACATAATGTGGTACTTAATTAAAATAATAATACCTATGTAATAACATCAATTTTGGACGTTTTATTTCCGGCGAGCCATGTTTGAAATCAGGGGCGGATTGACTTTATCTAATATTAGAGATAACCCCTAGGAGTAATAATACAGAAATTACATATTGTTTACATGAAGTCACTGTTTACATTAACTTAATTTGTGTTTAGTTAAACGTACATATTATAAAAGCACTTTTAAATCGGGACTTAAAATCGAAATTATTTTTTAGGTTAATGAATTTAGTTATTTTTTTATTTTTTCGAGTTAAAAAACCGGTTAATATTTATCATATACTTTATGCTTATTCAAAATCATTTTTCAAATTAATAAAACCGGTTTATTTTGTTATTATTAAAATAATTTGTTTAAAATAAAAACAATACTATATATAAACTAAATATTAGTTTACTTTATTTTAAAATGTTAAAGCTTAAATTTAAACCTTAAGCTTAAAATATTCTGGTTTTTTCATTTTATAAAGTAAACTTTACATTCATGTAAATTTTCTAACATAGCCAGTTAATATCAAAACCGGATTTAACCGGTTTGATAACTTTTTAGTACTCATTTCCTAACATTAGAGTTAATTCAAAGTTTTTGTTAACTTTAACTCTGGTATTAACATGTATTAAGATAAACTTATAAACGATAAGTGGATTAATATGTTTGGCAGGAATTAAATATGAATTAATTATATACACGTGCAAATTAAAATAATGTATTATGTAATGATGAGTTTAATCTTAAAACATATTGAAATGTACCTAATATATATACTCGAATACAAATACTGCGTATTCAATTATTGCGTATTAGTGACTGCGACTATAAACGACAACGAGGTAATAAATCACACACTTGATATTTATACAGTTATAATAAGCAATCATTGCAATGATGCATTTTAGTATACATCTAAACTAATCTAATAGGTAGGGGGCGATATAATTTGCATACACATTTATTTACACAGGCAGTAGGTACCTAGGTTGCATCCGAGGACCCAGGGGTCTGGCCTACTAACCTAAACCGAATTAAAAAAAAAATTGAAGAGTATTAGTAAAATGTTGGCATCATTTTGAATTAGCAAAACAAATTGTATATATATATATACATACAATTACTATTTACGTTGGATCATTAAAAAGATACTGCTCAATGCTCATGGATAAGTTACAATGCTACTATTTCAGGTAAGTTAGAAAAACGTAGAATTATGTGAAGGGTAATTTAGTTGATTAATAAAGTAACAGTAACACCGTATCCAATGAAAAATGATTGCAAACTATTCGAGGGAGTTCTGTTAAATATTTTTGGATAAATTTAAATTGACAATGTTATTAATTTTTAACTTAACATATATTGAAAATGTTCAAAACGAATTTAATTGTCATAAATTTGAACTTAAAACGCTCATTAAAAAAAGTTTTTAGGCTAACTTTTTTTATTATCACAAAGTACAACTCAATAATGAACCTGGTATTAAATATTCGACCAATTTTGAGAAGCCAAAAAATTGTGTCCACAGAAAGCTAAAAATATTCTAATTTTTCAAATAGCTAAAAATAATTTTAAAAGCGCCGAAATATTTTTGAAATTGAACCACGTCTGCAGAGTACTACTTCTGAAGAAATATTAGGACGCTAAGAATAATAAAATCAAAATAACAAAATCGGTTTTTACAGAAACCATTGTTCTGTAAATATTCCCGTTTTCCCCTATTATTAATAAAAGTAAAGGGAAATTTTTTAAAAAAATAACAGTCTAATTCAAAGCACAACAGCACAGCGGTTTGTCGCTTTATATCTATTTTGACCATTTGTGTACCGTCCGATCCTCATCACTACTGTCTAAAGTTCTGACTCTAAACCGTTCGCCATTACCGCGCATTATATAATATAATATTGTACACGGGGTGTATAAACCGTAATTACACATATGGTACACAATATAATATTGCAACGCACACGGAGCTTTTGAATAGTTTCCAAAGGCATTATAATATACACGGACCGGGAAGGGAGAACGCGCGCGGTATAGGAGGTAATACGTCGTTTGTTTTGCCGTGTTATTTTGACGGAAATATCACGAAAATCACTCGTCGACACAAAACATGTCCTCCCCCGCCTTTATGATTGAACGACAATGTGATTCACACGATCATAATAATGCTAATTCAAGTTCTGAAGTGGTATAAGCGTTGGCTTTATTTTTCTATTTGATCGAATATGTATCAGCTATAACACTAGGTATTAACCTAGTAAGTTAGGTTAGGTTAACCTTTTTCAATTGCATTTATTGTATCTATTATTATTATTGTTTTTTTTTTTTGTACAGAGATGCTATAGGTACTGAATATGTGTCTTTGATTTTTGAAATTAAACAGTAATATATATTGTGCACCATTTGTGCCGGCGCGGCGTCTAACTCCACTACACTTTCTCTATCCAAATTTAAAGCAGGAATATCTAATATTGATTATTACTTGAACCATACGAATAACTCTATATAAATAAGGTGGAATATCTGGTAAACGACTTGACGGAAATAAAAAAAATGTCAGTACCAAAATGTTTTAAACTAACATTTCATTTGTTTATGGAATTTTTTATATAGGTTGTCTTTTGAAAATCAAAAGTAGATAGTTGTTTCATTTTCAAAAATAAGAGCGACAAGAAATAATGGCAATGTAACATTTCAGAGCTGTTTGTTTGTTTCTTAAATTCTCAAAAAAAAAAAATCCGTACAAAATTAATACTTTCTGAGATATTGCAATTGATCTTCATGGGACACGTTATTATATATATTTTTACATTTTAAGTGATTTTTTGCTTAATTAGTTATAAATAAGTTTCCATAACGTTTCTTAGAACTACACACAACGACTGGACTCTAATATTCATAACAAAAACATTAACAGATCTCTGGAAGAGGATGGGATACGAGTTTGAGCCTCTCGGACCCGAGCTTATTCTAAGGATTTTTATATACTGTCCAAAATACACCGAAAAGTTTTTTTTTTATGAAATTCACGTGAACTTTAGTACACACCCTCCACCCTAAAAAAAAAAACAAATCTTAAGAAGAAAATGAAATTGAAAAAAAAAATACAGCAAAAAAATAACGAATTAACTCAGGAAAAGCGTGAAGTACGAATTACGTGGAGTGTAACCAGCTTTAGGTAAAAGGTAGGTTTTTAAGTTACGCAATACCGAGTATAGGAATTCAATCACTCGACGATCAGGAAAATTATATTTTTTGTAAAGTACCCACATTCACGAAACCAACTGCACTTTTGATATTTTCTACTGTCTAATTTGGGTTCTACTGCCCGTTAGAACAAGGCCTGCCTCGGACCTCGCGATAACGACAACGAAATGACGCAACTTTCGCGGGTTTAGCAACGCGCACCTGTTTGATACGCGCCGTACGGGAAAACGGACCCGCGCGCGCTTGCCCACGCTCACCTACACTCCTAAACACACACACACACGCACGCATACGTGTTTATAGACACAGTGGGCTCGCGTACACGCGCACGAGTCCGTTCGGCGGATATCGCAAAATCGTCGGCGGTCGCAGTCAGAAATGCGCGCCGTCAGATCAATATGGGCCCCCGCCACGCCACGCGCTCTGTCCGTCCGCGACCTCAAGTCTCCTCGCCGCCGCGCCGGCCGCTCACCGTCATCGTGACCGAGAGTCAAGCGCGCGCCGCTTTGTGGAATTCAAATAATCACGGGTCGATGCCGCGTTGATTTTATCATTAATTATATTGTTATTAACGCGTTGGCGATTATATTTTGTATTTTAATTGCGTCGTGTATATGGAGGGAATAACGAGATTTCGTTCTCCATTGGAAATTTGTAAATCGGACATCTCCCTCACACATTCTTTAGCAAACGACGTCATAACACCTATGGCATTCACCTCGCAATAAAAGCAATAAAATAAAAACAATAAAATCATTTCACACCACTATTGTCATAAAATCACACAAATTTTAAGTTATTAGATTTTACTAAGATGTGGTTTTCGATTAGTAAAAATACTTTAAATCGTACCTTAGATGCGGATTTTTCGCCCGGTAGTAATTTACTTGAAAACAATTTTTAGTTTCCCAACAATTTTTCTACACAATTTAAAAAACTTTCATTAAATAATACATTGATATTATTTTTATTTATTTTTTGGTTTCTTTGGCTAAAACTGATATAATGTAAAAAAAATCTGTGAGCAACAGAGCTCCGTCACTATAAAGTAAAATTAATATAATAGGTACTATAATTATACTATAACTATACTGCTTCCAAAAATGTGTAATTTGATCATAAAAATGGTAGTAGTGAGGATTGAATTATGAAACATCTAAAAGGCATATCATTAATATTAACACCATTTACCTATGTGCAAAATTGCATTCTCCTAGTCTCATATGGAGAATTTGTTGGAGTATACAAAACTAAAAAAATTACAGTATTTACCCGCAAAAACACGGTTGTATTCATATTGAAATTCAACCCAACTGTCATCACTTCAATCTTTCCAAAAAACAACTACTAATAAAAATCTCGAATTTTAGTATAAAATAAGCTGTCCTAAGATAATATGGACGATAAAGTTGGGAAGGTAGGATATAGACGGGAATTTACTGTATATCTGTAAGCAACGATTGCTAACGAAAAAACGTTCTCTCGGTTTTCCCATGTTTTTCCTGATTTTTCTAATTTATTGGGAAAATCAAAAAATTACCTCCTTTATATAATATTCTCTTTCAGAAATGTTGTATTTATCTGACTTTTCATATTTAACAATTTTGTCATGACCCTTGCGAAAATTAGATACGATTTTAGATTGAGAGCAGCGAACGTTTCGGTACGTTGTACATTATAAAATAATATGATTAAGTACTCAACATTCTACTAATACGATGTAATACGAAATTAAAAACATAAATTATGTAATAAACAATTTTGAATTCAGTATATACGTCGTAAGCCATATGGAAATTTAGTCTTTTTGCTAAAAGACTAGGCTCTTTGCAATGGGGTGGCCCGTTTGCGAACTGCTTATTATTTTTTCAAACGGCCTACTGTTTTTCAGGCTTATTGCATGTAGACTAACAAAATTTAGGCCTTTTACGAACTACAATCATTAAAATATAGTGATATCTATTTTACTTATTTTATTTTAAGGATAATTTATTACTTGTACAAAAAAAAAGATCAATAAAATTATTATAACATGTAAACTGAATAGTCTGAATAAGTATGGTACTTATTATATACTATTATATTTATTTTATAAGCTATATCAATGGCGAGTATCAGTGAAGTTTAGATTATTTTAAAGTTTTTGACTATTGTATTACTAGTTTTATTTTATCTTACAAAGATAGAAAAAATATAATACTATATAATAATATATACTTATTCAGTTTACATGTTATAATAATTCAATTGATCTTATTTTTTTGTAAAAATAATAAATTACCCTTAAATAAAATAATTAAAATGCTTGTTACTATATTTTAATGATTTTATTATTATTGATCGAGCGAATGATAATATTATCAAAAGTCTTACTGATCAAAATTATGCACCACAAGTATTTAATACTCAAAATTATTTAGGTCCAAAATTAATGGTGTACAATTTTAGTACTAGCTGCATATACTCACTCGCTAAATAGTAATAATAATTGAGGTATAGTTGGGTCTCAGGTAGGGGAATTTGGCAGGGAATAGGGGTAAGCTAACAGATAGAGCGAAGAACGGCAATATATAGAGCCGTTATTAAAGGATGTATATACTTACAGATAAACAAGATGGTTTCGTCAATATACGGCGAACAGTTAAAGCAGGTACATATTAGGGGACAAGTGTACATAGTCGTGGCCCATTGGGAATCTTCCCAGGATTTTATGGACATACGTTGAAAATCTTTTCTTTTTTTTTTTTTCTTTTACAGTTTATTCTTCGACGCACAATTATCGATCCATAGCAACTAACATATAATAATATAAAAATTTAGATAGTATAAATGAGAAAAATTACACGGATAAGTATATAAGCAGTACCTACCTACAATTGAGTAGCTGCAGAAAAAGCTTATACCATAATAATGTGATGAAATCGAAATTCAACACGACACACCACTGCTAACGAAAATCAATTCTGAGCGAAATATTATTAGTCTTCATTATTGTCATCACCCAGAAATCAACAAAAATTATACAAACATTTTCCATTGTTGCTTATATTTATTATGAAAACCACAAGGAAAATTAAAAATTAGATTATCGTCGTACAAATGGAAAAAAAATTACATTTTAAATACAAACGCGAAATGTATTTTGTATAATATTATTTCGCTATAAAGAGTATTACTCATTTTAAATACTAAACGTATAACATTTTACAATAGCGTTTAGGGTTTTCAATTAATTCCGCAGAAAGTTTAACTAATTAACACAAGAATATTATACACGGTATAATAATTATTTCTGTCTATATGTATGCCTTAATTAACGCGCCAGTGTAACGATACCACTTAAAATGTTTAAGCAACAATATTATTAATACGGTTTAATTTCAAGCGGTGTATGTATATTAAGTCTATATATCATAGCGTCAATGTGAATAAATCGGTTATAATTAAAAGCGAAATCAAATCTGTTTTGTTTTAATTGATAACTATATGTTATGATATTATAGCTGTTTCTTTCATTGTACGCTATTACCTCGCTCTTGTTTAAACTTAAACCGATTTATCTTAAAATGATTTACATAATTGCTAAAATGTATTTTATTTTCTAGGACAGAATCTATTTGTACACTTATTTGTCTATAATATTTTCTGATAATAATAAACAATCCATATTTAAGTGATAATAATTTGTTAACTAAATTAAATAACGTCATATCTACCCGCATGTACGGTCTTCGTCTTCCAAAAGACGGCATAGCAAATTTGGGTTCAGCAGGGACAACTTTGTGTTGTTAGTTTAAATATTAGAGTGAATTGCCTAATTATCAAACTTAAAGATAATAATATTATATGTTCCAATGTTGGTGCTCTTTTTTCATTTTTTTATCATTTGTAATAATATAAGTTCACAATAACAGTAAATGCATCAATAAATATAATGAAAATATAAACATGCATTTTAATGTTTATCCAATATTTTGAATTAGCTTATTTTTACAACTGTAGTTCACAAACTATTATACCCTATGTTTGTGACAACATATATATAATTATCAAAAAGACAACGCCCGGCGATTTTTCACAAAACAACAAAAAGTTCGCGTGATAAATATTATACGAACAGTATTTACACGAAAAAAAACTAAACATAAAAATAAATAAATCTTATTATATACATAATTGGAATGTACTCGTAATTTATTTGTTAATGTTACAATAGTAAACACGTATGTTTAACATAGAAAATATATTATTTATTTTTGTTTATGTGTTTTAATAAAAGTTAAACGTAAGTATCTATTAGCACTTTGCTCGAAATATCGTATTAAACAGTTTTTGACAATAATTTTTAAAAAAAATGCATAATAAAAAAAAAATTATATGTTTACAATCTCAACAATTACAATATTAATGATTCAATATTTTACTATGTAAAATTTCCTTTTTAGTCATCGCTTTTCGCTCCTTGATTAGGGGATATGCACGGAATTATACGGATATAATTAATTGGGTAATATTTATAATTAATAAAGATTGACGGTTAAAATATCTCATCCATTACCTAGAATTATATTTAATAACCTGATAGATGTACAAATAGTGTGTACTTTGTAAGTATGCCAACAATTCAAGTGTACAAATTGAATTACAAAATGTGTGTGTATACCAACTTTTATAACTATATGTTTACATTTATTTTTACAAATAATAAAGTTTCAATTATTAAATAATGGATCCAACTATTTTTACAGATGGGGCACATACAAATTTCTCTTATGAACTATTTTTAGAAATAAGTTTGTATATAAATATACGAGAGGAGTATTTGCGTCTATGCCGCTCCTTGAATTCACCCTTAGTGTTAAGAATTTAACTAAAAATTGTGTAACCTAAAATAAGGAATATTTTACGCACTAAAATCAGTGTCAAATATGAAGCTCATTTAAGGGAAGGGGGTTGAACTAACATAAAAGGTACTTACAAGGTGGTAACTGAAAAAAAATGTCAAGGGATGGGTCTGAAATATGTTTAATTTGCTATACTTACATTTTTTACGTCCAAACATACACCATTGGACACTCCTCCCCTGCAATTATGGCCTTGGATACCTATACAATTCAATCGACACATATTTTTTTAAGTCAAATGGGAAGGTGATCACTACGTTACCTCTCTCTCAGATCCAACACTGATTGCAACCATCCACTAACGATGAATTGAGAGTCTCACCTAGATACCTAATTATCATTTTATATATTAAATTCTGGTGACTATAGTCTATAATATTACCCAGTCATCATAGCTCATAGATACACATATATTATTGTTTTTGTCTCTCGCAAAAATATCAATAAATTATATTTTACTGTAAATTATATAATGATATTGTAGTATTATTATTATAGCCACGTACTGTTAATTTGGTAATTATAACCGCAGAAACAAAATTATTACGTAAATGTCATAAGAATCGACTTTCGATAAGGTCTTTGAATATAAAGTATATGTAGGTATTGTATAACAATGCCATTTAAAATATTTTAATATATGTATAAATAATAATATTTTATATATATATTACATTAAATAAAATACGAATATAATTAATCATCATTTGACACTATTTTTTTGTGAAATGATGACTCCTTGAAGCACAATCGGAGCCTCTTTTATAATACTTGTCCGGTACCTATATCCTATCGTAGATCTGTACCTATTTAAAAAAAAAATTATTAAATGATTCAAAAAATAATGCATAGGTATTTGCGTGTAATTGTGAACAGTAATATCTATACGGTTCACGGTTTTACAAAAAATATTAAGTATTATCCGAATTTCGAATGCTAGTAACTTTGTCGATATTCATTTTTCTTAAAACATTTTTTTTTTTCAATTGGATTCAATGACTTTCTATCTTTTCACCTTTTAACATTTTCAAAATATCCAATTTGTAAAATACATTATTTTAAAAATGTCAATGTACCATACTTACATATTCGATCAATAGTTTCTTGGGAATAGCCGTTTTAATTTTTAGAAAATTGGCGTGAAAACAATTAATATTCAATAGAAGATAAGGAATCACAATTAGTACGGTAATTCTTATATATTTCTCCATCACATTAAACCCGATTGAAAAAAAAAAATTGACAGAGTTATTAGCATAAGGATAACACTGTAGGAAATCTTATATAGCTTCTGAAGGTAGTGCGTTACATTATTTAGCAACCTCAACGGACATTGGATGGTATATAATAAAAATAATAAATATACCTATAAAAAATCGTACTCATAGAGTACATAAATATACGTTTATTCAGATTATAGTACATTATATATAAATGAAAAATTAATGTCGTACCGAAATTTGAAAAGTATGAATTTGACCTTATTTTTACAAGAGAAGGGTGTTTTTTTCAGTTTTCAGAGGAATGAAATTTCATAAACACATGACATTATACAGGTATAATATGAAGAATGTATATTTTGATGGTTTTAATTTTCAACTCTAGTACCTATAATTTATATGCTTAAATTTCATAATTTTTTTTTTAATTAGAATAGTGTAGTATTATTATAGCATTTGTGGTTATTTATTGTTTTCAAAAAAAATATCACTATAAATACAAAGTGGTCAAGAGATAAATTCGAATGTACCGTGACAACTCTGCTGCACCCAGAATTTTTATTTTAGGGCACGGATATTTTTTTTTTTTTGACTGGCTTTAACATTTTGATTCTTATAATCCACGAAGAGTATTTATGAACTTAAGGAGTAAGTATACACTTTTGAAATTAATTAACATTGTTTTTTATTATATCCTTATCGTGGGTTCTTCGACTTTTTAGAACATTTTTTTTCGCCCAATTCCGAATATTCATCATGATGATGCACGTTTATACTAGCACGTAGCTATCGGGGCAGGGAATGGGATTTAAGAGTTAAATCATTTACTCTTCCATGAAAGAATTTAACCCAAAAAGTATTGTTTACTAAATGCTACGGGTTCTTACAAAATGTGTAATGGCTATAGTTGGTGTCCTGTGATCAATGATAGTAATATATTTTAAAGTTATTTTATATGACTCTGTAGAGGATGCGTGAAGCCCCGCCAAAAGTTGTATTTAAATTTCAAACAAATTAAAACCCCCTGTCCTTAAGAAAAAAAAAATCCTTGCTGCGCATCTGAATGATATTATAACATGAAGCATTATATAATATTGTAATATACGGTTATAACGTTATACGTAGTTGTTATTGTTGTTGTTACCGCTTTTGCGGTTTACAATAACGATAATAAAAATAATATACGAATGATGGCCGTGTTTCGTATATATTATGTATATTATTTATCAATCTTGCCCGAGAGAGTCGTAAATTATGTAATAATAATTCGTATGCGTAAAAACACCTTAATTTCTCAACCGCGTCAACGGCTGCGGACGGGCTCCACCAAAATGTGATTGATGACGCGACGGCGCGTTTCGGTATTACGCGAATTCATTTACGCGTTTTTCCGCGCCGAACAACAACATATCACCTACCCTGCTCGTCGCCAGCGATGGTCGTCTTCTCGTCTGGGAATATTTCAACAAAATATTCGCTATACGGGGTGATCATTTTATCGCGAACAAGACATTTTCGAGATTTTTCAGGAGGACTCTAAGCGAATTAGATTTTTTTTCAACCTTTGTGGAACCGTTTGAGCTTTATTTTGAAACTATTTTCTATTGTCACCCCCACTCCGTAAATCTTATTTAAGTACATGCTAGGTACTTTCGATTTTCAAATAAAAGAACCACCCTTCTTTTTGAACACAGATTCAAATTGAAAATATTTTTCTAAAAACTGTGAATACGTATAACACTAATATCGGATTTACCTTTTTTGGGTTATAAATTATACAAGTTTGAATTTTAGACCGGATGATTAGGGAAGGGTTATGAATTTATCATTGAAAATAGATATGAAATATTTTATTACCTTTGCCTACTCCTCCGGTTTAAACTTTAAACTGTAGTTATGACTCATCAATTTTATCCGATTATTATACATGTGTTATATACATTATACATGTTAACATGTTTAAACAA